ATCAATTCTAACCCGGACCTTCACGGGTGACACTCCCAGAGACCCTCATACACGCTCAGTATCACACCAGTCACTCGACCTTGTGTCATACCCGCTGTTTCTGACTCAACCCTTAAAACAACACAAGGCCGACACAAACAGCCAGGAACTAAATACACTACACACGAACTTCCCCATCAATACACTGCTATACAGCATATGCCACATGAAAGACATCACAACAAGGGTACATAGAACAGGTTGTCATTCCAAACATCCAGCATCAACACATTCAGTCGGCCCACTGTACTTCGTACCTCCGGTTCACAGTCGGTTCTAACATCACAATGTGATTCTCGGCCCATAACTGATACGGTTGACGGGGATACCATGCTGGGACAAGCACACGTGGCAGGTTCAAATATCTGCACCTCCTTGTCAGCTGTTTCAATGTCCTTTCTTTATGGTGTCCCCCTCCGTGATATTGCTGGAATATTGTTAAAAGCGGCGTAAAAGACTCACTCACTCACTCACTCACTCACTCACTCACTCACTCACTCACTCACTCACTCACTCACTCACACTCACTCACTCACTCACTCACTCACTCACTCACTCACTCACTCACTCACTCACTCACTCACTCACTCACTCACTCACTCACTTCCGGATTACTTCCGGTCCGGACACTGGATGTCATCACAGATATCTCCCTGTCCATAAAGTGACAGTGTCTATTCACTACACTTGTGGATAATACGATGTCCGAATATGAGTGATTGCTAATACCTTAACATCTCAAAACACACAATTACCTTGGTACCCATGGAACGTTACTACACATGATGTATCATGTAACAATAGCCGGTACATACACTCATACACGGTACATGCCCTAACTGATGCGAATAATGACATTTCCAACTCAGTGCCCTGTTATCCGTATACGAACTTAAGGCATAGTAGCACTAAGAAATACCAGTCAAATATATTGCTTATAACTTTGACGACCTGACATAAACACAGTTGAGATGCATGAAAAAATACACGAATATACTGACGGCCATAAGAAACTTTACCACTTAAAAAGGGACTTGCGAAAATGTAAATACACATGTTTGAACTAAATCAATGCAAAACACATCATCCAAACACAACACTGCTCTGTGTAGAAAACGATACATGACCACTGCAGTTTCTTCTTTCTTTCCCTTTACAAAAATGTGAAAAACTATAAAACAGGTTCCGCTTGGGCAACCGAAACAACACGTATACAAGGGGCATTAAACTGATCTGGACGACGTGTGAGACACTGATCAAACAAATGTCTCGACTGACATCCGAACAACTGGATGGGGCTCGGGTATCATTCAGATCGGGGCCACACGTGCCCATAATGCTGGAATGTTTGGTTGTTCCTGTATTGCTGTAACTAACCGGTTGCAACTTTACAGATAGAACGGGTCAAGACAGGCCAAGAACAGGCAGACCCAAGATATTACGCCCCATCAAAAGCGGTTCTTGCGTACTTAACATCTCGGGAATCGATACCTGATAGTGGGGTCATCAGCCTTGGGGCATATGTAGTTAGTTAACAGCCAGAAGCCAGGGGACTCGGGGCTCAAGGGAGACCAGGAGAGAACATCACAGGGCAGCCTTACAGGATTACGTTCCTCTCCCAACCGTGCTTCCATTCTAACACCAGCTGCGACGTGGTTTCCTTTATCAGCATGACAATACCAGAACCCAGGACTCCCTTGCAGCCACCAACGACATCGTGGTGCCCAATGGGACATCCCTAGGATGTCATGGATCGTCATGTTCCAGAGACCACATCCTCCAGCTCAAGAACTGAGGCAGGGCCGACAAGAAAAATGGCGACGTATCCCACGTGACATGATCAGACGACTGTTTCTTTTCTGTGTTTTCTTATATCTTCTTGTGGGGGTTGTCATGCATGCTATTTGTGACTTGTCATTGAACTTAAGCGATTCCTGCATCTATGTTTTGTGTTTAAACTAAACTGATTTAAAACTACGGTAAGGTTTCTTTTGGCCGTGGGTTTACCCACATTAGTCCCAGCGACCCCAAACTGAAATTCCATACCTCATAGAAGATAGTCGTGTATCTGAACTGACTACTTGCCAGTCATACATGCGTAACAAGGAACACCTATACGTTGACACAACTTGCTTCCTAATCTCTACCTCCGACCTCACCGGCCTCACTCTGTCCGTTTTACATACTCATTCAGTTAATCAATCGACGCTCACTTATTTACAAGGCCATACACTCAGGTCATCTCACACGGTTACTTGTGACTTTAACGTGTATACAGAACATGTGATCTTGATAAAAAACGTCAAAAATTGATGTCAGTAGCATACCGCCGAAACGACTTGTGTCTCGTCTTCCTTGGCACTTGGTGAAAAGAGACCTCATCAACCTTCACACCACACGGTAGGTGTAAAGGGGGGAACTTCTCAGAGTTTCTTACTTCAGGCGTGGCCCACTATGATCAACTGAAGAGAATGCATGAGTACATAATGACCTGTTTATGACTATATAATGACCTGTTTATGACTACATAATGACCTGTTATGACTACACAATGATCTGTTTATGACTACATAATGACCTGCTTATGACTACACAATGACCTTTTATGACTACACAATGACCTGTTTATGACTACATAATGACCTGCTTATGACTACACAATGACCTTTTATGACTACATAATGACCTGTTTATGACTACATAATGACCTGCTTATGACTACACAATGACCTTTTATGACTACATAATGACCTGTTTATGACTACATAATGACCTGTTATGACTACACAATGATCTGTTTATGACTACATAATGGCCTGTTTATGACTACACAATGACCTGTTTATGACTACATAATGACCTGTTATGACTACACAATGATCTGTTTATGACTACATAATGACCTGCTTATGACTACACAATGACCTTTTATGACTACACAATGACCTGTTTATGACTACATAATGACCTGCTTATGACTACACTATGACCTTTTATGACTACATAATGACCTGTTTATGACTACATAATGACCTGCTTATGACTACACAATGACCTTTTATGACTACATAATGACCTGTTTATGACTACATAATGACCTGTTATGACTACACAATGATCTGTTTATGACTACATAATGACCTTCTTATGACTACATAATGACCTTCTTATGACTACATAATGACCTTCTTATGACTACATAATGACCTGTTTATGACTACATAATGACCTGCTTATGACTACACAATGCCCTTTTATGACTACATAATGACCTGTTTATGACTACATAATGACCTTTTATGACTACACAATGACCTTTTATGACTACATAATGACCTGTTGATGACTACATAATGACCTGCTTATGACTACACAATGACCTTTTATGACTACATAATGACCTGTTTATGACTACATAATGACCTGCTTATGACTACACAATGACCTTTTATGACTACATAATGACCTGTTTATGACTACATAATGACCTGTTTATGACTACACAATGACCTTTTATGACTACATAATGACCTTCTTATGACTACATAATGACCTGTTTATGACTACATAATGACCTGCTTATGACTACACAATGACCTTTTATGACTACATAATGACCTGTTTATGACTATATAATGACCTGTTATGACTACACAATGATCCGTTTATGACTACATGATGACCTTCTTATGACTACATAATGACCTTCTTATGACTACATAATGACCTGCTTATGACTACACAATGACCTTTTATGACTACATAATGACCTGTTTATGACTATATAATGACCTGTTTATGACTACATAATGACCTGTTTATGACTACATAATGACCTTTTATGACTACATAATGACCTGTTTATGACTATATAATGACCTGTTTATGACTACATAATGACCTGTTTATGACTACATAATGACCTGCTTATGACTACACAATGACCTTTTATGACTACATGACCTGTTTATGACTATATAATGACCTGTTTATGACTACATAATGGCCTGTTTATGACTACATAATGACCTGTTATGACTATATAATGACCTGTTTATGACTACATAATGACCTGCTTATGACTACACAATGGTCCGTGTATGACTATTTATGGATCTTTGGGTTGCGTAGCCAAGTAGGTATTAACAAACATTATGTACTTCAATAAACAACCGGTCAAGCCTTTTCGGTTGTCAGTCCAGATGTCATGACATATTGACGTCATATGGGCAGCTGTCGATTTACTCTTGAATATCTGGATCCATGAAGATCCAGGTTAGAATTGATCTTCAGCAACCCATACTTGTCACAAGAGGCGACTAACGGGATCGTGTGGTCAGGCTCGCTGATTTGGTTGACATATGTCATCGTGACCCAATTGCGTAGATCGATGCTCCTGCTGTTGATCATTGGACTGTCTGGTCCAGACTCTATAATCTACATACCACCGCCATAAAGCTGAAATTTTGCTGAGTGTGGCGTTAAACAGCAAACACACCTGGATATACGTGTTTGCTAAAGCTGGCGAGGATGAACCTCTAAATGTTATTGCTTTGAGGGAAGGTCATTGTCAAGACTTGAAAGATATTGTGTTTGACTCCATAGGCCTTTGCAATTGCAAAAGTTTCTCAACAGAAGCAAATGTGACATGTTTTACTTTACATCCCACGTCTGTTCTATACAGACGCTTTAGTCATTCTCATTCTGCCTTGCTTCACATGCTCCATACCGTCGCTACTTGAACGGAATGCTGATGAAGCGACTTGAAAGTTAAAACATTCAGTTTTCTGTTAGGAACGACTAAAGACGTCATCTACGCCAGACAATTTCGGCAGACACGTACTCTCTGCAACTAAGATACTCAGGATTTGTATACCATTTTCATGTCGCCGTCACTCGACCATGCCACGTTTACTGTCAACGCCCTCTTCAACGATATACATACAATAAGAAATAGTGAATACGATCAAGGATATATTTAATATATTTACTTCATACTGACACCATGTTAACACAAAATAATAATTCTTTTAAGTGCATGCATTGAAAAATACTGATGAAATTAGATCGTCTATCATATCAGAACTCCATGCAATAAAATGTGTTTGTCCTTAAGTAACCCAACTATTTTCAAAAAGAAATAAATAACGAAATTATTTTGGGTCACATTCCATTAGACTTGTAGCTTGAGGTTAGGAAAACACGCTCCATCCGAAGTACTTATGACCCTTCATCTGGAAAGATAAGTCGAACATCACATCGATGTAGGCCTCAGGACAACATGCGTAGTGCTTAACTTCCCTCGTCGCCGTGTGCTCGTTCAAAACCCAGTCCACCCCACCGGACGTGTATGCTGACACGTCTACGCTGGTAGATGAAGATACCAGATTGAGGAGGTGGGCATGGTACGTCCAGGAGCCATATTTGAGTCCGCAGCTGACGGTGCCGCCGGTGGTGTAGTTGCTGACGTCACAACGTGTCTTGATGGTGGTGGGGGGAACATGCAAGATGCTTCCGTCACTGTGCACCACAGCCAGGGTTTCCACGATACGTGTGTGTCTGTGAACAGATTACCATATATGGTGCATCATTAGTAATCCTACACATCATCGGTTGAACAGGGCAATGTCCTATCCTATCGTCTCATCGTCTGTAAGCCATTTCACTTTAAACATCATTACACTTCATAATCATGAAAATCGAATGCATATCGAATCTAAGATTACACTTTTGGGTAGGTCAGACCCGCTCGTGGGTTAGACCAAAGATTCCTAAAGCCTGAATCACTTCAGCTTTCTTCCACACCAAGGCAACATGTCGAGTTAAGTAAAACTGTTCACAATGGAGTTGAACCCGACTACCTCACTCACTTAGTCACATACCATCAGCTTCTGTAAAGCTAATTAGCTTTCGGAATATATCCTCAGTCCGTTAGGCCTGATACATGGTGGATCATGAAACATAAATGTTATGATCGGTCGTCTGAAGAAAGAACAGTTTCAACAAATGAGTGCCACAGATAGAACCCCGAAACGTTGCACTTTAGACTACAGTGCACGTTGGTACGGGCCTAGATTCGGACGTCGCGTCGTCGGATCGTCAGATCGCTCTGAACCATTAGAAAACTCAATATGTGTTCATTCACCTCCATGTAGTCAAAAACCCGTATATTAGCTAGCAACACACCTCACGAGCGGCACATGCAAAATGACAGAGAGAAAACTACGTGTTGTACGTACATATCGAATAAACAGAATTCATTCATTAAAGTGTACAGAAAACTCCCCGCATAGGAATGTAGTGTAAAAGACGTGCGGAGCTGACCTTTTTCTTAACTGCCATCCGTTTGACACAACAAACATGTCCCCACTCACCGCACAAGAGGTAGAAAGAGCGACAGATTGGTCACACGATACCGACAAACTGGCCGAACAGCAGACAGGCTTAGGACAGGAGCATCAAGGGTCACAACCCTGCTGTCTCACTGTGAAGTCATCCGACGCAAACAGCCTTAGACATCCAATCAACAAAAGGACATTGTCCAGACGACTCCGTCAAATGGTCTCAGGGCCTATCGGCCGTTCACGGGCTTTACGTTGATGCTTGAACATCGACGTAGACGACTGAGTTGGTGCCGGACTGTCCGTCAGTGGCAACAGCAAAACTGGCCATGGGTATTCTTCAGCGACGAAAGCAGGTTTCAACTCAACAAATATGATGCTGTGTACGCGCCCATAGGCGGCGTGGTGGCCGTACGTCATGATGTTGCACGTGGTGACCGTACGTCATGATATTGCACGTGGTGACCGTACGTCATGATGTTGCACATGGTGACCGTACGTCATGATGTTGCACGTGGTGATCGTACGTCATGATGTTGAAAGTGGTGATCGTACGTCATGATGTTGCACGTGGCGACCGTACGGCACGATGTTGCAAGTGGTGACCGTACGTCGTGATGTTGCAAGTGGTGACCGTACGTGGTGAACGTACGTCATGATGTTGCAAGTGGCGACCGTACATCATGATGTTGCAAGTGGTGACCGTACGTCATGATGTTGCAAGTGGTGATCGTACGCCATAATGTGCAAGTGGTGACCGTACGTGGTAACCGTACGTCATGATGTTGCACGTGGTGACCGTACGCCATGATGTTGCAAGTGGTGACCGTACGTCATGATGTTGCAAGTGGTGACCGTAAGTCATGATGTTGCAAGTGGTGACCGTACGTCACGATGTTGCAAGTGGTGACCGTACGTCGTGATGTTGCAAGTGGAGACCTACGGATCTGTGTGTGATGGTTTGGGGAAGCATTTGTGGGGACATGATGGTTTGGGGAAGCATTTGTTGGGACATGACGGTAACATTACACCTCCAAGATCGATTAATCAGAAACCAGACAGAAAGAAATTGAACCCAAACATATAAACAAATAGCTGTTGACCTGCGAGTTCAAGTCAAGTCAACAAACGGACGTGTTAGACGCTATTGCTTTTTACAGGGTAACACTGGGGAAATCGTCTATGGTCTCGTGTTTTCACGAGTCAGCTGTTCCAGGTTAACGCTGGACTTTCTGGATAGGAGCGGACTTCTCTGGAGGGGCTCTAGGGAACGACATGTGAACGTTAACGTTATGGAACATCCCAATGGCGTGGGACACAAGTGCCTACAAAGCAAACCAATGCATGCTCACCCATTGTAGAGCACGACATCCGGGTACCAGATCTTGGACACCTGTAGGCGGGTGGCTGTTACATTGTTGAAAGTTGCAGGGTCCCACGACAGCCTTGTGTCTGTCCATTGGAAAGTCATCCATGCTTCTATCTCAGCATCACCGGACTTTGGGTCCTGTCAAAAGGAAGAGATAAATGTATGTACATGGACAGGCGCGTGAGTACAAGTAACGCTCGTGTTGAGAACGACAGGCATAAGGCGGGATTGTCTTTGGATAGCAATAAAGGCGGACTTTACATTTCAAATTCTGTGTGAAGGCATTAGGAGACGAAGAGAAGCAACGAAGGTATTGGGAATCAAGAGAAGATGCAACAGAAAGATAAAGGTACAGCAGTATTGGATGTCAAGGTAAAGGTACAGCATTATTGGGTGTTAAGGTAAAGATACAGCAGTATTGGGTGTTAAGGTAAAGGTACAGCATTATTGGGTGTTAAGGTAAAGGTAGAGCAGTATTGGGTGTCAAGATAAAGGTACAGCAGTATTGGGTGTCAAGGTAAAGGTACAGCATTATTGGGTGTCAAGGTAAAGGTACAGCAGTATTGGGTGTCAAGATAAAGATACAGCAGTATTGGGTGTTAAGGTAAAGAAAGTCATATTGCAGCATTGGGTGTCAAGATAAAATACAGCAGTATTGGGTGTCAAGGTAAAGGTACAGCATTATTGGGTGTCAAGATAAAGGTACAGCAGTATTGGGTGTCAAGATAAAGGTACAGCAGGATTGGATGTCAAGGTAAAGGTACAGCATTATTGGGTGTCAACGTAAGAGTACAGCAGTATTGGGTGTTAAGGTAAAGGTAGAGCAATATTGGGTGTCAAGGTAAAGATACAGCAGTATTGGGTGTCAAGGTAAAGGTAGAGCAGTATTGAATGTCAAGGTAAAGGTAGAGCAGTATTGAATGTCAAGGTAAGGATACAGCAGTATTGGGTGTCAAGGTAAAGGTAGAGCAGTATTGGGTGTCAAGGTAAAAGTAGAGCAGTATTGGGTGTCAAGGTAAAGATACAGCAGTATTGGGTGTCAAGATAAAGGTACAGCAGTATTGGATGTCAAGGTAAAGGTACAGCATTATTGGGTGTCAACGTAAGAGTACAGCAGTATTGGGTGTTAAGGTAAAGGTAGAGCAATATTGGGTGTCAAGGTAAAGATACAGCAGTATTGGGTGTCAAGGTAAAGGTAGAGCAGTATTGAATGTCAAGGTAAAGGTAGAGCAGTATTGAATGTCAAGGTAAGGATACAGCAGTATTGGGTGTCAAGGTAAAGGTAGAGCAGTATTGGGTGTCAAGGTAAAAGTAGAGCAGTATTGGGTGTCAAGGTAAAGGTAGAGCAGTATTGGGTGTCAAGGTAAAGGTAGAGCAGTATTGAATGTCAAGGTAAGGATACAGCAGTATAGGGTGTTAAGGTAAAGGTACAGCATTATTGGGTGTCAACGTAAGAGTACAGCAGTATTGGGTGTTAAGGTAAAGGTAGAGCAGTATTGGGTGTCAAGGTAAAGATACAGCAGTATTGGGTGTCAAGGTAAAGGTAGAGCAGTATTGGGTGTCAAGGTAAAGGTAGAGCAGTATTGAATGTCAAGGTAAGGATACAGCAGTATTGGGTGTCAAGGTAAAGGTACAGCAGTATTGGGTGTCAAGGTACAGCAGTATTGGGTGTCAAGGTAAAGGTAGAGCAGTATTGGGTGTCAAGGTACAGCAGTATTGGGTGTCAAGGTAAAGGTATAGCCGTATTTAGTGTCAAGATAGAGGAACAACAACAGTGGGTGTCACGATAGAGGAACAGCAGTATTGGGTGTCAAGGTAGAGGAACAGCATTATTGGCTGTCAAGGTAAAGGTATAGCAGTATTGGATGTCAAGATAAAGGTATAGCAGTATTGTGTGTCCCGGTAAAGGAACAACAGTATTCTTTGTCGAAGTGAGGGTACAGCAGTACTGGGTGTCTCAGGAAAGGTTTTCGCAGGTAAGGAACAGCAGTACTGGGAGATAAAGTGAAGGTACATTGGTATTGAATGACAACTTAGTGCTTACTTGTGAGGTTAGCTGTGATGGTACCTACCAGTGAGGTTAGCTGTGATGTTACCTACCAGTAAGGTTAGCTGTGATGTTACCTACCAGTAAGGTTAGCTGTGATGTTACCTACCAGTAAGGTTAGCTGTGATGGTACTTACTTGTGAGGTTAGCTGTGATGTTACCTACCAGTAAGGTTAGCTGTGATGGTACTTACTTGTGAGGTTAGCTGTGATGTTACCTACCAGTAAGGTTAGCTGTGATGTTACCTACCAGTAAGGTTAGCTGTGATGGTACTTACTTGTGAGGTTAGCTGTGATGTTACCTACCAGTAAGGTTAGCTGTGATGTTACCTACCAGTAAGGTTAGCTGTGATGGTACTTACTTGTGAGGTTAGCTGTGATGTTACCTACCAGTAAGGTTAGCTGTGATGGTACTTACTTGTGAGGTTAGCTGTGATGTTACCTACCAGTAAGGTTAGCTGTGATGTTACCTACCAGTAAGGTTAGCTGTGATGGTACTTACTTGTGAGGTTAGCTGTGATGTTACCTACCAGTAAGGTTAGCTGTGATGGTACCACTTGTGAGGTTAGCTGTGATGTTACCTACCAGTAAGGTTAGCTGTGATGGTACTTACTTGTGAGGTTAGCTGTGATGTTACCTGTGAGGTTAGCTGTATGTTACCTACCAGTAAGGTTAGCTGTGATGTTACCTACCAGTAAGGTTAGCTGTGATGGTACTTACTTGTGAGGTTAGCTGTGATGTTACCTACCAGTAAGGTTAGCTGTGATGGTACTTACTTGTGAGGTTAGCTGTGATGTTACCTACCAGTAAGGTTAGCTGTGATGGTACTTACTTGTGAGGTTAGCTGTGATGTTACCTACCAGTAAGGTTAGCTGTGATGTTACCTACCAGTAAGGTTAGCTGTGATGGTACTTACTTGTGAGGTTAGCTGTGATGTTACCTACCAGTAAGGTTAGCTGTGATGGTACTTACTTGTGAGGTTAGCTGTGATGTTACCTACCAGTGAGGTTAGCTGTGATGTTACCTACCAGTAAGGTTAGCTGTGATGGTACTTACTCGTGAGGTTAGCTGTGATGGTACCTACCAGTGAGGTTAGCTGTGATGGTACTTACTTGTGAGGTTAGCTGTGATGGTACCTACCAGTGAGGTTAGCTGTGATGTTACCTACCAGTAAGGTTAGCTGTGATGTTACCTACCAGTAAGGTTAGCTGTGATGGTACTTACTTGTGAGGTTAGCTGTGATGGTACCTACCAGTGAGGTTAGCTGTGATGGTACTTACTTATGAGGTTAGCTGTGATGGTACCTACCAGTGAGGTTAGCTGTGATGTTACCTACCAGTAAGGTTAGCTGATATGGTAGTAATTACAGAGGTTAGCTGTGATGGTACTTACTTGTGAGGTTAGCGGTGATGTTACCTACCAGTAAGGCTAGCTGATATGGTAGTAATTACAGAGGTTAGCTGCGATGGTACTTACTTGTGAGGTTAACGGTGATGTTACCTACCAGTGAGGTTAGCTGATATGGTAGTAATTACAGAGGTTAGCTGTGATGGTACCTACCAGTGAGGTTAGCTGTAAGAGGTTCATCGTTATGGAGACATTGACTGGTGCGCCGCTGTTACTGACAGGTATGGAGGTGCCAGCGGCTTTGTTGATGATATATTTGTTCAGGGCATCAAATCGCTGGCAATGAGCTGCAACGGCGAAACCATAACAATATTAATCTTCAACAAACTTAAAACGTCACACGTTGGACAATCTGCAGCTACAGTTTGCAGACGTCCCGAGTTTCACAATGTCCTGCTATTGTCACTCTACAAGTGTACAGACGTCCCGAGTAACACAATGTCTGCTATTGTCAGTCTACATGTGTACAGATATGTTACACAATGTCCTACTGTTGTCAGTCTACAAGTGTACAGACGTCCCGAGTAACACAATGTCCTGCTATTGTCAGTCTACAAGTGTACAGACGTCCCGAGTAAAAACAATGTCCTGCTATTGTCAGTCTACAAGGGTACAGACGTCCCGAGTAACACAATGTCCTGCTATTGTCAGTCTACAAGTGTACAGACGTCCCGAGTAAAAACAATGTCCTGCTATTGTCAGTCTACAAGGGTGAAGACGTCCCGAGTAACACAATGTCTTGCTGTTGTCAGTGTACAAGTGTACAGACGTCCCGAGTAACACAGTGTCCTGCTATTGTCAGTCTACACGGGTACAGACGTCCCGAGTAACACAATGTCCTGCTATTGTCGGTCTACAAGGGTACAGACGTCCTGAGTAACACAATGTCCTGCTATTGTCAGTCTACAAGGGTACAGACGTCCTGAGTAACACAATGCCCTGCTATTGTCAGTCTACAAGTGTACAGACGTCCCGAATAACACAATGTCTTGCTGTTGTCAGTGTACAAGTGTACAGACGTCCCGAGTTACACAATGTCCTACTGTTGTCAGTCTACAAGTGTACAGACGTCCTGAGTAACACAATGCCCTGCTATTGTCAGTCTACAAGGGTACAGAGGTCCCGAGTAACACAATGTTCTGCTAATGTCAGTGTACAAGTGTACAGACGTCCCGAGTAACACAATGCCCTGCTGTTGTCAGTCTACAAGGGTACAGACGTCCTGAGTAACACAATGTCCTGCTGTTGTCAGTGTACAAGTGTACAGAGGTCCCGAGTAACACAGTGTCCTGCTATTGTCAGTGTACAAGTGTACAGACGTCCCGAGTTACACAATGTCCTACTGTTGTCAGTCTACAAGGGTACAGACGTCCCGAGTTACACAATGTCCTGTTATTGTCAGTCTACAAGTGCACAGACGTCCCGAGTAACACAATGTCTTGCTGTTGTCAGTCTACAAGTGTACAAACGTCTCGAGTTTCACAATGTCCTGCTTTTGTCAGTCTACAAGTGTACAGACGTCCCGAGTAACACAATGTCCTGCTATTGCCAGTCTACAAGTGTACAGAGGTCCCGAGTTTCACAATGTCAGTCTACAAGGGTACAGACGTCCCGAGTTACACAATGCCCTGCTGTTGTCAGTCTACAAGGGTACAGACGTCCCGAGTTACACAATGTCCTACTGTTGTCAGTCTACAAGTGTACATTTACTTTGACACAGTTACCGTTCTGTGAGGTAAAGATAAGAATGAAAATGGGAACAAAATGTGTTTGGCAAAGATACAGTTACTCCATAATACAGTACAGCGCATGCAATACTTGCCTGGCGCTCTCAGCAATAGACAGTGGCGCCAGATCACGCATGCAATATTTATCTCTTTGGCCGTTGCAAAGGAGAATGCGGAAAGACGGAGATACTATAGAAAGTCTCTCTGCGTTGTCGCAGACGGAGATTCTCTCGGAGTGCACTGTGCATGGAAACTAGCAAGTTTGGGGGCTACTGGTATGACCATATAATTTATTATATGGTCTGTGGTATAATGAACATGTTGGTAGCAGCAAAAGTCATAAGAAGCCAGATTAGACTTCTTTTCAATTAGTAGAAACCTCGAGAAATCTGTGATGTCATCGGATATACTGACAGGTTACAGATCTGATCATTCACTGGTAGCAATAGAACTCCATTTCACAAAACTTGAAAGGGGACGTGGGTTCTGGAAGTATAACAATAGCTTGTTACATGAACCAGAGTATGTTAGCAAATTTAAGAAAACTATCAGAGATACATTCGATGAATACAGTAGAGTTGATACCGAAGGGGGAAAACATTTAACTATAAATGACCAGCTGTTCTTTGAAGTACTTTTGTGTAATATCCGAGGTTCAACTATAAAATAGTCCTCTATAAAAAAACGTGAAAGGTTGAAAGAAGAAAATGAAATTAACGATTCACTTGAGAAACTTGAAATTTCGTTAGATGGTAAAATTCAGGGCAAAGAAAAAGAAAATATTCTTAAGGAGATAGATGAACTTCAAGACAGGCAATTAGAGATAAATAAAGTAAAAACGGAGGGAATTATGATTAGGGCTAAATCGAATTGGCAAGAAAAAGGAGAGAAACCAACGAAATTTTTTCTAGCTCTGGAAAAACAAACATTCGTAAACAAAGCGATAATAAAACTGAATGATGATAATTCTGTACTCCTAGTCAAAGCTCAAAAGATATCAATCTTCAGGACTTGTTTAAAGAATCAAATATTCCCAAATTATCAAATGAAAATTCTTTATCACTTGAAGGAGAACTCCAATATGATGAAGTTCTTAATGCTCTGAAAAAGATGAAAAATAGCAAAAGTCCCGGACCTTCTGGTTACACATCTGAATTCTTTAAATTCTTTTGGAAGGATATTCATACATTTTTGATTAACTGGTTGAATTATGCGTATCTAAATGGGGAACTATCGGTCAGCCAAAAACTTATTACATGTTTACCAAAAAAGGAAAAGTCTAAAGAATACATAAAAAACTATAGACCCATATCCCTACTAAATATATCATACAAAATAGCATCAGCAACAATTGCAGCTCGTATAAAAATATACTACCAACTATAATTAGTGAGGATCAAAAAGGATTTATGAAAGGGAGATATATTGGCGATTGACTAGACTGGTAGCAGACATAATAGAATACACCGAACAAATGAATATACACGTACCAGGTTTACTTATACTAATCGACTTTGAAAAAGCTTTTGACTCTGTTGAATGGAAATTTATTGAGAATTGTCTAGATTTTTTAAATTTTGGACCTTCTATTACACATTGGATTAAGACTTTTTACAATGATATAAAGTCAAGTGTTCTAGTAAATGGTTTTTCCAGTAATTTTTTTAATATTTCGAGAGGATGTAGACAAGGTGATCCACTTTCGCCATATCTATTCCTTATCTGCACAGAAATTTTGGCACACATGTTGAGGGAAAATAAAAATGTAAAGCGTATTAAACTTCTTGATATTGAATATTTATTAACGCAATTTGCAGACGACACAACACTTATTCTTGATGGAACGGAAAAATGCTTTCAAGCAACCTTGGGTTTACTTAATCAATATGCTGAATTTTCTGGCCTTAAAATAAACATAGAAAAAACTAAAATAATATGGATTGGTTCTATGCAATACTCAAGCATTCAATACTGTAAGACTTTCAAACTAGATTGGTCCCAAAGACCCTTTACTTTACTCGGAATTCAGTTTCAACACAACCAGGCTGAAATGGTTGAAAGAAATTATAAAGACAAACTAAAACAAGTTGATAAGACAATGACGACGTGGTTAAGAAGAGACCTTACTCCATTTGGTAGAATTACTGTTCTTAAAAGCCTTATATTGCCTTCCCTAAACCATCTTTTTACTATGTTGCCAAATCCAAGAAGTGATTCCATTCAAAATCTACAGAAAAAATGTTTTAAATTCGTTTGGAAAGGAAAACCTGACAAGATCAAGCGAAACACGATTATTCAATCGTATAAAGAAGGGGGGCTAAATGTACCTTTAATTCTTGAAACAATACAAGCTCAAAAACTCTCATGGCTGCGCAGAACATTTGTTAAACATTCTAACATATCAAATGTTATAGATTTTGCTATTCCAACAAAAAAAGACTTCACCCAACAGAGATGGGAGCAAACTACTTAAAACACGCTATTATCCCAAATATCAGTAATGTTTTTTTGGAGAGATGTTTACGAAGCGTGGGCAAATATGCAATCTTTACAAATAAATGATGACGTTGATACAGAAACTTCACAACAGTATATATGGGCAAACGACAATATTACCGTAGGTCAAAAACCTATTATTTATAAACATTACTTGAAGGGAAATGTTAAATTCATTAATGATCTACTGAAAAAAGATAGTAATTTTCTTACCTATGAAGAGTTTATCTCCCTATATAATATTAAGACACATTTTTTAGAATATAGGGGTATCATTAACTCCATAAATGTCTACTTACTTTCGAAAGAACTAACTCTGTGTACAGTAGAGGAGCCATTTATTCCTAATAATATACATATACTCTATAATTAAAGAACGTAAAGGATGCAAGATTTTCTACTCTGTCTTGCTAAGAAAAGCTAAATAGTCAACTTAAATGGGAAAGGATATCAACGTAGATATATCAGAACAACTCTGGAAAGTTTTTAACTATGTACCTTTCAGAACAACTTGTAATACACAATTCAGATGGCTTCAATATAAAATTGTCCAACGAATCATTACAACAAACAAGGATTTATTGAACTATAAACTGCCACAATCCGCATCTTGTACATTCTGTAAGGTTAAAATGGAATCAATTATCCACGTATTTTGTGAATGTGTACATGTGAAAACGTTGTGGCAGCAACTAAAAGCCTGGATTGAACAAGAAACAGGCACAAAATTAACTCTGGATGCAAAACATATCATCTTTGGATATAAAGAAAAAAGAAATGATGTACTAAACCTTATTATCATCGCAACAAAATACTATATATATGCAAAGAGATGTTCCAATTCGCATCCACAGATTGCTGGATTAAAAAATTATCTACAAGCCTTGTATGAAATTGACAAATGTGCTGTCTTTTCGCACTGCAACTATGGTAAATTCTTCACCTTTTGGTCATCTTGCCATAACCTCTTCACATAAATTGCAACAACAAATGTATTCTTATAGCCTACGGATTATCTACCATCCATGTCCTTGTTTTATAATATTTACATGTACCACAAATGCATAAATTATGTACCCATTATAAAGAAATAAAGTGATAAAAAATTATTTTTTTTAAAAGTCATAAGAACACCCCCACTACATTTGGCCAGTTACTCACCAACAGCGCACAGTGCCAGCAGCACTAGAATCGTTCCCGTGGACATCATGGTGTTCTCTGCTGTGTAGACTTCAGTGATTGCCAGTGTGATACCAACAGCGGAATATATAGCAGGCCTTGCAATACGTCATATTCCCTGGTGATTAGCACAAATGGCAGGAGCACGTGTTTCTCTGTACATCCGAACAATGATTGGAGACCGGCCCATATCCCATGACCAACCCGGATGCAGTAAATCGTCCCCGAGCGCTCATTTCCCACACGAATGTAATGTGTCCCGCGTGCTCTTTGTGGCACAGAGTATAATGGGCTTCACCTATTCCCAAAGTTGTTTGTGATGAAGCCACACTGTCACTGATCTATACTGACACATATTTGAAAACGCAAAACCAAATTCAAATGAGAAAAACTTAACAAACAACACTTGGATAAAAATTGTTCTACAGTTATGTTGAGCATTTCATTGTGCTTCATTTTCATAAAAAATGATTACAAGAGTTCCGCCAATATGGCTGACACGTCACACACAGACCCCCCTTAAGTCCGTCAGTAGCGAGCGTGACCTCCCTGAGCCTGTACACATGCACGGAGTCGACGTGGCATGGACGTCATGGCGCTGATTTGGCGTCCTTTATTTCTTACGGTCTTCGGGCTGTGTCTGCGGTTGTATGAAAGCGGTTCTTTGGTGAACCCGTAGGATGTGCCGGTCTGGACGTGCCGTCGTGACAGGAGTTTGTCCTGGTCAGGGACGGTCATGGGCGCTTCCAGTTTGCTGATGACGATTCTGATGTTGATGGTGGATGGGCTCACTCCGAAGTGGTGGGCAACCTCACTTTGTGATGTTCCCACCAACAGCATCCCGATAGCTTGTTCCCTCTGCTGTTCACTGATCCGTGGCATATTGTGACTGCTAGTGAAACGGTCGAACCATAGTGCCTTTTATGCGTCCAAAACCTTGCTTTGCATGTGCATGTCACGATAATCATGCACCCCAACAGGCAAAAGGAATATGCCTTGTGTTGTGTTTTCATGAACTGTACTCATGCCAGAAACACGAAAAGGGTTCGAACCCAGATGTGCGTATGGTTTTATTCGGCAACCTCACATCACTATATTTTCGTGTGGTAAATGAAATTGCTTCACAAAATTTTCTTAGAAATTGCCAAAATGGGTTTTGCGTTTTCAATGTCTGTCAGTATATTTGACATACTCGGAAGGAGGAGTGATAATTAGTTGTAAAAATGGCATCGGACCTAAACAAAACAGTCATACACAGAATTTGTTTCTTACAAAGTACTTAAATCATCGGTCTGAGAAGCGACACGCTGTAGCTTCCTGCTGTGGAGATCAACGTTCTGAGGATTTATGTTGTGGCTTTGTACGGGAGATTAACGTTTGAAAGAAAGAACTTTGGAATTGACACTCCACTATTTTGACTTAACTAAGATGAACTGAATAGTAGTGAACAGTATTGAAAACCATCCCTGATGATCTACATTCAAGGAACAACATCATTGAGCCGTGAGCAGGTATCAGTCCTAGGACCGCCTCAGTCTTCTGGTGCTTGCTTGTTTGCTGTTTAACGTCGCACTCAGCAATATTCCAGCTGTATGTCGGCGGTGGTGTAATGGATAGAGGGTTCACCTGTAGAGAGGATGATCTGTTGGTTGATACCTCCTTGTGAACATACTGGTCACATACGTGTGACACCTCCTTGAGAACATACTGGTCACATAGGTGTCACACCTCTTTATGAACATACTCGTAACATATGTGTGACACCTCCTTGTGAACATACTGGTCACATACGTGTGACACCTCCTTATGAACATACTCGTAACATAGGTGTGACACCTCCTTGTGAACATACTGGTCACATACGTGTGACACCTCTTTATGAACATACTCGTAACATAGGTGTGACACCTCCTTGTGAACATACTCGTAACATAGGTATGACACCTCTTTATGAACATACTGGTCACATACGTGTGACACCTCTTTATGAACATACTCGTAACATAGGTGTCACACCCGTTTATGAACATACTCGTAACATATGTGTGACACCTCCTTGTGAACATACTGGTCACATACGTGTGACACCTCCTTATGAACATACTCGTAACATAGGTGTGACACCTCCTTGTGAACATACTGGTCACATACGTGTGACACCTCTTTATGAACATACTCGTAACATAGGTGTGACACCTCCTTGTGAACATACTCGTAGCATAGGTGTGACACCTCCTTATGAACATACTGGTAACATACGTGTGACACCTCCTTATGAATATACTCGTAACATAGGTGTCACACCTCTTTATGAACATACTCGTAACATATGTGTGACACCTCCTTGTGAACATACTGGTCACATACGTGTGACACCTCCTTATGAACATACTCGTAACATAGGTGTCACACCTCTTTATGAACATACTCGTAACATATGTGTGACACCTCCTTGTGAACATACTGGTCACATAGGTGTGACACCTCCTTATGAACATACTCGTAACATAGGTGTGACACCTCCTTATGAACATACTGGTCACATACGTGTGACACCTCCTTGTGACCATACTCGTAACATAGGTGTGACACCTCCTTGTGAACATACTCGTAACATACGTGTGACACCTGCTTATGAACATACTGGTCACATAGGTGTGACACCTCCTTATGAACATGCTGGTCACATACGTGTGACACCTCCTTGTGACCATACTCGTTACATACGTGTGACACCTCCTTGTGAACATACTCGTAACATAGGTGTGACACCTCCTTATAAAATACTGGTCACATACGTGTGACACCTCCTTATGAACATACTGGTAACATACGTGTGACACCTCCTTATGAACATACTCGTAACATAGGTGTGACACCTCCTTATGAACATACTCGTAACATAGGTGTGACACCTCCTTAAGAACATACTCGTAACATAGGTGTGACACCTCCTTAAGAACATACTGGTCACATACGTGTGACACCTCCTTATGGATATAAGGTGTGAGAAGTGTAAGAAATGTAATGAGATTAATATGCATCACGTGTAGACAAACGCGACATTACCTTTGTGAGTGTTGTTTATTCCTACACGTCATATATCATACTATGATCTAGTTCACAGCCTATTAACGAACAATCATTTGTCAGCGTTACAAACACTTGTCAGTGGGGTACATTGAGCATTTCACACTACGTGTCGTAATGGTTTAGAATTAGAATCCAGATCATACTGTGGGATCTTGCAAGGCTGCGTTTCGCCACTGACATTTTGTTGTGGAGTTCGGTAGCAGCATCGGACCGATCACGCTGTGACTTTACCCAGTGACCGACCGATGACATGTGAATTGTTGTGAATGATCCCTCTGCATGTGATCATATGATGTGTCATTTAATCGTCCTTATTACTTTTATGAACTGTAACGGAATACGGTTTTGTTGTGTACACAGGAGCCATATTCTTCCCCTTTCACATGTTATTCTGCTGTATTTAACTAGATATCAACTATGTCCTCGTGTTTACTTATTCCGAGCTGTGGGCAGCTCTTGTTCACAGGCGGAGAATGTTATGAGGAAAAAATGCATCCCCTAAACGAGAAAAGTATAACAAACCCATTTTTCAAAATTGCGGTTATTTCGTGACAGAATGGATGCTATCACCGCTTGGTAATACATATCATAATAACTGGGAGTGACGGAATCTAACAGACTCTTAAAGTAATAGTTAACGGTGGATCACCGATGGGTAGTTTACAGTAATTCTGCGATCAGTTAAGACACGAGACCATGAAATGATTTAACTTTGAAGGGATCAGAAATGTTACATCGGGACATGTGGCCTGGGCGGAACACCTTAAAAAGACACCATCAGCACTAGCAAAGTCAGCAGAACGTTTACATCGCGGGCGTTGCAGTTCCACATTTGGTAAAGAGTCTGCCCTGTCCTGACCAGTCGGAGTCAGCTTGTAATGAAGACAGGGACTGAGTACACTATGTGAGCATGGAACCTGGTAATTGTTTGATGGGCATTCTACAAGTTGGTGACTGGTGTGGATTTCATCATTTTTGTGTGAATGTGCGTCAGTACACGATTGCTATGTTGTTAGATAGGCGTCCCTGTCATCCTACCCCTCACTACTTGACTTTGTATCCCTAAACACACAAAGCGAGCGTAGAGCCTGAGCTTACATCTCCCCTGACAATATGGAACGGCCATATCAGTAGGTAACTGTAGTGGGGTCTACTGACCCCCGTACGCAGTTACAACATAACTGACACTAACATCTCGTTGTTGCGTGTGCTTTCTCCAGATGGTTGAAACTCTTTCCCCTGAAGTTAATGCAAATCTTGAAAATGAAGATTTTGGACAATGAGGTATTTTGACGATACAGCTGGCCCCGGACTTCTCACTCGAATTTGCATTTTAAACTTATTAAAGGACTTTGCGAAATATTTAACATATTTAACACTTCTGCTTAACATTCCAGCTGTAGAACGCTTTCATAATGTTTTAGAACAAACCATTCCTGCATTTCGTTGATCAGACAGACTGGCCAGAGTTTATAATCCATACTATCTGTGTCTTACCAATAGATACTGCTATCACTCCAGGAAACGCATTGTCTGTCACCTATCAACGTCTTGACAATCTGTACCAAGCCTTAGTTGTTTCAAACAAAATATTCCGCAAGCTCAAGACGTCTACAAGGATTAAGTACTGATAGTTCTGCATAAGATTTTGTGGTTGACCTCGGACAGATTGTCTTGCTGGTCTTGGTCTTGGTCCAAAACTTCACAGAAATTACAAAACTCCATACTTTATCACTTGGCAGGTTTCAAACCATACTTACTTATTGCGACATTGTGAAACTAAGAAAGTTCAGAAATTACCAGTCCACTCCAACCGACAATGATCTGTCAGTTCCACCAACCCTACAGATGATCGATTGATAGATTACAGTTCAACTGCAGTGTCCGAGTCCGGACTCCCCACACCATAGAGCCATGGCTTAATGACGGCACAAGAGTCAGCTCTATAGACAAGGTGCAGAACAAGTGGACCAATACCAATGAATTGGTGCTGCCAACAGTTCAATTCAAGCCATTCTTGTTACAATTCAGAACTATCGCGAAGAAGTTTGAAACTGGTATGCAAGACCAATTACACAGTAGAATTGCAAAATGATCTGTTACATGAGTGGACAGACATGCTTTCCATTATAAAGTGTCTTATACCCGAAATGATACAACGGTGTAGGAGATGCTGGTTCAATTTGTTTGGATCAGCAGGTAAAACCGTGTTTGACTTCGTACAGAAATCGATTTGCAGAAAATACACGCAATAACGCAACAAAATGAAAACAACCTAACAACGAGCTGCAAACAAGTAGGAATATATGACCTGATTTCTCCGCGTTTGTCCCTGTTTCTAATTCCAGTCGTTTTACTACCAACTCTAACCAACGTGACTGAACATCTCGCATCAAACTTGATGCTGGTTTTCATCCAGCCCAAACGGATCTTGCATTCAATTACAATTCCAACTACTTTTGTATACCCTTCCCTACAAGGTAGCTACATAGGTCAATCATATTTTGCTATATACGCTGTATCCAGATCACTCTAAATATTCCATAACTTATATATTCTGCAAATATTTTGAGGAGGTATTCACGCAAACAATTATTACAGACAACAAGCATTGTCACTAAGGTGACATAATCCCCCGCCGCAAATTATGAAATCAAACTTAAAAAGTAATGAAAGTGAAGGTCGTAATTTAAGATGAAGTTAAATGTCAACAAAAACATGACCAGTCAACCTCTCTTGATATCTTGTTCTGTAGTTGTTCAAACGCACAAATATTTTTAAGACTGACTTTGACCTTGACATGAATGTCTTAGTGTATGAAATTTGCAAAAATAGTAATAATTGCTTATTGTAAAACATTCAAGGGAAATCTTGAAAGTCCATGGAGAAAATCCAGTGAACTGTTCTTGAGATATCTCGCTGACAATCTTAACATGCAGTTTAATATGCTGAAATCTTCAAAGTGTCCCTGTGACCTTGAAAATTAAGTGAAGGTCACCAAAATCGACTGGGCCCTGCGCCTTTCCTAGGTCAAGCTTGGTGTTGAATATGAAGAAATCCAGTGAACGGTTCTTGAGATATCTCGCTGACAAGCTTAACATGCAGTTTAATATGCTGAAATCTTCAAAGTGTCCCTGTGACCTTGAAAATTAAGTGAAGGTCTCCAAAATCGACTGGACCTTGCACCTTCCCTAGATGAAGCTTGGTGTCAAACATGAAGAAAGTCCAGTGAATGGTTCTTGAGATATCTCGCTGACAATCTTTACACGCAGCTTAACATGCTGAAATCTTCATAGTGTCGCCGTGACCTTGAAAATTCAGTGAAAGTCACCAAAATCGACTGGGCCCTGCGCCTTTCCTAGGTCAAGCTTGGTGTTGAATATGAAGAAATCCAGTGAACGGTTCTTGAGATAGCTCGCTGACATGGGTAAAACGTTAAAGTCCCCTTGTGACCTTGAAATGAAGGTCAAGATCACCAAACCTGACTGGGACCTTTCTTATACTGTGATGAACCTTGGTACCAAATATGAAAAGAATCTAGTCAACAGTTCTTAAGATATTCCAATTCGTAAGTACGGACGGACGAAGGCTGATTCTATATCCCCCGCTTCGCGCTAAACGCGGGAAGGGGGATAACAATCTAGTGTTCTTTAACTTTTAATCTGCCATAAAAATGAAGAAAATTCCATTTGAATTAATGGAATAATCGGAATTCAAACAATAAATGGTGCAATGCAAAAAAATACTGTTTGCACTATTTTAGATTTCTGTGTAGTTCGAAAAAGGTTTGTTTGCAAGTACAGAATCTCAGACCTAAGTAGCTCATGGCCTATATGTTGGTCCCAAGTAGTGTCAGGATCCTTGTCATTAACTTTATTCTAGGAATAACAGACTGATCTCCACATCAAGACACAGGCAAATTGCCATGAAGGCAGAGGTCTAAGACCTGGGTTAGATTGGGACAAAGCTTACTCTTGATGGAGATTCTCCGAGTTTAGTAAATAGGTGCTTGTAAGTGAAAGTGAAGTGGAGATGCACCAGGAACATATATAACTTTGCTATTACAATATCAGCCATACCATTGACAACTGCTACAACTAATCCACATCCTTGGAGGGAATGCTTCTAGAAGGGTCATCTGTTTGTACTCAAGAGATACTCAGAAAGTATTTGTCAGTGTTGTGAACGTACCAGATTCTGATGTTTTAGCCTGTGTCCTGTTTAGTTGATATATTTTGTTAGTTTGTTTGGTGTTTAATGACCCACAGAAAAATATTCCATTCATGTGACAGTAGTCTTAATATAATTGAATCTTGACAAACTAGTGATTGAATATAATGAGGTATGTCACATTAATTAACTTTTAGTTATTATGGGTCACAAAAGTTTAAAGTGCCTAGTGTGATTTGAACTCACACCTAGAACTTAGGTCGTGTATTTTCACCTGTTAAGAGTGGGCTTGGGAGTTACCTCCTCTTTGTTGTTGTTTTGCTTCCCGTGGATGCTGTGAGAAGTTTCTAAATGGTCGTAGTGTGATCTAAATGGTCGTAGTGTGATCTAACTGGTCGTAGTGTGATCTAAATGGGGTAAATGGTCGTAGTGTGATCTAAATGGTCGTAGTGCGATCTAAATGGTCGTAGTGTGATCTAAATGTTCGAGCGTGGTGTGGCTTCTGCTAGAATTCTCCTGAACTGTATAATAGGTATATAACGGATTGCTGTCGAGATGTGGGACTACTGATTTGGATTTATGCTAACATTAACGTTTCGCCACTCAAGAGACCTAGCACTCCTCTATATTGAACTTTCACAGCTGTCAACAATCTTCCGTCAGTAAATCTGTTTTTACTGGAAATATCAGTACTTTGGTGAGTTAATATTTTAGATTTGTGACCCGATATTTTAGATTTGTGATCCAATTGTATTGTATTAGAAATCTATACTGTCATTCATTGTAACCTTGTTTATTCAATATATAACTGAACATTATTGACTTGTTTGTGTTTTACTTTGCTGGTTTAAAGGGGACTCACAAGACTATTGTCACGATAATTTCTAAACCGTAACAATGACAAGCTGTCAACAAGACACTGAGTCTGATCACCTGCATGATGTTTGTAGACATGATCAATATTGACCACTGAGTTAAACTTGCTTCTGTAATGTTCCTATACCTGCATGTTATGTCTTTCAGTCAATACACACTGGTGATCAGTTAAAAAAGAAATAAAATCATTATAATTCAAGAATATTTAATTTAACAATAAGCTGTTTTATACAGTGTTATATCACAAAACAAACATCAGAAATAATGTACATTCGTATGTTTCAAGGTGTAAATGGTTTTCTACAGTATGTACAGTGGTAAGTTTAGATAAATAAAGAAGATAAAATGAATATCACAGCATTATTCTTGTAGCGTGATCTCCTGATGGGTGAAGCTCCTCTCCTCCAGGATGAAGACATCACACTTTGCCTGGGACAAAACACCACATGCATTCTAATCAGTAAATATTTGAAATTGAAAAAATCAATCAAGAAAATAAGTTCTACTGATCTAATTATAACTTCACCTTCACCAAAATACCCAAACATTATTTCCTCCTGAAGCAAAGGTATTTAAAATTGAATCACCTCCTATATTGCATATGTGAAAGTATGGCCAATTCAATATGAAATAAGACCTCAAAGTATGCAAAATAATATTATTAATACTTTCTGCTAGATTGATACAATGGTGTGTGTATTTGTTTGTATGCATATGTAGATAAGTATAAATATATAAATATATCTCAGTAACTTAAGATATGTGTGTATGGTATATTGTAAAGATTCTAACCCAGTCCAATTTGTCCTTGTTATAGGCTACATTATACCATGGTTGATATTTTCCAGATAATCCCAGTATCACTATCAGCTACAGCTAACTATACATTGTTTTAATATTTGTTTCAAATTATCTGAACATTTAAAGAGTTCAAATGGGCTACATAGCCATTTAGCACTGTTTTTAAGACTTTATATATATATTTTTAGAAGGTTTAAAGATGAGACCTCACCTGTGATCTCCTGGTCTCTTCGAGGTCTGATGATGCCAGTGGTGGATGGAGGTTTGGTGGATACAAGACGAGCCTGTGGAGACTTTCCTCGTACTGGACTCTCCTGGACCCTTCTCTCAAACTCATGTGCGGTCAGGACTGGTGGCACAGGTTAAGGACAAACGTTGCCAAGAAATAACATGTCAATTCCTCAAAGAGACTAATCAACTTCTACCCTGACTACCCTGTCTTTCTCTATCACTGTAACAAGGGCCCAGTTCAACAAAGTGATCTCAGCACTAATGTCATCATAACTCCCACTCATTAACATAGGCTTACGGTCATTGTATCACTGAGATAACATTGAGGAACAAGGCCCAGTCATTCTGAAATAGTGATATTATTGGTTGCAAAATGTACAGATGCATTTATACAGTATTCAAAGTATGGGGATAATAGTTTTCGGCAGAAAATATGCAAAAGAGCAAAAGAGTGAAAAGATAAAAAGAATGCCTCCCACTGCTGTGAATATTCTGATTCTACATTTTTTTACGCTGCACAGTTAACAATATTCCAGCAAAGTGAAAACAGCTGGCAAATAATCGAGTCAGAAACAACTTGTTTCACATAGCTTACCGGTAATAATGTTCCTTACACACATTATAAGTACTTTGATTACTATCATTTTGTCCTTTGCACTGAGTACAGAAGTTGCAACTTTAAAGAACATGAGTGAGTGAGTGAGATTAGTTTTACACCGCAAACAGCAATACTCCAACTATATGACGGCGGTCTGTAAATAATCGAATCTGGACCAGACAATCCAGTAATCACCAGCATGAGCACTGATCTACGTAATTGGGATACAACGTCAACCAAGTCAGCAAGCCTGACCAGCCGATCCCGTTAGTCGCATCTTACAACAAGCATGGTTTACTGAAGATCAATTCTAACCCAGATCTTCACAGGTTTTAAAGAACCTTAACCAAATATCATGAGTGTGACCTGTTTGATTGATAGACATGTCAGGAAGTGGACACTGAAGCTGAAAGCAGGGAACGACATTGATACTGCTGTAAAACACAACCACGGACATCCTCATCACATTGATCAAATTTATATTCAAGTTAACCGACTTTTGTGACGTTCTCTGCACACATTAGATGATAACAGCCATGAGAACACAACAACTAACAAATGAAATGGCTTGTGAAAATACTGACATTTGGGATACAAAGGAAAGGATATTTGCTCTGATAGGCAAGCGTAGGACATCCGTCTCGGTGACAAAAATGAGGTCATGAGATACAATGCCAACACCAGATTCTCCCTCCACACCAACAGCAATGGCGTACAGCTCCAGTGTCAGCTCAGCCTTCATGCCTGCTGCTACCTGTCACACATAAACATCAGCACATCAGGATCCCAAAAGGTCATCCACAGTATTGTGTGTGTTTCCTCAGCCTCTGCAGGTTGGAGGGCCTTAACACAATCATTAGGCCAGGCCAATTTTATTTCTTGTTTTACGGATCCGCCTGTCGTATGTTTTCAAGAATAAGAAAAAAATAAAAATTAATTTCCCTGCTCTAAAAATAAATGCTAATGGTTTTTTTTGGCCAAAAATGTAAAATTACAAGAAAAATATTTTAGATTGTTTTTTGCCCCTATACACTTCATAAATTGCCAAAAGTAAAAATACTTTTAGTATTTAGAAGGAATATTTTACTTTGATTGGTGATTCTATTTTAATTTTTGTTTTCCCTCTTGCCTTTAGGTTTTCTGAGGACAAAAATCTGTAAAACAAGAAATAAAATTGGTCTGGCCTTATGCAGAAAATTAAGGCCACAGTTTTTAAAACACTCAACTTAAGTTGGAGTCATCATTGATTTTCAATACTCGTATATTTCCTGCACAAATACTCAGATTAAAAGCACTAAATTCTACATATGTGAACCAGAAATGATGTCAGTCTTTGAAATGAAGAAACATACATGTTAAAAGAAAATGTTTAGGAAGCATTTAGAAACCAAACAAAAACATGCGTCAAAACAAGGTCAAACTTCAGCAAGAGTCATCAATAGATGACAAATCCCTCCCCCCAGACCCCCCCACAAATTTGAAAGAACAAATCATCTGACAGTTACTTAAAGTCCAACTTGATATTTTTAGACTAAGTCCAAATCGTTTCCATGGAAACCGAGAAATATACAAATGCCAAAAATCTGCAAATAGCAAAAGCCACCACTTAAGCATCTTTTTGATATATCTGCCAATTTTCGTTAAAGATATTGAACGTTTTTTGAGTTGTGGTCCGGAAACGAAGCCCACCCCAAATTGTCCAATTTTTTTCCAAACTGTGGTCACCTGTAAAGTGTGGCCTTCAGCCAGTGTCCAGCCAATATATTATATTAATACACAATCGTCTCACAAATAAGTGAACTAGCATGGAACTACTAACCGGTCCAGGTTTGTAGATGACTCGCAGGTCCTGTGGCTGGTGGTGGTTGCTGCACTTTGAAGCGGCAGCTGTCCACGCCGGTGTTCTTCAGGTAGACAGTGAAGGAGTAGGTGTAGCCCTCCTTTAGCACACCAAAGTCAACGTCCTCAGGCAACAGGTTCAGACCTCTCATCTGCTGAAGCCGGGTTTGACCTTGGTATGTTGCCCCAGCCACAACTGTGTTGTTTACACGTCGACGCACAATATCCTCTACTTCTTGGAACTGACAGGAATAAATATAACATAGACAATCTCATAAGACAGATGAATCATCATTTCTCTTTATCCATAATCATGCTTATCATTATTACTATAAATAATGTCCATATCATCAGTTTGATTCAAACACGTTACTCTTCCTGTTGTTTGTATACTTACCCTACCATTTGGCAGTGCCCCAGGTCTCCCTCCCTGAATGGAAGATGGGAGAGGCACAGTGTACTTTCTGGGTTCACCAATGACATTGACCTTCAGACTGCGTGTCAACACAAAGTCACTGTCTTGGGAAAACTCTGCCGACACACCTGACAACACAGATACATACACTTACATATACTTACATATATGTACATACACTTACATGTACTTACAGACACCTTAATCTGTAGACTGTAACAGAAGCACGACTAAAATCCAACTCTGAACATTGAAGCTGATCCACCCATGCCCAATGTAGGCAACTAAGAGTCCCTGATGTTCCTTCAGTTGAACTTTACCCTAGTCTGTTCCCAAAATCCACTATAAGCATCACTTTCTCAGAAATTTCATGCAATACAGACATTTAATAGGTGAGATTCTGGTTTCTGGCTAGGGGTAATAGTTCTGGTTCCTGCTGTAGCAACTTGCCTTCCTCTTCCCGAGGCTGCTCCTTGATAGCTGGGCAGTCACTGCCATGGTACTGGCTGGGAGGCTCAGAGGGGGAATCAGTCATACCAACGCCACCGGCAAGCTTTGGTGTGGGGTTCACTGCAAGAATACACAAATGTTTCACTGTCCTGTATATATTCCAAATATACAACACACACATGTATCATTACAACTCACAAAAAAAAAAAGCCTATGTCTTACGATTGGAGATTTTTGCACAAATTTAGTTTCAAAGAATGTTGATCAATCCATCATATTTTCTGAAATGTTACATCATAACACACCTGGTCGTTCATTCATAGACTTCTCGGCCTGGGCAGGGGTGGGGTTCTTTGGCCTGAGGGGGGCAGGGGAACCCTGACCAGCTGCATGAGCGGGGGTGGGGTTTCCAGGACGAAGAGCTGATGGGGTGATGGTGGTGTCATTCATTAACCCTGAAGAACGTGGGAATTTGAATTAGGAATTAGGTTTTGTATTAATTTAAACAGTCAGTAGATTATTGCTAACAACACTCACTTCACTTTAGAATCATAACAGCACTATAACTAAATCTCTTGCGTGATTAATTGACACACATACTTGTTTTCTATCGATAAGAAAATTGCCAGGATTATGGATAAAAAATTACAAAACATATATTTGTATACAGATAGTATTGTCAATATTGCTGCAGTAAAATCGTTATATCAGTGCTTATATTTCTAAAGTCTATGCTGCTACAGAAGCAAGTTGTTAAATGCTGTGCAACCACAAAGCACCTGTGTAAGAAGATGGGGTTTCCATGGTGATCTTGGTTTGAGTTTGTGTGTAGGGTGAGGCGGATACTGATGACCTGTCACTCTGCTGCGATGTGCGGATTGTAGCTGAAATGTACATCATAATACATCTAAAGCAAGCCATGCAAAGCATCATGAAAACAGCTGCTCACTAGTCATGTACATTCATGTACATAAAGCTTAGCAAAACATAAAGCATTAGATGCTGACAGCTGCATGGTACCTAGAGTCATGCATGGTACCTAGAGTGAAGATGCTATCATCAGTTCAATAGTATTCTCTATGCAAGAGATAGACATGCTCTAATTTGGACACATCGAGATTGATGAGACACATAAGGTAAGGCAGCTTCCTCCACATCAGCAATGTACACTAACACTGTCCTCTGCTAGTGTCTACTGGGGTCCCCACAGTATACTTACACTGCCCTCTGCTAGTGTCTACTGGGGTCCCCACAGTACACTAACACTGTCCTCTGCTAGTGTCTACTGGGGTCCCCACAGTATACTTACACTGCCCTCTGCTAGTGTCTACTGGGGTCCCCACAGTACACTTACACTGTTCTCTGCTAGTGTCTACTGGGGTCCCCACAGTACACTTACACTGCCCTCTGCTAGTGTCTACTGGGGTCCCCACAGTATACTTACACTGTTCTCTGCTAGTGTCTACTGGGGTCCCCACAGTACACTTACACTGTCCTCTGCTAGTGTCTACTGGGGTCCCCACAGTACACTTACACTGTTCTCTGCTAGTGTCTACAGGGGTCCCCACAGTACACTTACACTGCCCTCTGCTAGTGTCTACTGGGGTCCCCACAGTATACTTACACTGCCCTCTGCTAGTGTCTACTGGGGTCCCCACAGTATACTTACACTGTTCTCTGCTAGTGTCTACTGGGGTCCCCACAGTACACTTACACTGCCCTCTGCTAGTGTCTACTGGGGTCCCCACAGTACACTTACACTGTTCTCTGCTAGTGTCTACTGGGGTCCCCACAGTACACTTACACTGTTCTCTGCTTGTGTCTACTGGGGTCCTCACAGTATACTTACACTGTCCTCTGCTAGTGTCTGCTGGGGTCCCCACAGTATAATTACACTGTCCTCTGCTAGTGTCTACTGGGATCCCCACAGTATACTTACACTGTCCTCTGCGGGTGTCTACGGGAGTCTCCTGTGGGTAGCCCAAACTACTGGTGTCCCCCCTTACTGCCTCAGTGCCATCTCGACGGGGGTCCTCGGACAATTCTTTCATCATCTGGTCCATGTCTTTGGCCTTCATAATACACACAGAATACACTATAGTGACAACAACACAAATACCACCGGTGGATCCAGAGGGGGGTCTAAGGGGGTTCGAACACAACCACCCCACCCCACCACCCCTTGAAAATGACTTAAGACCACATTGAAGAACAGGCTCAATTCTTAAAAAACATTATACTGCTGAAATATGTGAATATAAAGAGTTTCTCTTCTTCCAGCACCAGTAGTAGACAATAGTGTTGGGAGTTGGTTAAAATCTCATAATTGATGATTAGTTCAATCACCAGCAATCAATCATCGAAAATACCGGTAATTGAAATTTGTTAATGCACAAAAACATAAGGAAAACAAGTGTTTGCCACTGATATGGCAATGTCCCCCGCTGCTTCAGAATGGAATATCTATATTTACTACTTTTTATTTTGGGGTCACATACAAGATGCCTGAAATGTCTGGTGTCTGCATAATCACCCAATGTAGGCTGTCAACCTACTTGAAAACATTGGGTGCAATGTTTTGAGATATTGCCTTTAAAAAGAGGTAAAAGTATCGTGGTGACCTTGAAGATAATGTCAAGGTCACCCAAGTAAACTGGTGTCTGTGTAATACCCCAATTTATTACCCACGTGGTACTACGTAAAGGGGTTTCATAACAAAGTGTTCTGACACATATGTGTCATAACACCTTCGATTGATTTGATTGGCTAATACGTGAACTTTGACATTACCGGTACTACTTTCATCACTCATTCCATTCATGATTTTCATTCAGAAGTTTTCACACATTCTGAAAGCATGTAAAACGAGAACACTTCTATGAAATTAAATAAAATTTATTTTTTAGTGTAGTTACAAGCACAGGTGTTCAGTCCTTTAATAACTAAAATTTCTGTTCATAAAAACGAAAATAAAACAATCTAAATAAGTAAACAAATACGTCTGCTAGGACTATCGGGAGTGTAAACAAATATGGCGTAAGCCCGTAAAGTTAATGACTTGGTCAAAATTGTGGACAACTGGTTGGAAGAGTTGTGAATATTATCAGGCCATTGAATACATTCAACGTGTATGTTGTCAGGACAGCACAGGGAGAAAAGCAAGTACCTAGATACAGACTGAAAGTGTTGCCCGAGACTGTTTCGTTGGTCCCTCCCCCAAATTTGCCGATTGGCGATTATTGTGATCTGTCACAAGAACTGATTAATGAACTCTTTAGAGAAGATGAGAATGATGTAGATCTTGGCCTAGATGCTAATTTCGACACAAATGATGAAGTATGGAATAAAGAAATTGATGACTTTCTGACCAAAAATGAAAATGAAAACACGGCAAAGAAAACAAAATATGACTTGAAAACGGTCTCATTTTATTTCCAAAATGTTCTGCAGGAACACAGATCTCTTGAAAAAATCCCCCCACTCGAACTGAATCAATTACTTTGCAAATTTTTCATGGATGCCAAAAAGCAAACGGGGGCGAGTATGAGCCATCGTCCTCCAGCGGATTCGATCAAGTTTGGACCGCCATTTGAAGAGATTGAAATATCAAAAATCAATTCTACTTGACCCAAATTTGCTCGATCTAGGGAGGTGTTTACGTGTAAATTAAAGCACGTGAAGGCGGAAGGAAGGGAACTTACCTAAAGCCGCCGAGGCCGTGTCACAATCCGAAATAAACAAACTTTGGGAAGTGGGTCAACTCGGAGAGGGTCTCCGATGCTATTCTTAACACATTGTGGTGGAATAATACCATGTTTTTGGCTTAAGATCTGTCCGTCCACACAGAAATATGCTCTGGGAGATGTCTCACTTCGAGTTGACAGTGAGGGTCAGGAGTATCTTGAGTACTGCGAAGCGACAAACCAAGACCCGCGACGGTGCTAATCCGAATCCGACACAAGACGGATTCCCGAGTATGGGCTGTACCGAAAGTGACCCTGCCAGATGTCCGTAGCACTGTACAAGAAGTATCGTAGCCTCCGTCCTCAGAATTTCTCTTCAAATGATCATCCATTCTACTTAGCTTCACACACAAAGGGTGTCCCTCGTGATGGCGAATCTTGGTTTAAGCGACAGCCAGTGGGGAAAAATAAACTTGGAAACATCATGAAATCCATGGCACAACACGCACACTTGTCAAGTGACAAACGCTTGACTAATCACAGTCTGCGAGAAAAACCATGTTGCAAACTCTCAGTGAACATAACTTTGCACCTACACACATAATGCAGCTTTCAGGCCATAAAAATGTTGCTTCTGTGAATTCATATGCCAAAGTTTCTAATACACAACATCAAAGATGAGCGGCACCTTGGTATCTCGATCACTGCCACTGTCAGCCGCGTCCACTTGTCCTCTCGCACAAAACGTGTGTTCTACTGCCACTGCCATGCCTCCCGTGGTTTCTCATCTAGAGGTTGATAACACTTCTCACAGTCAGAACACAATCGGCTTGAAATCCTCTTCATTTCGAGGTTGTAGGCAGTGTGTTTTCAGGCCCAATTTACGGTGGAGTATTCAACATAAACATCGAATCTCGACAAGTGGGAATTCCAGGCGAGGCACGAGCCAATGTCCTCCGCCAAAGCGTCGCCAGTATTATCTACAGTGACTTCGTCCTCCGATGAAGAATAGCGTGTAAGCAATGACAACGACACTAACCACAACTATTTGAGACATACAGTTCCCTGTTATTTACATTTGGCTTCTTCAGTTGTGTGTGTCGCTCCTAATGCGTAACTTTTATCTGCTTGTTTGTGAACAATTTTCAACACGACTATCCCGACAGTGATGGCCGACTGGCGTTCAGGCGATATTTAGGTCAATGTGAGTTAAATTGAAAAGGTTTACAGTTTACAAGTGTTTTGATGAATTACATTATTGTATTTGAAAGCAAAACCTCTAATGAAAAGAATTAAATTTTGATTACGACTTGATTCCGTCATAATTTATTTATTATCTAGACTAGTTAAAGGAACTACATTGCCTCTACGCAGCATACGCTTCCCTGGAGTGAAACGGTCGACATTCCAATCACCAATATGATATATTAATCCGCGCAAGAGTGCGGTTCTATATAGGAAAGCAAGATATTGCTTTATTTTAACAATATTTTCATTTTTAGAACGTGGGTAATAAATAGGATACAAAACTTCGTTCCCCTTTCATATCAAGTTTATGTCCCTCGTGAAATAATTTTGCTTTGTCACTCGCTAAAGCTCGTGACAAACCAAAATTATTTCACTCGGGACATAAACTTGATATGAAAGGGGAAGCTCGTTTGATATCCTATAAGTAAACTGTCACCAAATTTGAAGACATTGGGTACAACATTTCATGAGATATCGCGTTAACAAGAGTTTGAAAAGTGGTCAAAGTGTCGTGGTGACCTTGAAAATATTGGTCAAGGTCACCCAAATCGACTGGTGTCTGCATGATCTCCCAATGTAGGCTGTCACCAAATTTGAAGACATTGGGTAGAACATTTCATGAGATATCGCGTTGGTTCATTACAACTGATCAATCATTGAAAATAATTGGTTAGCATCATTTATGAAATGTGTTAATGCACACAGAAATAAGGAAAAAAACATGTAGTTCTTTGGGGTGTTTTGGCTAAATTTCACATCTTTAAAGGATGACTAGTATGTTAGGGAACATACATTTCTTGGTGTCTTTAAGATAAATTTAATTATGACTTGGAACGAGCTTGTAATGCTTATGAAATGTAACAGACAAAACCAACCCTGTGAAAAATATTGTTGATGAAAACAAGTATTCCAGAATTGTTTGTGTTGGATTATGAAAAAGCATGATCGATTGCTTGGTCGTTTAGTCACTGCATCCAATCTTCGATTATTTCAATTAATCGGACCACCACTAGTAGACAATAGTTGGTAACGCAATTAACTATTAAGTCAGCACCATTTTTTTCAGACCTGAATCTGACTGGACTGAACAAGAATATGAATACTTACCTATGTCCAAAACAATATCCCTGAAATCACACAGTATAAACTGCTTCAGTGACCTACCTGTGTTAACAAGAAGGCTTTGCCAAGCTCACTCTCAAAGTAAAGTGGGATGACATTATTTCGGAGAGCATTGCGTCCCTCAATCTCCTCTGCAACCTCTCTCTGATCCCTCTCCCAGTCTGCTCTGGTTCGCCTAGACTGGGGCGTTGGGGGAGGGCTGGGCACTACGGGAGATGTGGCCTTTTCATATAGGTCTTTGATGGTGGCTGAAAGAATACAAATATTAGAAGTTTATACACCTGAAATATAACGCAAATCTTGACATGAACTATGTCGTGTCAGTTGCAAGCATTATTCTGACCTGGGTCAATTGTGCGTGGCTCACGCTGGACAGTGGCCTGGAGGTCAGCAGCCAATATCTTCTCTTCCTCTGACCGTGGATCTCTGACCATCATCTCCTCTGCAGCCTCTTGTCTGGCCATGACATACTCAGCATAGTCCTGTAGACCCCCTCGCAGCCTGGGACAAGGATAATACAATAAGTAATAACATTTGTGATCTGAGGGAGTACTGAGTGTGGTATTCCTTGATCTCATAATCATATTTTGAAATCAAGAACTATCACTGCAATGCATAGATACATGAATAAAACATCACAGTGTAGACAATGAGTGATAGCTGACTTATGCTGCTCCAGAAACACCAAAGTGACCTGTCTAGAAGCATGTCTCCACCAGGCAAACCGGTAATAATTGTGTACAAAGTAAAGAGTCGAAACAAGGATAGCAATAGAAGTTTCAGTTCTAAATATCTTATTAATTTCATTAGGCTAAAAACATGTAAAATATGTTCCCTATCAATACTCACTGGTTCCTGAGAGTCTCAGTGACAGGCTTGTACTGTACAATTTGTCTCAGCTCAAGCACCGATGGACATTTGAGTATTGGGATCCTTGTTGGACTACGCACAGCTGCTCCAATGGCCAGACCCTGGCCAACATTTGTCCCAAACGCTGGTCCATCCTTCTTTTCTTCCTGAGGTGGAAGAGTTGTCAGATCTCGAGATCGTATTCCATTGGGGATTATAGAATCCATGTCATACTTCTTCAGCCAGCGGTCAGATGGCCCCCCCGATGTAAGGCTTAAGGATGGTGATACCTGTCACCCCAGGGTGGTCAGGCAGGGGATCCGTCACAACAGCTGTTGCAGTGCTCTCCTCAGCGGAGGTTAGATACTCTGCCACATCCTGGTACCGCATCAGCTCTGTACCGCTGCCATCTGCATGAATAATGAAGAATCGGGGGTGCGTGCTGACCATACTGGGTGACACCCTTATCTTGTTTGTGATCATCAACACTCTCATTGGATGTCTCATCTCCATTGGCCATTATCACAGAATAGTCCCCTGTGTATTTCACATTGAACACATTGCCATCTCCATCGACAGTTTCACAGACGACATCAGCATTGTGTCGCAACACATACTGAATTCCTCGCTCAGGAAGAATCTGCTCCATACTTTTGTTTGGCTTTGGAAAGTAGGACATGGTGCCCTCTGTGTCAACCTCAATACGACCCCCCTCACAGTGGTGTACAGCATAGAAACCATCAGGGAAGACGTTGATGTTAGTTCCACTGCCAAACACAGTCAGGCTCTCGCTGGTCTTACAGTTGAACTGGACAGTAGCATAGGCTGGACACTCAATCTTCACAAACTTGATGGTCTGATTCTGCATCTGAGGAGCTTCACCTGTGAGGAAAAACATTAACGATAAACATGACACAAAATGGTTGGTTAAAATTATATTGACATTGGGAAAGGGAAAACCCATGGGTTTTCTAATTTACATTCTAAACCAAACCAAAGGGGCATTGTTTCTTCTGAAAAACGAACATTTATCAATAATCTGAAATTTCAACTCAATTTCAAGAAGATTTACAAAATGGACCAATATATAACTTGCTGGTGGATATGAACTTAAAGCATTGAGATTTATCAGCCCAGTGGTTTACTCACTAGGGATCTGACTGCGGTCATTATACAACCAATTAAATAAGAAGAAATGGTTATTCATTCACACAGAATCATACAACACATCCTTATATATTCTGTATGTCTTGTGACAAGCTAACATCTCTGCGTCGTCTTTACACATGCTGCAACTTTTTTTTTTCATTGATTTCTGTAAAATTCCATTTAACACTTCTGGAATACTGTCCTACAGATCAGCATCCTAGGGCATGGTTGTGTCCAGTGAGACTGACCTGTCTCACTCTGGTCATCTCCACTGACCGGGATGTTACTCTCACGATAGTACGTTGTGATCCGTGTTCCATCACTGTGCTCGACAATCACAGTGCCATCTGGATAGCTGACTGTGATCACATGATCATCTCTTGTTGCCATGGACTACAAACAGAACAGCACAATTAATGAAAACTATCAACAAATCTCTGTTACACACATTCCCAGGATACAGGTCCAGGGTACTGGGGATGAATGGCCCCTGTTCACCATGTGCATCATGAGTGAATGAGTAAGTTCAGTTTTACGCCACACTCAGTAATATTCCAACTATATGGCGGGAGTAAATAATCAAGTCTGGACCAGACAATCCAGTGATCAACAGCATCAGCATCGATCTATGCAGCTGGGATATGATGACATGTGTCAACCAAGTCAGCGAGCCTGACCACCCGATCCTGTTAGTCTAAGTGTGACCAGGGTGCATCACAACAGAGTGCCGTACTACTTTTGCTTCTTCAGCAGCCATAAACATCCAAGACTCATGCCACAGTTTCCCATAACAGACAAGGCTCTGTCCACATGTCCAAAGAGATCAACATATTCATCACATATGAAAAGACAAAGATGTCTTCTCTGAGATGACTTTTAAGAAGCAAAAGACAACATTCATTCACACAGTGTTCATGGTGGTTCAGGGGAATATGGCTATCACCTTGCTGGCCTTGTGAAAGGTGAAACATGAATGATATTAAAAAACTGAACCAACTCAATGGTTACTGTAAGTGTCCCAACCTGTCTAGTTTCTGGGTCTGATGCCACACAAATCATGACAGGCTTCAGTTCCTCCGCTGTGCCGTCTGAGTGTATGGCCATCCTGTCACCATTCGGGTATGTCATCACCCAGGTCCCCTTCTTGGAATTGGACTCTTCAGGTGCCACATGCTCGCCGAGTTTGTCTGGGGAATGGCTCTTCCCTCTGGCACTACGTACAGCTGGAAAGGAGATGAAAGTGAGTTACTTGAAGAATCTGACAAAGCAGATAGCTAAAGATGAAACCTATAAAAAGCAAAACCACCTGGAAATTAATAAAATCATGACTTACAATAATTGTGGGCCTCTGTAAAAGTGCTATATCGAAACAAAACCACATACAGAACCTTCCTACGATTAGTACACTCACATTTCTTGGTGGGAGTCTCCATGCCACTCTTGCCGCTCTCACCCCGATGTGGGGAGCTACTTCTGCTGGTAACCAAGGGAGTCGACCCTGTGTGCTTGTGTACAGTGCCATCAGAGTGGAGAACCTAAACACCACGTACCAACGTTACAACACAATCTACAGATCATCATCTCTCAACTGGTAAATCACAGATATAATCACACTGTTACAACTTCTTGAACCTCATTCATCAGCACGTTTGACTTGACTTTTCTATTAAGAAAACCTAACGAACACTAAAAAGCCATGGACCAATATAGAGGCTTTGCTTTCCAGGTTCAGGATGTCTGTTAACTCTCCTGGCTGTAAGCAGGTTGCATAGCTTGCTGTACATACCTCAACAGTTCCATCTAGGAGAGTCTTGACCACCGTGCCATCAGCAGTGATCACTCGGGACTGTTCTGTGAGGACATACATCTTCCGTGCAGCCTCACAAGGCTGGGAGCCCTTGGTTTTGAATGGGTAGCTCTGTTTGACCACTAACTGGCGGTCATCCTCCGAGTTTGGCTTCACACCTTGACAGATGGACATGGGAACATGTATCTTTACATCATGTAGCTCATAAAGGAGCTCTTCCCCACAGTTTAGTACCTATTTTTCAGTTTATGTCTGAATATTCAATTAGCAACATGAGTGATTTTGATATTTTGGTAACAATGTTACAATCACTGTATATGTATTGCGTTTCCAGTTCTGATTCAAATCACTAATACAGCATTAAGATATAAACAAAGCATCTTGAAAGCAAATATGTAAAACATATGTGTACTAAAGCTGTACATCAACTATACAGTTTCCTCACCCACGGTGCTCTGCAGGAAGTATCGGACATGCAGGCCATCTGGACATGTCACATACAGCTGCTGGAAGGGCTGCTGGACATCAGGCTCTTCCTCCGGCATTGTCTCCTCCTGTGTTTCCTCCTCAGGGGGAGGCTATGAAAATATTATTGATTTGGTAGGAAAAGTGCGTATTAATGATTGCATAATTTCATGGTAGCAAAGAAATTGAAACAATTAAGCCACAAATTTAATCTCCCTAAGAAAAATGCAAAAGTACTCAATGTTCATCAGGCTCCTGATCTTCAGTCAGATATGAAATGAAGTATATCTATTGTATGTGTTCCCTACCTGTTGTGGGGGCTCTGGTGTGGGGGCACCCTTCCCCTTGTCCTTCTTGCCCTTGCTTGGGGAGCCCTGCGATGCCTGGGGGAGGGGGCTGGTGCTGATTGGTTGGGGGACATACACTTCGGGTTCGTATTTCTTGCCTGCAAGATAATGGAAACATCAACACAGGTGACCACAGACACAGTCACCCTGTATCATTAGTAGGGCTGTAACGATGCATCGAACTATCAATGGATTGCAATTGTTGAGTCTCCCATAGCATTTAATCGATGATAGAAACTATCAATGCATCGATAGTATGTGTGACTATCAATAAATACAGGAAGTACCAGATTCACTCACTTTGATTTAGAGTTATTACCTCTCAAACAAACTTGATCTGGGTTTCAAGTTTCAAAACAATATGCAAACAATAGGGCAAAGTCATTGCAATTGTAATGGTCAACAATAATTGTCATGTAGCATATGTTATATTTGGCATTACACTTTCTCAGTAAAGTACAGATTCTAGTACTTTTTGGGTTGAGTCCCATCCGGGATTCGAACCCACACCCTCAGAGTCAGGCACCTAATCGCCAGCACACAAAGTCAGACGCCTAGACCGCTCAGCCACCGCGGCTTCAACAAAAAGGGAAGTCGGACAACTGGTAGTCTAGACTGCGGACTTTGTGTACCCCTCTGATAAGTGTTAATTGGCACAGCTCCCATGGCCGAAAGCTATGAAATATACAATGCCATTTTAGAAAGTGGTAAAATGTAACATATGTTATATTTGGGATTACACTTTCTCAGTAAAGTACAGATTCTAGTACTCTTTGGGTTGAGTCCCATCCGGGATTCGAACCCACACCCTCAGAGTCAGGCACCTAATCGCCAAACTTGATCTGGGTTTCAAGTTTGTCATATATACATACACCAATGAAAAGTTGAAAAACATTTGTATAACAGACCCCAAACAAATAATAGGTACCAGTTTATAACTAGACCTATCTATGGCCAAAGTTTGGTGAAAAAATATTGTTCTGTTTATCAAAATCTGTTCTGGAAACAAACACAATAACCTTTTTTCAATGTACGTCAAAATTGTTGCCACGAAAAAGCTAACAAAAAGAAACAGTTCACTACTTGACCTATCTATGTACTAAGTGTGGTCAGGAAATATTGCAAATGCTTCAAAATCTGCTCTGGAAATGACATGTGTCATGGATGGACAGATGAACTCATGGACAATGTCTATTATAAGACCCTCTGCAATATGTGTAAGCATACCAAAGCTTTGTAGATAGGGTCTCTGTCTTTGTTCATAATATTTCACCCAAGTTAAGATGTCTGCTAGTGTGGTTGCTGCGATGTGAGGGCAAGTATAACTGTCAAGGGTGCAAATGCACTCACATCATCTTTTGCACCGATCTATTATGGACTCATAGAGACTAACACATAGACACTAAGGACAAATTAATGCACAGTGCTGTTTTGTTAAGTGTTTCATTTAATTTGGAAAATGTTGAATACTCAGACAAGTGAATATCCTTTGATGAAAGGTGAAACTAATACCATCTTTAGCATTATGTGATCAGAAGCAATCTACCCACCATCTTCTGCTTTGCCGTCTGCTCCAAACTGAGAGAGAGCAAGGCTCATGCCGTCTGACAGGTATGCTGTGATGGAGCCAAATGCACTCACAGATTTCTTTCGGGAAACTTCAGCTGCCTCCTTCTCATCATCACATGGTTTATCTGCTAAGAAACATTACCCAAATCAGACCTTCACTTACTTAGAGATTCAATGACATTATTGCTGGTTGAACCAAATATGTCAGGGACTAATAACTTATGACTGGGGTGAGTGAGCTGTGGTCAGATTGGGCTTTGGTCTGAATCATATTGACATTTCTTCATTCAGGACATAACCACTCCATATATTAAGTGATCAATCCAAAAATAATGTTATTCCAAAATTACAGAACTGTTATTTTATCATGAGGTGAGCCAGTAAGAGGTAACTATCTGGAACACATATCCAGGTCATACTTACCAGACTCTTTCTCCGACTTCTCCAACTCAGATTTTTCTGGCACATCTTTCTTCTCTTCTCCATTGTCTAGCTCTTCCTCTTCTTCCTCTAGGCTCTCACATGGGTCAAGGATGTGGACACACATGACATGGTTGTCCTTCAGCACGGAGGTACAGACACTGGTGGTGCCTGTAGAGAGTTCTCCATATCAACTATGTCCCTCAGTGGGCTACATATGGCTTACTCATTCATTCTATCGTTTGTTCATTTTTTTCACAACATATTTTGTTATATCTAACAGTAACAGGTAAACTGACAGTTTCAAAAATAGCATTTACAACTGAATTGACAATTTGTCAATGACAGATACATCGGGAGGCATAAACAACTGATATATATGCCTGGACTGAGTATTTCATAAACAAAACAAAGCATGTTTTAAAGTGTATTTAGTCATGAGTACCGGTAATTAATTACACAGATTATAAATGAAAGGCAGATATTGCATAAGCAACAGATACCCCTGAACAGATGTTTTATAAACAACAGACACCCAGGAACAGATTTTGCACAAACAGGTACACCTGAAAATATTTTTCAGGAACAACAGATATATCTGAACAGAAGTAACAGACAAATAACAGACACACCTGAAGCAAGGACTATATCAGGGGATTATCTATATGTATCTTACCTTGAACAAAGTCTGTCCTCTCGGTCCTAATCTGACCACCATCCGAGGGAAAGAGGGTGGTCACGATGCCAGAAACATGAACAAGGTTGTTTCCTACATCGTAGCCAGTATACTGCAACAGAATGTATGCATGGAATTGCTAACATAGGATACAGTAATTACCACTACTTCATATGAATATATATTAAGTTTTCATGTTAATCAGGGTTATTGTATTACAGCACCATTCTGAAGTTGTAAACTCTATCCCGTAGACCAGCTTTCCACATATTTCCACAAGTAATGCTGCCTCATCTCCTCACCGGCCAATATCTCTCCTCCTCCTGAGGCTCTGTATTTCCTGGCACCTCTTGCGTCTCTTGAGCATCCTTCTGCGATGCCTTGGACTTGGCACTTCCTCGAGACCCTGGACGCTTCTTCTCCTTTTCTTTGTCCTCCTTCTCCTCATCTTGTTTCTGTCCAAGAGAAAAGTAATGGTTAGAAACAATCAATAGCATAAACTACAATTTCTGTACTTTCTACAAAGCAAAACATATTTCAGGAAGAGCAAGATTTCTAACAACAGACCTTCTTGGGTGACTTGGACCTCTTCTCACTCTTAGCTCTCTCCTTCTCCTCCTCCTCAGCCTTGACGCGATCCTGTTCCTCTTTCCATGCCTTCAGTGACCCTGCACGGATGAAGGGGTTGCTGTTCTCAGATGGTGGCCGATCTAGGCTGTTGTTGCGTGAGCCTCGGGGACTCTTGGAACGATCTGTTGACAGGCAGAAATATTACAAAAATATATGTGATTTTTGTGTACAATCTCAAACATCAACCAAAAATAAGAGCAAGTACTGTCAACTGGCTTCATTCATTTACAAGTAAGTCCTTTAAATGCAGCATACACCTAAAAGCATGTACACTGCTACATCTAGTAAACACATTTTTAGACTGGGCTCAGTGATGACAGTGTAAGCTTGGATGGTGTTTACAGGTTTATTGAACAGCAAACACCTGTAAGTAACCCATTTCGTGCTTACCCTTCCAGCACACTGAACTTACTTCTGGTCTTGCTTGGGGACTTGCTCCGACTCCCCTTGGCAGCTTTCTCTAAAGCCTTTGCAGCCTCCTCGTCATCTTTCATTATCTGGCCAACTTCCTTGGACAGCCTCTGCCCCTGGTACTCAGCCTCCTTCTCCTTCAGCCAGTCACTCACTGACTCAGCCACATACTCCAGGTAATTCCTGATGTACATAGAACAGCAACTGCACCACCGATTTCAGTTACATGTCATTACATTACATATGCCTCTCCATGAAAGGTGGACCTCTTCACATATCATGGAAATTTTAACTATAAATTGCATATACTTATCCTATCACACGGTATGCAATTCTCTCTCTATTTTGACCAAGGCGTGGAAATATGCTGTAGGCTAAGTGGAACCAAATCTTCTTGCCTCTCTCCCACCCGCCCGCTCCCCCTAGCTGGACGTGTCAATCATCCCTGTAAAGTGCTCAGATGGTCACGTGACGTCCCACTACGAGGAGAGGGAGAGAATCCATCGCATGAGATAGGATAAGTATATAAACATACAATTTGTTGTTAAAATTTCCAAATTTTTAAACTTATCCCATCTCACGGTTGGATAGTGGGCCACAGATTACCCTGTGTCAACTCAACAACCGTGAGGTCGCATAAGACAAGGAGGCCTGGAGAAAGCACCAACTCCCGATATGCTAACTCCAATACTTGTGATGGGTTGTTTCTGATTTGATAAACCCCTTTGCTTACACAGCACAAAAACTCTAGAGAGTGTGCAGTCCCGAATGAATGTGGTTTTAAGCGGCAACTTTTGTCAAGCAAAAGGATGCAGTTTGGCAAGTAAACCCCGCCTCCCCATGATTTCTCATAAAGCCCCAGTGAATTAAAGTCGAAGGCCTTAATCTGGACAGCCCCTGTATTGAAACCATCCCCCACAGACACACGCTGGAAGGCGGTGAAAGGGAGAAAAGTCCGGCACTCAACTCGTTTAACGTTCAGTACCAATCCACCATCTTACCAAAGGTGAGAAAGGAACTTAGGAGCGGAACACTTCGAAAACCATATAGGTAATCGGAAATCAACAGAGTAGAGCTCAACAAGTGGAGTGTCAACCACCTCTGCACAAGTACAAGACTGGCCTCACAGTCTATCGAGTCATGGGTATCACAGTACTAACATGCCCTAGTTCAAGCTAGGTGAGGTGATCTATGCCCAAATAAAATCAATACCAACAAGAAAGAAAGATAGGATCGATATCTTTCATTGATATACAGAATGCAATACTGACGCGAAGGTAGGAACTGCTTCTTTATCTGCGGTTGTGAGCCGACGACAACTGCTGCGTTAGAACCAATTAGGGACGACCCATCACATCAGTGACGGACAGATCCCAGAGATAGTGAGAGGTGAAGATTGTGTCTGACTTCCAAAACCAACCCTCCATGATGGTGTGAAGGGAACAATTGCTGTGAAGCACCATTGTGGAAGCCAAGGCTCTCGTCTCATGAGGGTTGGCCTTAAAAGGTGGAGGAAGGTCAGCGTAGTTGTAGGCACGAAGGATGGTAGACCTCATCCAGAATGCCAAGGTAGTACAAGAGACCTCTGCAGATGAGGCGGTAGACAGAGGAATAAATAATCTCTTACGTAGCCTACGGCGGTCCTTGAAAGCAGCTAGATAGACCCATAGAGCCGGACAGGACATAGGGAGAGATCCTCAGTGTCGCCAGGGCCCAAAATTGTAGACAGTGGCGGAATGACAAACAGTCTGTCCGACTGTCCTGGCAACTGGTTTTTGGCGATGAAGTCCAACCTCAAACCTAAGAAAACTTTGGCATGTCGTGTCCTCACAAACCACACCCAGTTGACATTAAGTGCGTGAAGCTCAGAGATGCGAGCAGCTGTTGCAAGAGCAATGAGGAAGAAAGTCTTAAATGTGACATGCTCCAAATCCTTCTCCACTAGAGGCTCATATTCTTCCGCCGTGAGATGTCTAAGTACCATGGAAAGATCCCAAGCTGGTGCCAGGAACTTCCGAGATTGATCAGCAACCTTGTACGATCGCAGGAGAGACTGGAGTTCAGGGACAGTCGATACCTTGACACCCGTAGCCATGACAATTAACGTGTTAAGCACAGCTACATATGTGGCCAGAATTGAACCCTTCAACGTCTTGGAAGCACGTAAATGCTGGAGATATTCAGCTACCATCTGTGGTGATGCTGTAGTAGGAGAAATAATGCCCTTCACCATGCAATATTCTTCAAAGGTCTTCCACATATCATTGTAGAGTGTACGGGTGGAAGTATGACGCGCTGTGGTAATTGTCATAGCGACACGCTTGGAATAACCCTCCGCAATCAGCGATTTATGCAAATGTGCCAAGCGTGTAGATGGAGCGTAAGGGTGGATCAGAAGGCCGTTGCATTTGGGAAGTGGTACTGGGTGTGGATTGGCCATGTTTTGCAGCTCTACAAACCAACTTCTGGCCGGCCAATAAGGCGCAACCAAAAGCAGTGTCATCCACTGCATCACTCGTAACTTGAGTAGTATTCATGGAAGTAGCGCCACTGGTGGAAACGCATACGCGTTGGGATCTTCCCAAGGGATTGCTAGTGCGTCGTGTTCCCATGCCAGAGGATCCGGAATCGGTGACACGAATTTCGGAAGCTGGGTGTTGAAGTGGGTTGCGAATAGATCCACTGTCAGGCTCAACATCGCCCATGAAGAAAAGTAGAGACAAATGGCAGACAGAGCATAACACAGCCTACAGCACGTTTCCACACCTTGGTCGAAGTAGAGAGAGACGTGCATACCGTGAGATAGGATAAGTTTAAAAATTTAAATTTGTACCATATCCAATAGTTCAAATCAACTGGCAAAAGGCAAAAGTACACCAAAATCCTCCACATCATCATTTGACCAAAAATAAAGATTCACAGAAATTCTGCAAACTGAAATACATGTTGATAATGGAGTGCTTAATAAGGAGGTTACAGTATGAACATATACAAAAAGAACATGATTGAAGCCACATACACCATGCACAGTGTCCAAGAGACACTGAGTGTGTGAGCTAGCTGACCTGAATCCCATGTTGGAGTGCAGTTCTGTGTGCCAGTCCACGTGGTTCTGCAGCTCTGTGTTGTAGGGGTTGTGCAGTGCCACCAGGAGGGAGTGGTCCCGCTTATGGTAGTAAGTATCCATGAAGGGCAGACTGTAGGATGCTTCCTTCATCACCTGGAGAGGAGGATACACTCTTAAAAGCAGCAGACCTTTACTGACAGTATCTACAGATACTTTCATACAAACAGACATATGATGCTAGCATCATGAAATACTCACAAGGTATCGTTCATTCAGGTCAAGTCTTTATTTATTTACCATCTAATATACTATTAGCCCTCTAATGCATGTCCTCATTCTTTTCTCATTCATTCATGTCCTCAAAGGGGCAGTGGAGTAGCCTACTGGTTGAAGTGTTCGCTCATCATGCTGAATACCCGGGTTCGATTCCCCACATGGGTACAATGTGTGAAGCCCATTTCTGGTGTCCCCCCACCATGATATTGCTGGAATTCAGCTGAAACCGGCATAAAACCATACACATTCATTCACTCACTCATGTGCTCAAACATTCATTCATAGCTCCCTCATTCATTCACTCTATGTTCCACAATAACGTGGGTTGTGGGTAGCCTAGTGATTAAAGTGTTTGCTCATCACGTCAAAGACACACATTCGATTCCTTACACATGGAATCTGTACCCTACTGTGGTGTACCCTAGTGTGACATTTCTTGATATTGCTAAAGAGCAGGAATCATGTTCCCACACACACATTCCAACTTAATAACCTTCTCCATCATGTCAGAAATTATGTCACACACACACACATTCAATCACATCATGATGCATACATTCTGCATCACCTCCTTACATCATCATTCATCACTCACCTGCAGAAGTATTGAATTTTCAAAATGTTCAGCAAAGCACCACTGGTCCAAGATCCTCTTCTGGGCCTCTACAATGTCCTTGATGCTGTCCTCCACACTCTGCTCCTGCCCCTCCCCCCGGGCTGTCACCTCCTCCTCCTCCCCGTCAGTCTGGTGTGGAGGCACAGGTCGACCCTCATGATCTACCTCAAAGTGCACTGAAAAAATAGCACATAAAACTCAGACAATTCAAATGATCAGTGCAAAGATTAGCTGAAAGAATTTCATTGAGTGAACCTAAATCTGATGAGAATCAGTTGAAACTTTCTCCCGTCAGCAAATGGGGGGAAGCTATGAAAAGGAAACAGTGAACTATCAGATAATTGTTAAATCCTCATACACCTTTATCACTCTTTCTGGACACATGCACATTGGATAGAACATGACCTACCCGAGTTGCTTCTTGAATGTTTCTCTAAGGAGTTAGATCTCGACTGTGGACGAAGAATGCCCTTCTTGCTATCTGCTGTGGATGGGCGTGTCAGGATGGGTGTGCCATCTCCCTCCTTCCTACCAGATGCAATAGAGTCCCCACCACAATCACTGGCAATCTTTGACCGGTTATCTGGAGTTGGTGATCGTCCTCCTAACACATCAGAGCAAAAACAATCTCATATTTTTCTCCAGTTTGGAACCTCTCACCACCAAGATCTGACAAGCTATATGAACACATCATATGATACACACCTACATTATTAAACAACTGCATTGCCTTGTCCAAGGCCACAACACTGACAATGAAAATGTAATTTTCTGAGTAAAATTGATATTTTATACTTATCCTGACTCATGCTATTTTGCTTGTCTTCTTCTCCTTGCGAACGTTAGTGGAACACTTGAATCCCCTTTTTTTAAGCTCCCTTCAAAAAGCAGACGTAAAATCACTACTCACCAAGATTTATGTCCCTTCTCAGTTTTGACGGGAAACGGCGCCACCCGTCTCCCAGCTCCTCACTCTCTCCGTATATCAAGCCCGACACTTAGATTTGCTGGGAAATCCAAAAGTGCCTTGAGGGGAGGTTGGGAGGGCTGACCTCATGAGTCAGGATAAGTATAAAATATCAATTTCACTCAGAAAATTACATATTTTTCCTTATCCTGACTCATGCTATTTTGCTTGTAGAATCCCATGGATTTGGTGGTGGGTCCTGCCACTTCTGGATTCCAAGCTTGGTGATTTACGTCCTGCATACCCCCCCATGGGAACTTCATGGTAGCACTGTTAATTTACTGCTAGGTTCTGCTGCTGCTGACCTTATCTTCCAGCTTTCTCTGATGGGGGGACCACAACTTGTCAGCTTTTGGTCCTTTCTTCTGCTAACATTATGTGTGGATTTGTGCAACTCCATCTGTTGATGCTTGCATCAAGTGGAGAAGCGACCCTTCTTATGTACGAGTACGTCCTTACAAGTACAGGGTCTATCACTCATGCTGGTCTGTCTTAGACGTGCACATGGACTCCCTAAAGCTCTAACTCCCCAGAGTGTTGGCTTTTGCAAGTCACGTGATAAAAGGGCGAGACTCTGTCTCAGCGCCTTTGTGGAACCGTCAGTTGTTGTGCTACAACAAGAGGCCCAAACTGGTGAATGCCGGAGACGTCCTCGGTGGCGATGTCTCTCAGGTAGTGGTTGGCAAACACCATGTCTGATTTCCAGAAGCAGCCCTCCATTATCGTGGTGATGGAGCAGTTTCCATGTAGAGCGAGTGTTGATGCCAGAGCTCTAACTTCATGTGGATTGGAGGCTCGTGGAGGATCAAGTCCTGCTGCTTTATAGGCCCTTAGGATGACAGCTCTCATCCATATTGATATCGTTGTGCGAGAGATCTCTGTAGGTGTCTCTGCCGATATAGGGATGAAAAGGCGCTTGAATTTTCGTCTCCTGGTCCTAGACCTTTGTAGGTAGACTTTTAATGCTCTTACTGGGCACAAGGATAGGTCCTGTGTATCCTGAGGCCCAAGGACAGATGATAATGCTGGGATGTGGAACTGTCTGTCGGGTTGACCTCGCAGTTTATTCTTTGCTATAAAGTCCCATCTTAGTCCCATATGTACGATGTTGCGTTTCGCATCAAATCGTGTCCGTTCAAAGTCCAGAGCATGTATTTCCGACATCCGTGCTGCTGTTGCCAAGGCAATCAGAAATAGAGTTTTCTGTGTCAAGAACTCATAAGATGTCCTATCTAATGGTTCATAAGCGTCACTGGTGAGATGCTGTAGAACTATATTGAGGTCCCAAGCCGGAGCTATAAATCAATGTTGTTGGTCTTCCAACTTGAAGGACCGTAAGGCCAGTATCTCTGGTACCTTAGTCAGTTTTACACTCGTCCTCATGGTGATAACTGAGCTCAATGCCGCTCGGTATGTTGAAAGTGTTGAACCTCTTAACCGCTTTGTTTGTCTGAGATGACAAAGGTAGTCCGTTGCCCATGCTCGTGGATCTGGTATTGGAGAGACGAATGTTGCCAGTTGATTGTTGAATCTTGTGGCGAACAAGTCTATGAGCGGAGCTCCTATCTCTTGTATGATCTGTTTGAAGATCTCTGGATGTAGCATCCATTCTGTTGGGGATGGTTGTGTTGGACGAGATAGTGCGTCTGCTATCACATTCTTGGCTCCTGGAATGTGGCATGCTTTTATGTGGATGTTCAGATTGTCCGTTATGCTGAACGATGAAAGCAAAGGACCAGAAGGTTCGCCGACCTTGTCGCCACTGTGGAGTTGTCCGTATGTATCATCAGATGAGCATTTTTTAGAATGCTGGTCCAGTGGAGTATGGCGTTTATGACTGCTTTCATCTCTAGCATGTTGATATGCAGACTTTTCTCCTGTAACGTCCATTTCAAAGCTGACACTTCGTTGTCGAGGTGCGCTCCCCATCCCTGAAGAGATGCATCCACGTAGAGATGAGTATTGCACTCCGGCTCTGCTAAGTAGGTCCCTCCGCAAACATTCGATCTCAGAGTCCACCATAGTAGATATGGTTTTAGTCTGTCCGGAAGTCCGGATCGTCCAGATGGGCATTCACGAAGACCTGGAGTGGTCGTAGGTGTAGTCTCCCTCTGCGGGTCATGTCCTGCGCTGACGTGAGGATACCCAAAAGGCTTGCCAATCTCGTAGTGGCCACAGAGAGAGTAGAGCTTGAGATACCATGTGTTGTATCTTCAGCCAACGGTCCTCTGGAACCGCTATGCGGTTTTCTGTTGTGATGAGCCGAATTCCTAGGAACTGCAGGTCCTGTGTAGGCTCTAGTTCCGACTTGAGGAGATTCACTAGCCACCCTAGTTGAGTGAGAAGCCTGATGGTGAAGTCTAGTTGCAGTCTGAGATGACTGGGATCTTGATGAGCTTGAATCCCATCGTCCAGGTAGAACGCACTGCGTAGACCTCGATGATGTAGATATGTGATGATGGGCTTTGTCACTCGTGTAAACAACCAGGGGGCCGATGATATTCCAAATGGAAGGACTTTCCATTGGTAGTGTCGTCCGTCTAGGAGGAATCTTAGGTACTTCCTTGATTCCGGATGTATAGGGATGTGCAGGTATGCGTCCTGTAGATCTATGCTGGCCAGATGGTCCCACGGACGAACGAGATGTAGTAGTTGAGGCAGATGAATCATCCTGAATTTTGCCAGTCTGCATAGATAATCTCTGTTGAATTTCCTCATGTTGTATATAAGTCGGAACTTTTCTTTGGAGTTTTTCTTTGGTACAAGGAAAACTGGGGAGTAGAACACTGGTGAGATCTGGTCCTGATCTATCACTTCTATAGCGTCCTTCTCTAATAGAGATGTGACAGCTTCGCGCAGCCTCTCTATCCGATGGGCCGCGATCTTGAAGCCCTGAGGTCTGTCTGTCAATGGAGGGGCTGCTTGTAGTTGTATTTGATATCCTGCGCGCAGGATGTTGGATACAAATTGGTCCTGAAGAATTCCCCAATTCTCCCAGTAGCATTGTAGACGTCCACCCACTTCGGAAGGTTGTACAGGAACGACTGGGGGTGGAAGACTCCAGTCGTTCCGAACCCGTCCTTCATCGTCTAGAGCCTCTGGCACCTCTGGGTGCCCTGCCTCGTCCAGATCGTCCTCTATAGGTCCCAGATGAGCGATGAAAAGAGTCCTTTCCTCCTCTGGAGGTCCCATATTTCTTTTCTCTTGCTCTTTGGAAGACCTGCAAATTTAGATTTGCCGGAGTAGCGTTGGGACGTCTGCCTGATGACACTGACTAGTGTATCAATAGACTTTATCATCATCACCTCCCTGGATTCCTTCGTGACTTCCTTGGCAACCTCGTCAATCTCTCCCACGAAGACCGATGTTGTAGACCACGGCGCTCTATAGAGAGTCTTAGTACAGCACTCACTCCAGTTGCATGAAGACAAAAGTCCCTGTCTTCTGGCAAGCGTCAATGCTGCTGATATGGATGCCAAATGCTCCGACATAAACTGGTGGTCCTTTTTCTGCGTTAGTAAGGCAGAATAAATCATCCGGTCCTCCTCCGAAGTTGAGTTCCTGAACTTGGAGATGAGCGTCTCATTAATTGCCCTCGATCTGGTAAGTCCGAAGAAGGTCCGCCTGGTCATAGTGTCTATCTGTGCCAGCTTTTTGTCATCAATCTTATAAGATTTGGTCCAGGAGTCGTTGATGATTTTATAGTTCTCATCCATCTCTGGTGCCTTCATGAAGGGGTCCATATGATGTAGTGAGAACTTCTTTGCGTTGAACCGTCCACTCGGGCGAAGAAGGAGAGAGTGAGGAGCTGGGAGACGGGTGGCGCCGTTTCCCGCCAAAACTGAGAAGGGACATAACTCTTGGTGAGTAGTGATTTTACGTCTGCTTTTTTTAAGGGAGCTTCAAAAAAGGGGATTCAAGTGTTCCACTAACGTTCGCAAGGAGAAGAAGACAAGCAAAATAGCATGAGTCAGAATAAGGAAAAATACACTCATTTTAGAAAGCTGAGTGGCCCAGTAATTCACACATCCTTCATATTGACTGAGTGTCAGAAATAGCTACAGGGTTATATATCTACATATAGAGAGGGTTTGTGAGATCTCGATAGAGAGGTGTAGCATAATATCTGATGTGGGGGGACACACAATCAGAACATCAGCACTTCATAGGTATTGAGACAAATATTATCCCCCCAAAAGATAGGCTAAGTGTAAACAGAAGGAAAAATATATTTCTGGCCAAAACCTTGTTAGTAATAAGTGTGCACAACTGACATTTGAGTACACATAATGAATATCTCATTGCCATAATATAAAGCCAAGATCATTGTGTTCCTTAGGTATCACAGATACACACTTCACAATATTCAGTATCTTTTTTGTAACACATATGTCGAATAAACCACTTTGATTTCACAGAGTAACATTAAGACTTCAATATAAGAATTTTATTGTCAATTACCAGTATTAACATATCGAAAGCGTATTAGCCCCACCATCTAAAATATTTTCAACATGTACTTAAATGATACATTGCACTTTCATCTACATAGAAGATGCTTCCACCTTGGTAGATGATACTTACATCTACATTGAAGATATCATCCATGCAGATGTTAAAAATACTTTATGCTGTGGTACTAATATGCTTCCATATTAACACTGTATCATGGATATAAATGTCAATACAGAGGGTTAGTGAGGCAAAGACAAAGCATGCAGTGTGGGTTATCTCAAGTGAGAAATTCTCAAAACACTGAAGAGCAAGCGGTATTGTAATGTTAACAAAAGTAACATCAATGGAATCTGCAAAAATCAGATGAAAGCATGAAGTCAAATTTAGAAGCTTCTCTCTGTACATTCATGTGAGAAATGTAAACAAAAAAACAAAAAAGAACATCCCCACAAAAAAATGACATTATATGCATTATTCGTTGCTATTAAGACAAAATTGCAAACTTTCTGCAGTTAAATTCATAATTTCAAGCAAAATAAAAACAGACTTAAAGCAATGCTCAAATCTAGTTAGATTCTGAATTAGAGCAAAAACAGTAAACTGTGAAAACTAAAAACAGATCTATGAAAGTAAGATTTTCAAAATTCAATAAAAATTAATCATAACTGCTATGAGCCCCATACTTTTAACTTTTTTGTTTCTAGGTCGACCCTGCCTGCAAGTCTTAGACGTCTGAGGCTCCTCAGCTTGGGTGTTAGTTGCAGGCTGTGCAAGGATGGGGAAGGGGGAGTTACGTGAGGGACAGGGGGAGCAAGGGAGGGACACATCCGTCCAGTCAAGCTCACTGCCTGAGTAAAGACAAGAGAAGGTTACAATATACAAGCAACAAGACACACTGACACTTGTCTATTTCAGTGGATCATTGAGTCACTAAACAAACTGCAAACATGATGACTCAAAACATCCTGTTCAAATAGACAAATGACATTGGCATATTGGAGGTTAAAAATATACTTTCTTAATGATTGCATTGAAACTGTTACATTGTCTCAATCAATTACATTGTGGATTAAAGAAGAAATTAGGCAATAATGCACAACTATTGCACTTTGCAGAGTAAACATATTACATGCATACAAGTTGGAAAGTATGTAAATTTACAATCGGAATCAATATTATTATTAGCACGACTAGAGATCATAGGATTTTCAACATTATTATCAACAATCTTAACATGTGCATGGTCTTACTGATTCAGTCTCAGACACTTATTTCAATATGAGTGGTGAAGAGATATTAAATCTATTTGTGTGCATTAGCTTGTGGTGCCATGGTGTTGTATACATCTGTTGACAATCAAATACTACCAGCCCCCAACCCAAAATAAACATACAAATTGGTAAGAATAAGTATCTGACATGTACTTGGAGTGGAAATAGTCCAAGACCTTGATGTCCAAAGCCACCTCCGCCTTAGGATCATCTGAACTGTCATGTTCAGCCAAAGACTTACAATCAATATAGAGCTAAGATCACTTAACACTTGCCCCTGGCACTTCATGCAATACTACTTAACACTCAACTTCCTTTAGATATAGCTAACATTTAACCATCTTCATATCCATTCTTGGCAGCCTCTGTGGACATTGAATCCCCACATGGAAATTCTCATGAGGGATGTGGATGTCACATACTCAAATTTTGCTAAGCACAATGCAATTATGTAAACAGACACAAATCAGACAGAAATCCTGTACTTTCTAATTTCAAGATGAGTTACACCATCAGTTTCAATAAGTTTGTTTCCCTGTGTGTCCATTAAGGCTACAAGACACTAGAACATAATAAACGAGAAAAGGTCAACTGAACACCGAGTGGACTATACCTGACCGCTCCTCATCAGAGGGTGAGGTGGACATAGACAGCTTGGGAGGGTGTGGTTTATCCTGAAGTGTTAGCATACTCCTGTAGTAGGGGTAAGGATCATCCCAGGGGATAGCCGAGTGTTCCATGCCCTCACTATCCCGGGTTATGATAAACCCATTCGCATCAGTTCCAGCAAGGTCCATTGATTCAAATACAAACTGTTTGAAGGCTCGGTCAATTTCTGCAGATACAAAGCATAAACAAATCAACATATTTAATGTGAAACAGAAGAAGGAAAACAATCACCTTCTTAACATCTTTTATCCATTGATCCCTTTTGACGCCCAGTGATATCAGTTAATCAACAAAATTCTAGCAGTTGCTTTCAATTCCTGTCCATGTAAGCTGTCCAATCAAATTCTAACTTTTCCTGTATTTGAAGACTTCCACATAAAGTGTTAGGTCAGAATCATGATAAACTTGTTTTTTATTCCACAACAGTGTACCAAAACCAGCAGTTTCTCCCTTCCAGCTGGGTACACTATGTGTAAAATAGGACTGTGTGCTGCAGTCTTACTGCTTCAGAAAACTTGTTGAATGGGAACTGAAGCCTGGAAAACTTCTGTCCTTGCACATACAGCTAGTTTTCTAGATAACTACCATATCCCAGATTTTAAACACATTGCGGTCTGAATGGGAACACTGCATCCACCTTACACTGTGTTTGATATATAATTAGCACAAAAATTAGTTGATTATTCCCAGTGTATGAAATAAGGCCTGTCCGACCGCCCGAAATGGGCTAATTTCTGCCAGACGGTCAAATTTTACAGCTAGCCAGCCCTATTGACGGGTGAAAAAATAATTCAGATAACGTGTCCACTGGCACTGTCTATTAGCATTAAGAAGGACTGGTTAAATCTTGAAGTTACCAGCCCAGATGTCTGGCTGGGGTTTTGGCTTATTTCATACACTGTTATTCCTTGCATTCTGCCACCATGGCACATTCAGTTGTCACAGAAGCATATTTCACCCACTGACTAATGCAACATGTTACTCCAGCTGTTTGAGTACAGGTAGCAGGACAGTGCAAATGGCCATGTGTTCTGAGATTTGGGGTGCCAGTGAGAACTTAATACCTGGACATTGTACCATTTCAGGGAGTTATAAACTTAATAACACAAAACGTTAACATGCAACTACAAACATGAGCCTAAATCACTGATTCTACAGCAATTACCTGACGGTGACATTGCCCCAGTAGCACAGAAATGGATGAGTTCCTGTAGGCGAGCAGCTCTTTCTCGGACAATGCCTGACGTTGGACGTGGCAGATCCTGAGACTGGGCAAACATGATGTGTTTCAGCATATCTTTCTCAGTCTGCTGTGGGTTGAATCCATAGGTGGTATTGAGATGGTGCGTCCTCATCGTGCTGTCATCCTTGCTGTTGGTCAAGAGCGGTTGTCGTGGCACATCTGGAGGTCGCTCAGGGAGGTCAAACACATCGGATAACTCCTGTGATTAGAAGACAGTAATTTGTTATAAAAGGATGTATAAGATGGATATAGAAAATAGTATGTGTATATTATGCCAATGGAATCCTCAGAATCCATACTCCATTCGACAATAGAAATGAACACAAACCTGGAAACAGCAATGCAATTCATTACATTGATTCACCAAATACTAGCTAAGTTAACTCATGCTGCAGGATGGCCTTACTATAACCATGAGATCATAGTGTGTACATTCCTGGTACATTACAAAATAATCAATCATGCTGCAATATACAGGTTCTTTCATCATTTCCTGTAACTGACTGTACTTTGTACCTTGTGCTCGCCTTCACTAAGCGCGAGTTTGAAGGCAACATCACTGAGGTGAGATGCTAGGAGGTTGTTGAGGCCGTCGGTGCGAGCAGGAGGAGGCTGTTCACTTGGGGGATCCTTACTTTGCTCAGAAGCCTCAATCTGGTTACAGACAGTAGGCAGTCTCAGTAACATACAAGCACCAATTTTGCTTTGTTGTTTATCAGAAAGGAGCTAAAATCATTGGCATTTAATTAAGAAGGATATATACAAATAGAGAAAATATACGTCTCTGAACAATCATAACAGAATTGGTCATATAATGTTTAATATGAAATTTTAACATATAGAAAATTATTTTAGACAATCCAGTCATGAAGACTGATTCCTGGGGACTGAAGATATCATGAAATCAATAATTACATTCTAGTGACCTTACAGAATTTTATGAAATTTCATTGTTCTACATTAGTAAATTTGTTTTAATATAACTCCAGTATTCATGATTTCGAGAAAAGATAATTCACAATTGCCGATGGCTTCTTACAGAGTATATGAGTGTGAATTTACCTGTTCCAGCATACAGTGCATGATGAGAGGCACGCTGACACTCTCCTGGGGAATACAGTTCATCAGATCATTGTAGTATCTCAAGTCCACTGTCTGGTCAGCCTGGTCACCTGTGGTCAGTGATGTCTGACTGACCTGGGGAGCAGCTTGAGCTCCTGGAGTTGCTGTACCACTGGACTGTGTGTCTGAGACATAAAAACATCACAACTATGTTCAACACTGGCTATAAAGGTTCTGTTGAATGACCTGATGACCTAGCTATCACATTAATATTGTGTCATGGCCAAGCCATTAAGGTTTTGATATTTTTGCTTGACCTAGGTAGAATTTATCAGTGGCAGTTAATACTGGGAACTTATTCTTTAAGTATGACAAAAATGTAATTTTTCAAGTAAAATTGATATTTTTATACTTATCCTGACTCATGATCTTTGCTCATCTCCCTTTCCCTTGCGAATGGTAGTGGAACACTTGAATCCCTTGAAGTTCCCGAATCGGATGTAAAAATACACTCACCCACGAATTACCTCCCTTTTCCCGCGTAAACAGTCTTGTGACCAGCCTTACTTGTCACTCTTTCCTGATTTTTCTGCCCAAGCACTTGGATCTGCTGTGCAATCCGAAGTGTTTCCAGCGGGGAGGTCGGGAGGGCTTGACCTCATGAGTCAGGATAAGTATAAAAATATCAATTTTACTTGAAAAATTACATATTTTTTCTTATCCTGACTCATGATCTTTTGCTTATAGAATCCTGTGGATTGGTGGTGGGTCAGGCCACTTCCTGGATTCATCAACTGTCCTTTAGATACGTCATGTATCCCCCCCATGGGAACTGCATAGCAGCATTTCCGAGGTCCTATCTTCCAACCTCCGTTATAACTCGGGGGGACCACTTCTTGTCTTACTTCCATCTCAGACAAGTTGAATCATCTTGATTCATGTGGCTTCAGATAAACTAGTATCTTTCTATTACTAGATATCCTATAACAACCCATAGATTATGATAAGATCTTGATCATAAATGAGTTGTGACCCCTTCACGTACAGGTAAGATCTTTACCCGACAGGATCTTTAATCACTCATGCTAGTCTGTCTTAGACTGTGCGCATGGACTTTCAAACTAATACTTTTCCTTAGTAAAAGTTATCAACAAGTCAACATGGTAAAGGGTGAGATTTTCCAACTCAGCGCCTTTGAGGAACCGTTAGTTGCTGTGCTACAACGAGAGGCCCAAATGGGTGAATGCCTGAGACGTCTTCAGTGGCTATGTCTCAGAGGTAGTGGTTGGCAAACACTGTATCCGACTTCCAAAAGCAGCCCTCCATAATTGCTGATATAGAGCAATTTCCGTGCAGAGCCAATGTTGACGATAGTGTTCTGACTTCATGTGGGTTGGAAGCTCTAGGATGTTCTAGTCCTGCTGCTTTATAGGCTCTCAATATGACGGCTCTCATCCAGAACGATATCGTCGTTCTTGAGACTTCCACTGAAGTCTCTGTGGATAACGTGATGAACAGGCGCTTGTATTTTCGTCTCCTTGTCTTAGTCTTTTGAAGATATATCTTCAGGGCTCTGACCGGACACAAGGATAGGTCCTCTACATCTCTAGTCCGAGGATTGTAGATAGCTCTGGTACGTGGAACTGTCTGTCTGGCTGACCAGGTAGTTGGTTCTTGGCAATGAAGTCCCATCTAAGTCGTAGATGAACTGCAGCATGTTGCCCCGTGTAGAATCTGGTTCAACCGAAGTCCAGCGCATGTATCTCTGATATCCGAGATGCCGTGGCTAGCGCAAGCAGGAACAGAGTCTTCTGTGTTAGCAGCTCGAGGGTAGTCTGATCTAGAGGTTCGTAGGACATCACTTGTAAGATGACGTAGAATTACATTCAGATCCCAGGCCGGAGCTCTTAACTTTTTTGCTGGTCCTCCGGTTTAAAAGATCTCAGCAGAGCAAGTAATTCTGGTATTTTCGTCAATATGATGCCTGTTTTCATGGTAATCACTGTACTGATGGCAGCGAGGTATGTAAATAATGTCGAACCTTTCAGATGTCTAGTCTGTCTAAGATGACACAGGTATTCCGCCACTTGAGGATTAGTAGCTTTCATAGCAATGAAGCCTTTCCGCCTTGCATAAGTCTCAAACTTCAAATAATTTTTATAACTTTTTCACATATAATACAATGTAGTTATAGACAAATCCATACACAGCGTAATTTTGAAGAATAGGACCTAAATAAATAGGATATAATGCTGTATAAGGGACTCCAGTGCTCGCCCAACCATCCACTTGGGCGAAAAGGGAGAGAGTGACAAGTAAGGCTGGTCACATGACTGTTTAAGCGGGAAAAGGGAGGTAACTCATAGGTGAGTGTATTTTTACATCCGCTTAGGGAACTTCAAGGGATTCAAGTGTTCCACTACAATTCGCAAGGGAAAGGGAGATAAGCAAAAGATCATGAGTCACGATAAGAAAAAGTAAAAGACAACAAATTTTAGGCATTCTATTTTATACAATTTGGACACTTCAAACACAAATCAACACCCACATCAAGAAAGCAAATTTTGTTCTAGACTTAAAACGTAAACAGTTCTCTCACAATGACTTTTGAAAAGTTAGTTTGTGTTTTCTTCAATTCCGTGAAGGGGAGGTGGGGTAGCTCGTCACACCAAAGACACGGGTTTGATTCCCGACATGGGTACAATGTGTAAAGCCCATTTATGAAATATTCCTTGATAAGTACCATATTGGTAACTTTATCCCTTCATCAAATTTGAGGTGAGGTGAGGTGAAATTGGGTTTAACGTCGTGCTTGAGAATATTTCGCTCATATGACGACGTGCATGTGTGTGTATGTGTATGTGTGGCTGTTTGTACTAGCCCAAACTTAAGCTGGTTTTATAGTTCTAGCCCACTGAGATACCATGCCGCAGTGAAGCATGAATACCCCACTCAGACACAGTATACTGACTCCGAGCTGACCAGTCCTTGTTGTACCCATTAATACTGAGCGCCAGGCAGGGACCAACATGTACCATATTTTAACATCTTTTGGTATGACGCGGTCGGGGATCGAACCCGCGACCTTCCGCTCTCCGGGCGGACACTCTAACCACTACACCACGGAGGCGGTCCATCCAATTTGAGGGCGGTGGGGTAGCCTAGTAATTAAAGCATTCACTCGTCATGCCGAAGACCCGGGTTTGATTCCCCCATATGGGCAATGTGTGAAGCCCGCTTCTGGTGTCATCTGCCATGATATCGCTGGAATACCGCTAAAAGCAGTGTAAAACCATACTCACTCACTCATCCAATTTGAAGGATTTGAAGCCATGTGACATATCATCACCAGAAATGTGAACATAATTAAATGTAGCTTACGGCCCTATCCTGTCTAGTATTCTTAAAGTGTTACAGCCCACAAAATTAATTATGAAGCATTAGTAATACTGACCCTGGCCAGCAGGGGGTGCTGGAGGTAGTCCATACATTGGGACGTTCAGCAGCTTCAGGTTGTCCAGGTATGTGTGGTACAGACGACGGGAATCAATCAGGTCATACATCATCACAGCAATATCTTCAAACAGAGCTGTGCCGAAGTTGGTCTAGGAGATAGAAATTACTGTTAGCATTGTTCGAGGTTATAATATACAGTGAGGAGACATGCTAGGATGGACACAGCTTTCAACAGTATTTCAGTCACATCAATGTCAGCTGTGGGAGGAAGCCTTCAGTGATGCAGGTCATACATATTTGTTCCAAGAACCAGTGATCATACACCTGGGATTGTACCTATATGTACAGAAATATCACCATGTCAGTTCAACTAATGACACTTACTTTACCTCCATGTTAAAATGTTCAGATCAGATTGTGTCATGTGATAGGATCTGTGAAGATCCGGGTTAGAATTGATCTTCAGTAACCCATGCTTGTCGTAAAGAGGCAAGTAATGGGATCGGGTGGTCAGGCTCGCTGACTTGGTTGACACATGTCATCGTACCCCAATTGCGTAGATCGATGCTCATACTGGATTATCAGGGCCAGACTCAATTATTTACAGACTGCTGCCATATAGCTGGAATATTGCTGAGTGCGGTGTAAACTTAAACTCACTCACACTTGTGATAAAAACATGTCTGTGCAGGAGAATACATCCCTTATGTCTCACCACAAAGAACAGACCACAATATAGATTTCTGAGCACAAACTTCAACTCTACACTAGGAAAAAAAGCTGCATGTTGTTTATGAGTAAATGAAATCACACAACACAGTAAATGTTAACCTCAGATATATCGAACAGCAGTTATTTATCAATTTGTGATTCTTTACAATGGCAGAAACATGTCCATAAAATAAAATCTGTCCGTAAGGTAAATTTGTTTAGCATTATCATGAGTGGTACATGTGGTCGTATGCATCCCTCATTAGTTTATTTACATCTTGATAGAAAATCTAACTTAAACAAAACAACTGACAAGAACTAGAAGTATTCACTATGATTGCAAACATGACTGCTAATCGCCAATATATTCTTGGGAGTGTGCAGGTCACCACTACCTTCTGGTCATTCTCCTCCAGACTCTCTGGGACAATGAGGGATTTGACCTCATACTGCAGACATGGGATATCATGAAGTTTGGATGTGTCTGGGTTCCGCTGCAGCAACAACAGCAGGTCTCTCCAGAAATTCTTAATCTCATTCTGGATCTTCTTCTTCTCTGCTCGATTCTGCTCTTCCAGTGCTGAGAAAGAATGTATAGAAAGGTCAGGGAAACCATAATGTCATTGAATGGCATAAGGCTGGAAAAGGTCATGAAACACATACGGTCAGGGATAAGCATCAGGCTGGAAAAGGTCAGGTAACAGATTAGGTTCAGGGGAAAGGCATAAGTTTGGAAAAGGTCAGGGAACAGACAAAGTCAGGGAACAAAAGGTCCGGGAACAGATAAAATCAAAGGGAACAGATAAAGTCAGGGAAAGGAATATGGTTGGAAAAGGTCAGGGAACAGATAAAGTCAGGGAAAGGAATATGGTTGGAAAAGGTCAGGGAACAGATAAGATCAGGGAAAGGCAAAAGGTTGGAAAAGGTCAGGTAACAGATAAGATCAGGGAAAGGAAAAAGGTCAGGGAACAGATAAAGGTTATGGTTGGAAAAGGTCAGGGATAAAGTCAACAGGGAACAGATAAAGTCAGGAATATGGTTGGAAAAGGAATATGGTTGGTTGGAAAAGTCAGGGAACAGATAAAGTCAGGGAAAAGGAATATGGTTGGAAAAGGTCAAACAGATAAAGAGTCAGGGAAAGGAATATGGTGGGAAAAGGTCAGGGAACAGATAAGATCAGGGAAAGGAATATGGTTGGAAAAGGTCAGGGAACAGATAAGATCAGGGAAAGGCATAAGGTATAAAAGGTCAGGGAACAGATAAAGTCAGGGAAAGGAATATGGTTGGAAAAGGTCAGGGAACTGATAAGATCAGGGAAAGGAATATGGTTGGAAAAGTCAGGCAACAGATAAAGTCAGGGAAAGGAATATGGTGGGAAAAGGTCAGGGAACAGATAGAGTCAGGGAAAGGAATATGGTGGGAAAAGGTCAGGGAACAGATAAAGGCAGGGAAAGGAATATGGTTGGAAAAGGTCAGGGAACAGATAAAGTCAGGGAAAGGAATATGGTGGGAAAAGGTCAGGGAACAGATAAAGTCAGGGAAAGGAATATGGTTGGAAAAGGGCAGGGAACAGATAAAGTCAGGGAAAGGAATATGGTTGGAAAAAGTCAGGGAACAGATAAGATCAGGGAAAGGCATAAGGTTGGAAAAGGTCAGGGAACAGATAAAGGCAGGGAAAGGAATATGGTTGGAAAAGGTCAGGGAACAGATAAAGTCAGGGAAAGGAATATGGTTGGAAAAGGTCAGGGAACAGATAAGATCAGGGAAAGGAATATGGTTGGAAAAGGTCAGGGAACAGATAAGATCAGGGAAAGGCATAAGGTATAAAAAGGTCAGGGAACAGATAAAGTCAGGGAAAGGAATATGGTTGGAAAAGGTCAGGGAACTGATAAGATCAGGGAAAGGAATATGGTTGGAAAAGTCAGGCAACAGATAAAGTCAGGGAAAGGAATATGGTGGGAAAAGGTCAGGGAACAGATAGAGTCAGGGAAAGGAATATGGTGGGAAAAGGTCAGGGAACAGATAAAGTCAGGGAAAGGAATATGGTTGGAAAAGGTCAGGGAACAGATAAAGTCAGGGAAAGGAATATGGTGGGAAAAGGTCAGGGAACAGATAAAGTCAGGGAAAGGAATATGGTTGGAAAAGGTCAGGGAACTGATAAGATCAGGGAAAGGAATATGGTTGGAAAAGGTCAGGGAAAAGATCAGGTCAGCGAAAGGCATTACACAAGGCCAGGAAACACACATAATCTGGGATTACAAACCCTGAAATCATATAGGGTAATAGAAGGTCATAAAAGAACTGAATTCATGACAAGACATCACCCGAAATTAGCATCAGACCAGAAATACCCTATAGTTTCTATGCCATATTTGTGTTAAAATTGATATGAAGCCTTTTCCTAAGAAGAGAAGTAATGTTGTTCATTTGTACCTTGAGATGAAATTCTGTCCCCCTCCAAACAATTGCTGCAACAAATGGAACTGAACATGTATTGATGACAACCTCATACCTAATGTCTTTTCATCCTTCTCTTTGTCTGTCTTTTCCTCTGGCTGGGTCTCCACCAGCGGGCTGTAGTCTTGAGCTGAAAACATGATGACTGAGTCCACGTTGACCCCCACCTCCGACAACTGACCAAATAGATGTGGGTTATGGAATCCATAGATGACCACATAGTGCTGGGCACCATCATCAGGCTCATCATCTGTTGGGCAAAAAGTCATCTTATCAATACAGTTTGGTAAGATGACTTGCAAATGTGCTTTCCCTTCTATATTTGCGATCTGTCATTTTTTAATATTCTGATCCACAAATTTCACCAAATGTCTTGTATGTTTGTCAGACGATACAAATACTAACTCCCTTCTGGTCAGCAACATGAAAAATATTATTTTAAGATTCATTTCAAACATTTGAGGCTGTTGGTATCCATAAACAAACCTTTTGTTTGCTGATGTCTTTTACAAAGCACATTTCTCAAAGAAAGTAAGTTGTACACACATAGCAGGAAGTGTAGCTGTAGCTCAACTCACCAATATATTTACTCTCTGTATCCTCATCCCCCCTCTTCCGCAGCTTGCTCCCTTCTTTAGCTGACTGGGGCTCAGGGGTCTTCTTGCCTCCCTTCTTGGGGGACTTGGCACGGTCCTTCTTGTCCTTCTTCCCTTTGTCCTTGTCTGTAACAGCCTGAGGACACACAAGAGGACATAGTCAGGGAGGACACATGCCGAGAGAGCACCACCGAAATACTGGCAGAGCAGATCTCATCTCAGCTTCAAATTTCTTGTGTGTTTGTATTACTGTTCTTGGCACCTTGTTATCTACACCCAAAATAGTGCCCTGTCAATCACTTGTTTGGGTTTTCCAAAACCATTGCACGAATTATATACAAGCCATAATAATATATGGACAGGAGGTTCTCCAACAGTCAACTGTTCTTTCCAAATCTAAAACCTTGCAATGATAAATGTGTAAAAATGTCTATCATAAAAAGATTTTTGCATGTTAAATTATCATATACATGCACACTGCAAAAGAACTTGAAATGTGAAACACACACTTTCAATGATAACAACACATTTATGCTAAAGTTGATCAATGTAGTGTTGATATTAGTTTCACAGATAACTATTAGTTGGGGAAACTGAAATTAACATATACTTTTTCACAACAAACTTAGTTGTACAAAACATCATCAGTTCTTGTCAATCCAAACACAAACACAAGCATGAAGAGTAAAGAAACAGGAACAAAGCTTGCAACAACAACATAAGTTCATACCATTCAGTACTGGACCAGTCATGCAACGTAATCAATCACAGCTTTTAGACCATGACATCGAAATGAGGTTGGAAGTTACAGCTGTGAAATGTACAATACTATGAGTGAAACTTTAACTTCAAACAAGGGTGAAAAAAACACATCACTCAGTCTCACCTCTGACTTGGCATTCTGTTGCTCAGCCTTGCGGAAAAAACAAGGACAGAAACAGTAGCAGGTATCGCATAACGACATTAGGTAGTACAAAACTGTTACAGCGTAGTTTAGACGTTTTCGCGGTGTTCCACTAAGTGATTGTACAACTACAACTGCTGCTATGTTAAAGTATGGGAATTACAACTGTCTTAGCACTAAGAACGATCGCTTTGTGAAACAAAACTCTGGTCCACTAACATTACCTTCACAAGTCTACAAAAGAAAACCAGCAGAAGGCTACCAAATTATGGAATATGTTCACACTTTAAATGGAAACAACCATATAAACAATAAACAAAACATATTAAAGTCTGCATTGTAATAATTTGAACCTGGCACCTGTTTAACGGAACCTGACCAACAAATGGTTACACGCTGTGTGTTTAATTGTGAGAATTATAACAGAACTTAGTTTAAGGCATGCTGTCTCTAAAACTTGCCAACGACATTCATGTTACCTGCACTTTATGTTAGTTCTGAATGTCAAATATATATCCAGACACAACCAGGTGACAGTTTAGCACAATAATATCTTACAGTCCGTTTGAGTCAGAAACGGACCAATGAATTGCACATTTTATCATTGTACAAAATTGCCACATAAATATAAAGAGTACACGTTTATCATTTACTAATACCCAACAGCTTTCTTATATTTGAAAATTTTCTGGACTCCACCAAAAAAGTTGTTTAAGAAACTATCATCACTGAAAACGCACAAATTGTTATCTGTTGCGGCGGGGTGAAACCCGCAGAAACGGAACAGCCAGTCATGACAGGGGACATCTCGAATCTATTCCGGGAGACCTGACGGTTCCTCGTCTGTCGTAGTGTCATAGTCACGACTTAAAGGGATGACAAGTGGTGCCACAGTTGCCTGTTGTAAGCCACCCCGAGACCAGTAACCTTGTTCAATGACGTTAGCTACCGTGTTGACCCAGTTTTGCCAAGTTTCAGTCGTGATTTTGTTAAGGAATTCCTTAACCAAAACCTCTACGTCACGTAATCTAAAAGTTGTGTTTGATCTGGCAAATCTCCTTTGACAATACCCCATATCATTTCAATGGGGTTAAGGTCACAGTGATAGGGTGGAAGTTGCAGAATATCGTGACCCTTACTTTTTATGTAACTGTCAACTTTGTAGAAAGGTTCACCTTTGTGCGTTTTTATGATCTCATATAGCTGAGGCTTCGTTGCCTTTGAAGGCCATGCGATCTGAAATTTGTCGAGCCATGACATCATATCACTTTTTCGACTGTTCGATGTCGGGGCTTTACTGTCGGGGTCCTGCACGCTGTGGTACGGGGCATTCTCCATTACGATAAAAGACTTCTCTGGTAGAGCTGGTACCAACTTGTTTTTAACCCAATCGAGGAAAACCGCACCATTCATCTCGGAATGGTAGTCTCTGTTATCTGTGGACTTTGCCCTGAATACCAAGTCGCAGCCTGGGAGAAAGCCTTTGCTGGAGCAACCAGCATGGAGAATGATTAGTCTCTCTCTTTCCCTAGAGGCAGCTTTCTCGTGACCCCTTATCACCCCCATCGGGTACCCACTGACTGCTGGCAGTGTATGCGAGGCATTGACCCAGGTTTCATCCAAGTACACTGGCTCGAACCCGCCCTCGCTTCTTCTTTATAACCCTGAGAAAATTATTTCTCAAGCTTAACGATATCAGGGCGTTCACAGAGTACTGACCTATTCTCCCCCAATTTTTTATTATAACGATACCGAAAGAGTGTAAGAGTTGCCAGAGTGTGTACTTTGATACTCTGAGGTTGTGTTCTTGCTTCAAATGCTTTTTTTAAATTTTCAGTGACATGTATTTGTTTTCAGAATAGAGCTTGTTGATAGACTGCCTTACAAGGTTCTTTTGAAAGTTGTCCAAATGTTTTAATTTGTGTGATTTTGACACGACCCCTACCTGCTTCGCATCACCCTCACAATGTTTGTGTTCCAGAACATTTGTCAGTACCCTTGCTGATACTCCTAAAGCTTTTGCTGCCCACTTACGGAATTTATTAATGGCATAAAATGGTTTGCCCCTTTCGGCTTCAGCACGAAAAAAATCGTACACTTTAATCATCAACTGTTTCACGTCAGCATTCAACTTCATTTTTCATCAGGCATGTGTATCCCGTGCACGACGAGATAGTGGCTGTTCAGTTTCTGCGGTTTCACCCCGCCGCGACAGATAACAACTTGTGCATTTTCAATGATGATAGTTTCTTAAACAACTTTTTGGGTGGAGTCCGGAAAATTTTCAAATATAAGAAAGCTGTTGGGTATTAGTAAATGATAAACATGTGTACTCTTTATATTTATGTGGCAATTTTGTACAATGATAAAATGTGCAATTCTGACTCAAACGGACTGTAATTAGTGGCCTAGTTCTTAAATCTATATAGGGGTGGTGGGGTAGCCTAGAGGTTAAAACATTTGCTTGTGATGCCTGTGATCGATTCCCCACATGGTACAATGTGTTAAGCCCATTTCTGGTGTACCCACCGTGATATTGCTGGAATATTGCTAAATGCAGCGTAAAACTAAACTCACTCACTCTGTTGTTACAGCTGGGACCTGATTACAATGCTATGTCTGTTACCTTTTGGGTATATGTTATAAGTAAACTTAACACATTATTATATACTATATGGTGGTTTCAGGAAGACCCTGAATAACAAGGGCTCTGACCTATTGTGAGTAGGAATAAACACAAATATTCAATTAGGGTGAACCAAGAAAGTATCCATATGTAGATGGATGGATGTAGGTGGATGATCCACCTGAAGAAGGGGCAAGAACTAGCCCAGAAACGTAAAGAAGTTGTTATCCATAACATTTGTCTTGTATTACTACACTAACTTCTAAATGCCTTTGAAAAATAAAATCAGAACATTATATAATATGCAATGAATCAAGTCTCCCAGAATGTCCATCAAATCCAGTCTGTCACCTCTTATGACAAGCATAGGTTACTGAGGACCTATTCCAAAGCATGAGGGCTTCCTGAATAATGCAAACTTGGTCTTAACTTGACACAGAAGTATAGGACAAATGTGAAGACTACTGGACAGCTAATTTCTATAATGGTTGGGGTGGAAAAAAAAAAACAAATAAATAATAAATAATCACTGCAAAGGGACAAACAGAGTTGATTATCAAGGAGGAAAATGTGAGAATGGGTCAGATTATGCAGATGAAGAGAAGTAGCTTATTATACAGCAACCACATTCAATCTGTTATCAGACCTGTCACAACAGCATTAATAATAAGACCAAAATAAATTTGATTTCCAATTGTTGGAAGTCTCAACTGCATAAAATTTCGAGCGATTTTGTCTTAACATTAGACAGTCCTTTTATTATGAATTTCATTTAATCTTTGTTATCAAGAGTTTTATTATTAAATTAACCTTAAATCACACAGGCAACAGTTCATTTTTCCCCTTTTTGTACCTTTCTGTCCTCTAATTTGAGGACAGTTAAAATGCAACAAAATGTAAACATACATGTAATTGGAAAATTGGACTGATTTCATGGAAGAATCAACATACAACTATGTTCCAGTTATTTCACAAAATGTTCATTAAGGCTTACAAGCAAGCATGTCAATTGCAGATAAATTTCAAAGAGCAAATACTATTTCTTTTCTCAAGTGATATACGCATACCTTCTCAGCAATTATACTTTTCAGCAGCTGAAGAGCAAAGTGACAAAAGTGGCGCAGTCAACATCAAGCTCTAAATCTAGTAAGCCTACTGCTGGGCACTATGAGTTACCGGAATTATTAGTAATGGCTAAATCTAATTCTTGTGAATATACATTAAGTTTCCCTTAGAAAAGACTGATAAAGAAAGTATAAATTAAATGTGCATATGTACTTTGAAAAATATTGAAATACGTTTGACAGGAACACAGAATAACATCCTACCGGTAATTATTTTATTCTACTATGAATAAGTTCTGAAAAAGTGAAGAATTATATGGGTCATCTTTTAATAAAACCAACTCCATGAAATTAAGCATCAAGTTTCTCAGCTGTTGTAAAATATATTGTGAAAAATCTTACATATGTGACATACATTTATCAACAACAGCTTTTCCTGCCATGACCAGAAAACACTACATGCACTACATCTAAACAGTATTGAAGGAATGATTGTATCCACCATGGCGTACACTGCAACATCAGACAACATGTTTCTTGGCTCATACCTTCTTCTCTGCTTCTCTTCTTTTCAGGTCAGTTGTTTTGATGGCCAACAGTTTGAACTTGATAAGCCTGGCTAAAAGAGGAAGAGGAATGTCTTCTCCATTGTCCAGGTAGAGTTTGCATGGCTCACACACTTCATAATAAGCTGGTACCTCCTTTCCTTTCTTGGCCTTTGGGTTACCGAGGTCACGGACCTTGGAAAATAACAAAAAGCAACGAAATCTAGCAATCAGGGTGAATATAAATATGCAAAACATAAATGTAATATATGTACTTTGAACAGGTCAGTCACACATTAAAATCTGAGGAACACTTCAAATATCATTGCAACATCTCAAATATTTTTTCAGGGAAGCAATTCAATCAAAATCTATTTCTATAGCATTAGAATTGGTACAAAAGATTCTTATCCATCACAATAATCTTTTTTGTGCCTTTGAAACTCTCCAGCCACTGACCCAGCTGCATATTACATAATGTATTTTCACAAGTAGGTTATCAGTTGAAATCAGATTATTTAGCACATTTGGCATTTTCAACCGAACATCTCTTTTTTAATTTTACTAAAGTTATAAAACATTTGAAACATTGTAATGAAAGATATCAAACAGTTTAATTTGCCTGACAACTTGTGCTTCTTGCTTCTAAGACTTGCAAGTTTTCCACTTTTCACTATGAACTAGCCCATGCTTCCAGATCAATTGTTCACTAATTGTGATTATCATAACCATTTCTAACAGTTATGATCACTTTTGATCTTTTTGATCACTTCTTATAATTTGCCCCTCCCCCAATTTTTTTTGCTTGTCAGACAAAAAGCAACTTTGAAGTGCCATTAATTTAGAAATCATGTCTACATATTGAAATCATTAAAACACATCAATGTCAGTGACACCCTGGTAAGAAAAGAAGTAGGAAGGCGTTTCCTATTCTCATGGTACTTACGGATATGGGCTGAAAAAATAACACAAACAATTCTTATCGTATGAATGCTTGTTGTTTTTAAATGAATGGCCTTCTCCTCTAACATCTACATCTATCAGCTGCTAGATCCATCAGGTGAATTCCTACTTGTGAGCCTGGTGATAAACAATGCCATACGCCATTGGCGAAACGAGGCTTCTCCCATTTTCGCGGTATTACCAGGAATTAACGTTATTGAGTGTATGTAAGAGCAATCCTGCCGGAAAGGACGGAAAAAGTAATGATATGTCCAAGTTGGTATAAACTCCCCAATATTCGTGACACTGCAAGATTTTGATCACTCACAGACTTGGTCCACTTCCTAGTTACCAGTCAGTGATGTAAACAACCGCTAAGTGTCTTGCATCGGCGATTTCGGCAGAAAACGTGTTTACCGCGAGAATAGGAGACAGACCTATATAACTATCATTTTCATCACATTCTCACATCTGTAGACCAGTGCACACTGTGTAAAAAAGTGCAAAATAAATTATTCCATTTTCTCACCTCATTGTAGAGGTTCTCTTTGCCAATAACACTGAAAAGTTTCCTTGTGCCTCCTGCAATAGCTGCTGCTAGGACGTTGATGTAAACATAATCTTCAACTGTGTTGCCAACTACAAAGGTTATGTTTGATTTCCATTTTTCCTGAAAAAGAAAAGAATATTATCATATTTTTCTGTTTAAACATAACATGGAGGTACAGAGATTGTACATATGTAGACAACTTGACAGTCTAATGTTACATAGAAATGCAGGTGCCCTTGGACAGCACAACTGAGACAAAATACCAATTTAAATAATATGAAATCGTACTATAATTAAAGTTGTCAAAATTTGTTCACGGGTGAGGATACATAAACAGCGATTAATCCGATATCATAAAACTCCCAGCGATATTTAATATGATGCCATATTTTCATAATATAGCAAATTAACTTAATATGTACACATATGACAATTATGAAAACTTCAACAATAACAAACGATAGTCAAACATTACCTCATCAAATGCAGCAGTAAGAAGTGCCTGCTCCCATTTTGCACCTCCCTGTTGTCCAGTTCCGCTTTTCACTCTTTTCCCGGCTTTTGACATTATGTTTTTTCCTCAGATGAGCAAAGCGAAAACGTAACCAACGCCTCGGCGGAGTTCATGAGTCTCTCGCCATTTTGTTTAGGATGTTGCTATGCTAACTGAGCATGCGCTAAAGGAATTTCCGGTCGCTGGCCAAGCACGTGGAGATACTACTTGTACTCAACAATTGAATGTTAGAAAAAAAATTGAATCTACAATTGTAAAAAATACGGCAAATAATACCACAGATCTTGTTGTTTAATTTCTTTCGATTTGTATAGCACTAATATACATGTATTATATGTAGTTGTTTGACAATTTACATTCATTTGCAGTATATAGTTGGAATATATAACAAGTATTTTGGATTATACAATAGCAAGAAATATGGCCTCTCTTGTAAGGTCGTGGAAACCTCTGTGGAACAAATTGGTTAGCCAGTGGCCTGGTCACCAACTGCAAACTGCAAATACCATTCGTCTTCAGCGATGTGCATCATCTTTAACTTCCCATCAGATAATATACAATAAATTTGGGGATCCAAGACAAGTGCTTGAAAAGACAGAAGTTCATCTTCAAACGTCAATACAGAAAGATGAAGTTTTGATTAAGATGTTAATGGCTCCCGTGAACCCATCGGACATCAACATGATAGAAGGAACTTATTTTATTCGGCCGCCCTTACCAGCAGTTGTTGGAAATGAAGGTGTTGGAGAAATCATTGGCAAAGGGGAAGCTGTTTCTGACCTCAGCATTGGTGATTGGGTTATCCCAGCAGATTCGGGATGGGGCACATGGAGAAGTTACGCTGTTGCACCAAGATCAACAGTTTTCAAAGTCGCAAATGATATCCCCGTTGACAGTGCTGCAACCCTACTGGTAAACCCTCCAACTGCATATCGCATGTTGAAAGATTATGTAGATTTGAACCCAGGTGATATTGTTATCCAGAATGGTGCAAATAGCGCTGTGGGACAATGTGTAATTCAGCTTGCCAAACACTGGAACATCACAACCATAAACATGGTTAGAGATCGGCCAGACATAGACCAACTCATTCACTACCTGAAAGATCTTGGAGCTGATCATGTTGTCACTGAAAAATTTTGCCGTTCGCCAGAAATGAAAGATTTCATGAAGTCTCTGCCCTCACAACCAAAGCTGGGGTTAAATTGTGTTGGGGGATCAAGTTCAACAGAGATGCTTCGATATCTTGGCCAAGGGGCAAAAATGATAACATATGGAGGGATGTCACGTAAACCAATTGTGGTTCCAACAGGTGCTCTTCTTTTCAAAGAAATAAAACTAGAAGGTTACTGGAACACTGAATGGAACAAAAGAAACAGAGACAGTCATGTGCGTGATGAAATGTACCAGGACCTCTGTCAGCTGATACGAGACAAACATTTCAAGAATCCGGTCAGTGATAACATTCCACTTGAGCTGTATGACAGAGCTGTTACTGAGTCACTGGAGAGTTTCAAAGGCACTAAAAAGATTCTTGTGATGGATAAGAATCTGTTGTGAGACTATTGATGGTGTTTGACTTGTAATATGAAGTTATCTGATGGTGCTTGTTATCTAAATGTGCAACTGTCATAACTGATAATTTTTGTCAGGTATGGTTAAGGCTTGGATGGGCATCATTATGTGTTGTTGGAATAACATGTGCTTTGAACACCACATTGATTATCAAACCCCAATTCACGACTCCTTCCTTTTAAGAGATCTGATATTGTTTTTCACAACTTGCACCAATACAGAAATGAAAAGCATACAGAGCTTTTTAAATTTCTGGGTAAGTATTGCAGTTTCAAATTTGCTGTCAGGATTGAAACTCAAATATGTTTTTGGATTTAAATAGAAAGTATTGTCAGAATATACAACAATAATCTAATGTCAATAATGTTATTTATCTGCATCAATCAATGTAATATTTTGTAACTGTTGCAGTTAAGCTTCACAAAGTTCATCTCAAATTCTGTAGATTGTTATTCTTTCTCATACCGTACTATTTTTCCTAATCATTTTATGAATAAGATGCCCATCATTCAATTTTTATTAAAATCCATAATAGTGATAGCATTGCCGTAATGTATCCGTATAACCCAGAGTCATACCCAAGACAAACATCAAGAGCACAAATGTGACATTATGGTCAGAAATGGGACCTCCATTAATACCGCTCTTTAATCCTGACCAAAGCCTTCATTGGCTTCAATGTGTATCCTATTCCCTTATGAAGTCATATGCCATGTTTATTGATTAAAACAAAATACTTTTGAGAAAATGTAACCAAACACTTCAGTGAATAAATGACATCAAACATTCTTATCGATCACATAATGCTTCCATTCTCTTTGCTATAAGCTTTCTGAAAGCAAGTTGGTGAATAAAAGTGTTCTTGATACATTTCTGTGTACATGTATTTTTTAAAATAGCTCATGCATAATTCATTTTGCTGATTTCATGATACCATGAAGTATCAGCAAACTTATGGATAAAAAACATCCATGCTAAGCAATACTTTGTAGATAAACATCAAACTGCATCACTGCAGAACATTGCATTCTGATACATTCTGTTAAGGCGCCAGGCTAGTGACCCAGTGAGCCTCAGGTGCTGGGATCGAGCCCACCGGTGACCGGTGTAAAAACCATGGAGTCAACATTGTGATTGTGTGCAGACTCTTTGAGTGTTGTCACAACCACTAAAAGAACCCACAAATCCATTGGTAAGTGACCAGATGGTGTCCATATGAATACATGCAAATGATATCCTCCCAAAACTTCCACATCCTAAAACTTCCACTGCTTATAACAACATTTCTGGTTGACTGCACACACTTGAGCATACTGATTACCTCAGTCTGTAATGGTTTAACACATTATAATCAGTCATGAATACAAGCAATCACTTAGTAATGAATTATATATTCTATTAAGGCAGGGTTATTAAGAAAAATACATATCTTTTCTAGTTACATATAACAGTCTATGTAGAACATTTATACAGCTCTTATGTCCTATAGTGTGCAAGGTTTCATCCACACATTTGACAGTCATAACCCTGTCACTCTCTAGTGTTGTTTGAGCAAGTGGACGGTTCTGTCTCTGATGCACCTGAAGAACACCACTGTGATAGGGCAGATGTGGTGGTGACATTATATACCGTCACAGTGTCACTGCCATAACATGCAGTCTTTACCTGTTTTTTTACATGACGGGGACATCCATCAGTAAATCTTTTTTCTATTAAATATTCTTTAAACATTCTGAAGTATCTGACTGACAAATTTCATTAAATTATTTCTTAAAGTAAACATATGAAACTAGCTACATGTATTATTAAAATGTCACTACCTTTATTGTGTCACTACCATACCAATTACTACCAATGTCCATATCATAACATTATGAATTTTCTTATTTAATTAAAATTGATCTATGAGTTTATGCCTGGATTCTGTAGTGCAAGTATGTTTCGTAGTAGAGCTTCAAGTAAGCATAATACAATTCATATCCTCATTTTGCATTTTTTGCTACATATTACTTTATATTTGTAAATCAGAATTGAAAGGAATTACATTGTACAAAACTACATATTTTAATATACATGTACAATAAATGTACATTAAGCTTGCATAATTTATGTTTTGTATATTCAGAATACTACAAACGTAATTATCAACATTTCAAAGTAAAACAAGAAAGCAAAATTTACAATTTTTGAATTCATGAAATATGCACGAAATTTATACTATATATATTTCAGATTTATTAACTACTTTCTTCTCTATTAAAATCTCTGTTCTGCTAAGTCAGATGAAGTATCATTATCTGTTGTTTCAGTTCAGTGCACATCCTGGGCTATCCTATTACCTAAAAAGGGGTGATGAGTCGTTGTTTTAACAATGTGTGGTAGTATTGGGATGTAGAAGTTTTGGGATGTGGACGTTTTGGGACCTAGTTGCGGGTCCAGCAACATGCATTAAAACTTGCAAAATGTACTCTGACTTAAGTGTCCCAGTCCACCCAGCTGTGAATGGGTACCTCAGAAGGATGGGAAAGCCACATTTACTCAGTCCGCCTTGTGTCTGCAAGAGTTGTATGATTCCCAGGGAGTTGAGATTGATAATATGATGTGCCGTTGAGTTTGACATCCAATGATTGAGGGAAAATCAAAGAGCCTTTGAGCAGCTGAGCTGGATATTTGGCAAAACAGGCTATACGACCACAATTCATGTTTTCCTCAAACCTGACATCCAGTTTATATTTGAAAGAAATTAGGTTCAAATACTCCATTGATACTTAAATGTCATTTCCACTATTACGTTTATTTTGCCTTTCAGTATATTTTTGACAAAAAGTTAACAATGAAATCACAACGATTTGAACATGTATGATGTCATTATTAGAAGAAACCTGCAGCTGTCAACAATTAACTCAAAGTCAGGCCATGACTCAGGCTCACTTTGTCATGTTGGAATGATTACCCAAATTGCTAATCATTAAGTATCATTTCATATATAATTAGTGAACTGTTGGCAGAGTGATTCTTTAAATGATTAAGAGCAATTCTGTGTGGGGTAATGCAGCAAATGTTCATCACTGATGAAATTTGCTTCGTTTTCCATTGTAATGGAAAATATCAGGGTTAATATCAGACCCGATCTTAATGCCTAGTTATTTCCTCATTACTAGAGTAATTATATAATGAATGTCACATGTTTTGATTCATTCATAGTGTGTACAGATTCCATCATTATTCCGAATTTCTTAAAGTGAGTGTTCAGTTCTTGAACATCGGATTGAAGGAGAAAAGGACCATTAACAATTCCTGATGTATTTATCATCATTTTGTGTTTAATGCTTTGTTGAATACTGAATGTGTATTACACACAAGCGGTTCATCAAGCCTCAAGTTCCTGTTTGTACCCCAGATACTGTATCATGACAGCCTACGGGACTGGGTAATGACATTGTAAACAAGGGCTATTTTATTATTGTTTCTCAGATTGCACAAAATAATACATTTGCTGCTGACTTGAATTGGTATTGTCCTCATTACCATATGTTGGTGAGATCACATTCCCCACATAGTTGATTTGTTGGAATCCCAATGTAAACGTAAATTGTCATTTCCAAAAACTCATTGATGACAAATGTTCCAATGATGAAAACAGTTTATCTAATCATACGTCAAGCAGGCCCATCTAGAATATACATATATATTAAAACAGTAGTTTATTATATGCATTTCAACTAAAATACACAGGAAGTGTCAGGGAACTAAAAAACAACTCGTGAGCGTGTTCATTATATATGTATGTTACTGTACTTGTGAAAAGTGAAAAGGAGTCGTTTCGTCACTGGGGAATACTACTATCAGTAATGACAAATATACTATTGCCGAGTGCACTTTTCCAGAACTGTCAGTTTACAGAACATATTATCATGCAGGTGATGAGATGCCCTCCCTCTCCAGTAGAAACCTACCAACCTGTGCCACTGTACGTACCACTGCATGGGTGACAGTTTGTCTCGTACATCTCACTGAAGTTTGAACCATGTTCAGGATTTGCCCACATATGACACAGTTCATTTGCCATGCTAAAGTTTAAATAAAACATGAGCCACTGGTAAGAAAACTTGGCTTTTATTCAAAGATGATGAGGAATGTACCAAGGTACATAACAAGTATATATTACACATACCTGAATAAATGAAGATTTCAACCTCAAATCGTAACATGACACACAATCTTTCAAACCAGCTTTCAGCCTCCAGGCAAGAAAGGACATGGTCAGCTGATAGCTGTGTGTCGACAAGCACACCTGGGATGATTGACAGACAGCAATACACCTCACTCGCACAATAGATCAACTTGACAAGTCCCCATGTAATCGACATACACATATTTATACAAGTGTCAGACATCTGTACATAAGTATATGGACTTGTGTTTCAAATAAATAATACATCTGAATTTACAATAACATTTAACATTAAATTTTAATACAGTAATTATGTATGCAAATGCAATGTCGTGTAGCACCCATTTTATGATTATATTGGAGGCAACCTGTGATTATGCTTTGAACTAAACATGCTTCGTGATGGCCTCACAGACAGAAATATGTCCTCAAGCCAGATTAACACATTCCATTATCAGACATTTAAGCTGCAAACTTGCACTAAGAAACCATTGCTTGAGGGACCAAGGCCTCATTTCATGATGTGATAATAGCAATAGCACAATGTCGGGCCAAATTCATGTACTGTCATAGCCTATAGAATTTAAACAGTCATAAAGTTACAATCAATTCATGAAATGAGGTCCCTATCTTCACCATACAAATTACAACTTTGTTAATCCTGCATTAAAGAGATGGAAGAGGTTTATTTTCATCTTAAATGGGCGTCAAAACAAACTGACCATCTATATATCATCCATATTATTGAAATCTATTCCAGTCACAATAGTTGCTATTTCGAGATTCCATGAGGTTGTTATTTTGAGAATATTCACTTCTACTTCATATCTGACATAAAATATTTATTTTAGTAATTACATCTCTTTAAAACCAGACTGGGATCTCATTATAAACATTAAATTATTCCTTGTTTGTTCATGTGTCCTCAACAGATGCAGATGTTAAGGATAAGAGCAAAACACTGACTTTTTAACTGATTAAAAAAATATTCAGTTAAAAATGTTCAGTGTATGTCAGTTCTCTTGCAACTTTGTTCAAAACTAATATCTTTCTCTGGCATGTCCATACATTCTATAATGTCCATATCTACTGGTATTTGTAATAGGTCCATACCACTGGTGAGTAGCCACTGAAGTTGTATCAAGATATCATTGGTACATTAAGGGTTAAGCCTCGTACCTCTGTTTCTACTTCAGAGAATAATGAAACTAATCAATTTTCATATTGCACAGCCTGATAAAAACTGGAACTTCCCTACAAACAAAGACAGTACAAAGCCTCCTCCACACATACATATGATGGCAGAATTCAGTATTTCACACACTGTCAAAGAAGAAGTTTGAAACACATTTTGCTCATGTTATAAATAGGCCAAAGATTAGACGTGCCAATACCACAAGGCATATGACTGTTGCAAGCTTGTTCTGACCATGGCAAGGATGTGTCTAGATATTACACAGGGCTGCAGTAACCTGGAGCAGTATCGGTATCAATATGTCTCAGAAATATAGGTTCAAACAGAAAATAACTTGATATTCCGGTATATATTTAGACATAATGTCACATGCTTTTTAAAGAAGCAACTCTGTCTTTAATTCTGGAAGTATGCTGGTGTTTAATGCAAAGATTATATAATTTGTTTTTAAAAAATTAATGTCAATACTGAATAACATATCTAAGTGAAGAAGGGAAGAAGAAACATTTTCCTCACCAAAATATTTGATAGGTACAGTCAAGTTTGATTGCAACATGAAGATCAAAGCAATATGTACTAATACAACTGTTTGCTGTGACTGAACTATTTATCCGGTGATCTATTATTGTAAAAATGTAATAGAATATTCTTAAGCTTGTTTTAGAATTAATATTAATTTAAATATCAATTACTAGAGGTGTTTGCTAGTACTTGTAAAAACAGAAGCAGCCCCTTCACTGACATTTCCACAAAGCTCAAAAAATATTATGCCAAACATTTCCAATCCAAAAAAATGACCTCCAGACTTTTTACTTTATCAAGACAATGATCAAACAATTATACAATCTCAGGATTGTACAATTAAATTTGCAATGCCATGTTTCATAACCCCAAGGATGACCTTGACCTTTCAAGTCACCTACATTTCCTGTGGTAGGATTTCTAATGATCCATACAAAGTTTCATGCATGTAGAGATATTTCATAATAATCCAGCCTCAGGGGTAAGAGCTATAATTTAACATCAACATCATGCTTCAAAACCTGACAACCTCCTAGAGACTTTTACAGTCAGTACAACCACAAACTGGGGGAGTTTCATCTATATTTGTGACTTTTGCCAAAAGAATTCCCCCAAGGCCACTTGTTTATACAGTAGAATACTTTTATAACGAACAGACGGATATAGCGAACTGTTCTAAAAATCCTGAATAAACCTTATATTATCATATAAAAAAGTGAATAGCGAACTACGGATATAACAAACTAATTTCAGTGGCCCCTTGGAGTTTGATATAAAGGTATTTTACTGTAGTCAGCGGAAAAGTAAGTAAGATGTAATGTCAATAATCTTTCTAAATATCTCTAAATTTGTTTTGAAACATCAAACAAAATCTTAAAAGCAGGCATTTAAGTGGCAGCAAATTAATCATTATTGAAAAGGAAATAGTTTCCTAAAGAGAATATTTAAAAAAAAAAAAAAATCCTGAAATTGACAAAAACCAAGTTTGTCTTACAACAAAATGTCCTACCCCTATTAAAGATTTGCCCACATCTCCTTAAGCTCAAAATTCTCTGCAACATTCACACCTTGCCAGCAGTCTTAGGGGAACAGTTAAACAACCTGGAATAACTGTCTGATTGTTCAGAAATACACCAAAAGCCTTTGTCCAGATGTAGGCAAGATCCATCTGTATGATCTTACTTTCCTCACATGAGAATATCTCACTGACATTGGTCAGTAGTTTAAAGGAAAATAGCATTTCATGTGATGTGCAATAAAATACTGATATGGGACTACGTGTTACACAGGCTGGAATGAATAATTTCTTGTTCACTTGTATGGTTGAAACAACTAGTAAAACAAACAGTTAACGAGTTTGTCAATACTATAACATAGCTGTACAAATCAATAATTATTGTATGCGACAACGTACAATTGTAAAGACAAAATCAAGAACAGTTATAGTTACTAATATCAAATGTGTTTAATTTATTGAAGGAAATATGACAAGGCTTATTTCATTTGCATCCATATTGCAACATTAAGAGAAAATAGTCTCTTAAATTTACTTACCCCACTGAACTGACTGACTGAGTATGGTTTTACGCCGTTTTTAGCAATATTCCAGCAATATCACGGCGGGGGACACCAGAAAAGGGCTTCACAAATTGCACCCATGTGGGGAATCGAACCCGGGCCTTTGGCGTGACAAGCGAACGCTTTAACCACTAGGCTACCCCACCGCCCTCTTAACCCACTGAAATTTCACATGATTATATATCATGGTTTCAATTTATATCAGTATACATTGAGAAAAGATTCAGTATCCTGAAACTCCATCATAAAGTATAATATTAAATAATTCCAAGACTAGATTTCTTCTTCTGATCAAGTCAGGATTATATACAATTAGCAAACAAATAATGGTAACTTCAGAAAACAACCGCTACAAGCAAGACCACTAGTTAACTGCGTTCTGGTCGGAATGCTCCCCCTCATATGTCTTGCCAGTAGTCAGTTCCAAATGACATTGAGTATTGCGAGGACATGTGTAAATGCACTACTATCTAAACCACACACCTGTTTCACATCAGGGAACAATGAAAGTGGTCCCAACATGTCAAGATAATGTCAAGATAAGAAATGTTTTCACTTGTGTGGTAAAGGACAAGATGTATCGACACGGCCTTATAAACCATGGTGAACATGATCCTACCGTCTTCACAGAACCTTCTGTCTGGAGAATAAACTCTCTGCAGGGAATTTCTACTGCATATCCCCAACAAGAATCATACTCTGAAGAAAGTATTCCTGTACTAGGGATTTTCTAAAGAACGTAGCCTGGAGATTTCATTTGCTATTGAACAGAATCTACACAGACAAGTTACAGTGCTATCATAAGGAAATGTACAGATGTTGTGGGATTGTATACTTCCGTGGGATCCACCATGTTTCTACGTAATTACAGCCACATGGCTCAACTGTGAGAGTGAGTGAGTGAGTGAGTTTAGTTTTACGCCGCTTTTAGCAATATTCCAGCTGTATCACGGCAGGGGACACCAGAAATGGGCTTCACATATTGTACCCATGTGGGGATTCGAACCCGGGTCTTCGGCGTGATGAACGAACGCTTTTACCACTACGCTACCACACCGCCCCCCAACTGTAAGAAGTACATATATATATTAGATGCCTGCAAGATATACCGGTATATATTCCTGGAAAACATATTTTTTTAAATGTGACTGAGGTTTGCATGAAAATGTAAAACCATGAGCAAGGGAAAAGCCAAAGATATGTTACTGTTTTGTTTATTCCTCCTGGTAATCCTTGCATAAAGACAGTTCCTAAATTATGTAAAAACCTTCTCTGATCCTTCATAGTGCAACAATACGGTAGTCGTGACATCAAGTTCCATGACACCAAGTGCCCACATGACCACGTCATCAACTCAAGTCATGACATGTAATATTGGACACCTTTCATCACCTGCCGAGGGGGCTCGGTGGGGAAACAAGGATCACAGTACTCAACATGGTATGTCAGGTTGGATACCTTTCATCACCTGCCGAGGGGTTTCACCTGCCGAGGGGGTTCGGTGGGGAAACAAGGGTCACAATACTCAACATGGTATGTCAGGTTGGACACCTTTCATCACCTGCCGAGGGGCTCGGGTGGGGAAACAAGGGTCACAATACTCAACATGGTATGTCAGGTTGGACACCTTTCATCACCAAGGATCACCTCAAGGGGTCAGGGTTGACACCTTTGGGGGGCTCAAACAAGGATCACAATACTCAACATGGTATGTCAGGTTGGACACCTTTCATCACCTGCCGAGGGGGCTCGGTGGGGAAACAAGGGTCACAATACTCAACATGGTATGTCAGGTTGGACACCTTTCATCACCTGCCAAGGGTCACAATACTCAGGGTATGTTCGCAAGGAGGTCACAATACTCAACATGGTATGTCAGGTTGGACACCACTCGCCGAGGGGCTCGGTGGGGAAACAAGGGTCACACCTGGTATGTCAGGTTGGACACCTTTCATCACCTGCCGAGGGGGCTCCGTGGGGAAACAAGGGTCACAATACTCAACATGGTATGTCAGGTTGGACACCTTTCATCTCCCACCAAGGGGGTTCCCTGCCTTCATTTAAAATATGGCTGAGAATGCTAAAAAAAAAAAAATCAATCTAAATTTGAGAATGAAATTGGTATATCTTTTATCCACAATGAACCTTCCTATGTCCACATAGTAGATACATGGCAGAGATCCACTTGAAATAACAAATAGCAACACACAACATAAGGGTTTCCTGGTTACTGTCAAGTCTGGTGATAACTGTCAATGACAAGATGACTACAAAAAGTGGGTCATCAAACTGGTGGCAGCAAATGTCTGATGACGTTAGTTTCAAACCACACTTCACATCCAAGCATTCAGTAGCTATCATAACTCGTAAGAAAGTAAGATTCTTTATGGATAACAACTTCTTTATTATATTTGATGCGATGTTTCGGTATGGATTCTTATACCGTTGTCAAGCACGAGGCACTCTTGCTTGACAACGGTATAAGAATCCATACCGAAACGTCGCATCAAATATAATAAAGAAGTTGTTATCCATAAAGAATCTTACTTTTTTATTACTCACGAACTTCTATATGTCAATCAAACAGACCATCATAACTCATAAACCAGACAAACAATGTACAATGAAACCATATTAATAAAAAAAAACATGAGTTCTGCACAACCACTTTTCTCAGTGTCCATACAGTGAAAGGAACATCATGCTGGTTGGTAAATTCAGACACTTGTTGATCAAGGTTATCTGACTGGAAAGCACATAGTCCAGATTAACAGGGTCTCACTGTCCACATTAACAGGGTCTCACTGTGCTTAAACTGTAGATCAACGGCATAGTTATGTCGGTAGACTAAAGGGTGCAGTTGGGTACAGGAAACTAAATTTACTTACCCGGTACATCAAATGAGACAATTTTAATTAAAGAAATTCCCCACTTTTCTGATCTCCGATAATAAACTTCAATTAGTTTCTCCATGGCTGGCACACCAGTATTTGTTAGCTTTACTACAACAACATGAATCGCTGTGTTTAAATGATACAGTTCATCACATAAGCACTATTTCCTGAGGAGGAGAAATGACTCCATATGCTGCCACAGTCACATTACTCTCTGTGATAAGCCGATGATAAAACAACAATGAAACATACAATGAATAACACAATGAGGATGAACTTTACTTATTTATCCTACAATGTAGCTGTAGCATCATATCACCAGACTGATAGAGAATTACTACTCTGATTCATTGGCATTTGCAAAAATGGTTTCGTTGAGCAAATGTGATACTGCAATTGACTTGCACAATCACACATATTAATCACAGACGTGTCTAGATTTGCCTCAGTTTGAATGCTACAGCTGGCTAACTAATCGGGTAGAAATATTTCACAGTGTGTCACTGTTTTCAGATTTTGATTCCAACTAGGTCGTACTGAAGACTTCAGAACACTTCTACTCTAAGAGCAATGCGTTACTTTCCTCTTTGCAAAGTGAAAAAGTGATGAGAATTAAATGCTTGGTAAGAGTTCACACATTTGCATAATATTCACACTCTGGTCTTCAAAGAAAACTTCAGGTTCACGCAAACATCCACACAGTAAAGTCTTCACACACAAGCACATTTGAGTAATACCACACGGTAACCAGTTGGGCGTACATTATGGCAGTATTTTGAGCGAAGTATCCATATGATGCACCACTGTAAAGCACTTAGATGAGATGACCTTCCATATGTCAGTCTCCCATCAGACTAGCTCTGGCACGCGGTGTAAGTTTCCGTATACGACCCCTACTACTCGTAGTGGTCATGTCTGGAGATGACCGGTTTTCACTTGAGTCTGAGTCCGAGTCGGAATCCACCATTCCATTCCGACCATTTGCTCGCTCATTGTCACTCTCATCTTCTTGATACTGCACTGTCCTCCTCCCTTGGTTTCTGGTCTTGATTCTGGATTTTCTTTGTTGTTCGTACACAAAAATATTGTCTTGAACTTTCCGCCGTTCTCTCGCACTATGGCGCACTATTTCTACTTGTTTCTGGATTGACCTGGTGGCCGGTTTTGCTGCTCCACGTTTGGAAGATCTGGATGAGTTCACATAGTCACTGTGCTGTTTGTCATCTTCATCATCGTGGTCATCAGTGCCGCTTCCACTGTTGTTGTTGCTACTACTGCTATCTGATGATGATGTTCTGCCTCTAGGCGACGTGGTTGATGATGTGGTTGCAGAGTTTGATTCTGATTTAGACACTAATGAGCTACTTTCATCAGGCATGTACTTAGCAGGTTTAACTTTGCCCGTGGCGGCCCGTGTTCTGTAAGAAGGTTTGGAGTGACCGTTTGAAACACCCCCCTTTACCTGCAACAGAGTGAGGGGAATTGGAGGAAAGGGCAAACATCTATGTAATATCATCTCACACACTGACTGCATCCCATGTAGAAAACCACACAATGAGTAATCAAAAGAGAATGTATGAGAGAAAGCAATGCTTCTTAAATCTGGAAATTTTATCAACATCACCAACGGATATCAAGAAAAGAGGTCATCTGAATAAGTAACTCTGTCTCAGGACTGAACTGCAAAGAACCAATTTCGCCTTCATTATTTTGCAATCTGCACACAAAACCTTTATACATAACCTTAACATCTGAACTGTTCAAAGATTCAAGCAAAACCCAGTTTAAACACAGATGGACACAAATACAGTACACAATGAGTGAGTGAGTGAGTTTAGTTTTACGCCGCAGTCAGTAATATTCCAGCTATATGGCAGCGGTCTGTAAATAATCGAGTCTGGACCAGACAATCCAGTGATCAACAGCATGAGCATCGATCTGCACAATTGGGAACCGATGACATGTGTCAACCAAGTCAGCGAGCCTGACCATCCGATCCTGTTAGTCGCCTCGTACGACAAGCAAAGTCGCCTTTTGCGGCAAGCATGGGTTGCTGAAGACCTATTCTACCCCAGATCTTCACGGGTCACAGTACACAACTAAAACATAAGTCCAAATAATAATTTGGATTTAAGCAGAAAATTACTATTTATTTGCCAAGGAACAAAGGAGCTTGTTTATTTTTCCCCACACTGAGCATGCAACAACAATCCAACAATCTATTTTCTCTCAATCTGATACTTGTATACTGACAGACACCACAGAGTTACGCCGGAGTGTGTTAGCATCACTCACTTTTCCCACCTGATGCCCGGTTTTTGCTACGTTTTTGCTGGACCTTTCCCCGTGGTTTTGTAGCTATCTCCTCCTCCTCCTCTTCTTCTTCCTCCTCCTCCTCCTCCTCAGACTCATCCTGAACCAGGACTTGGCGGCGAGACACTTTCCGTTTGGTCCGTCGAACCTTCCCAACTTCCTCTGCTTCTTCCTCATCATCTTCAACATTCACCTTCTCTTCTTCCTCTACCTCCGTCTCTTCATCTTCCTCACTCTCTCCATCACTCCTTATCACCTTACGGGCTATCAACAAAATAACTGACTTGAGACTTGATACTTGAGCAGAAATGAAAAACATTTAATCGCTGACTACACCTCATGAACAACATAAATGATCGTGAATGCAGTATACTAATACCTCCTATCAATTAGTATCACACAAAACTTTACCCACATAAGTTCGCAAGTGAATGTTCAATTGCCATGTATAACTGTCTTTCCATTAAAGCAGGGATGTTGCTGCATTTGCCCCAATATATGAGTGATTTAATTGCAAATACTTCTTCTGTCTAAGTATCTTCCAAAGAAGCATTAAAACAGCTTTGCAGTCAAGTCTTCTTCGTGTTCGTGTGAATCATTGTAGTTGGTTTTGCTACTGTAACTATTTAACTAGTAGCTTGCCACCATGACATGCAACACAAGATCATAGTACCTCAATGTGAATACAAGAGGTATTCCTGTGAACTGCAATTACCATTTGAAAGTCTTTTCTTGTCCAAAAAAATAGTCTAAATAAATTTTCCTAAACATATATATGATCATATGAGAATTGGCTGTTGAAGCTGGAGTATGCAGTACCTGACACCCGTGAAGTGTGGGCAGTTCTCCGGGACCGGGGGTAGGGTGTTGGACCACTGCTGTAACCATCCGCCGAACCCCGCTCTCCGCCACCTCCTCCGTGTGACCTCGTCACTCGGACTGGAGTGTTGCTGGAGCTGGCGCTGGATGACTGCTGGCTGCTGTCAGTCGATGACCCTGGGGCTCTGTCACGACGGCTTGCTGATGGCAAGTTCCCATTTGTCTTGATACTTGTACGGGACAATTTGCTGTTGTACAATTGAAATAAAATTTTGAGAAACTTTTGAAATTGACCAATTATCTGCTGATATCATTTTCTCAATTACAAACTTGTTACAGAGTCCATCTTTTACATGTGCAATCTCTGAAATACTTTAACCACCAGGATTCAGTTCCTTTTATTACCGTGCTAATTACAAAACTAGTACACGGGATGACCGCACACAAAAAACAACCCAATTGATATATTAAGGAAGTATTCTTCGTGTGGGCACACTTGAATTCTAAACGGCACACCTGAACAAGTGCCATGTGGCAACCATGGCAGAAATGTACATTTCTATCCCTGACATTATTCTTCACTAAGCTGGAAACACGATATCTCAACAGTTAACAGTCATCATCCAGTTCCCTGACATTATTCTTCACTAAGCTGGAAACACGATATCTCAACAGTTAACAGTCATCATCCAGTTCCCTGACATTATTCTTCACTAAGCTGGAAACACGATATCTCAACAGTTAACAGTCATCATCCAGTTCCCTGACATTATTTACTTCACTAAGCAGGAAACACGATATCTCAACAGTTAACAGTCATCATCCAGTTCCCTGACTTTATTCACATATGCGTACATATGCATACCTGCCAGATGGTTTAGGCAGTTGTCTGCTTTTAGTGGCATACTTCCAGTGGCTGGTAATCTCCTTGATCTGATCTTCAAACATGGCTGACAACCGTAAGGTCATTGCATATATCTGTAATCATAAGAAAAACTTGTGTATGTTGGAAAACAACTATCAGTCAGCATTGTTGGTAATTCATTCAGTTCTTATACCCTGAAACTAAGTGGTATAATACATCTGCTGTACAGCAAGCCGAAACACCAAGTTATATGTTGCTTAATTGCATATGCCAAAGATTCAAACCCATGGATTGAGATATTACATCCTGCAATAGTTGGCACTGTTGTACAAAGCTATCTCAGATCGAAGGTGATTGTAACCCCCGTACAGAGTCTTAGTGCTATGGTTGCTTTAGACAACCTCACGTAAATCATCACGCACAGTAAACTGAGGCACACCAGACAACTTAGCCATTCAGGCCATCAACTTAAAATATGGCCTATTTCCTCTCTGATAACATTCAGAGGTCAACCCAAAACTGACATGTCAAATTGATACACACTCTCTTTGAATCAGAGGGTGATTTAAGACCCATCATACAGATGACATCCTAACGAACGAGAGGGATAAGATTAATAGATTGAATAAACGGTGAAATTTGTATAATAAACCAGCCATACCATGGTAAGGCACCCAAATTCCTACAACAAGTTCAGTTCCATCACATGTAAGCAAGCTACCTCACACATCTCTCAAGCCATCTCACCAAGCTACCTGCCCTCATCTCACCAAGCTACCTGCCCACATCTCACCAAGCTACCTGCCCACATCTCACAAAGCTACCTGCCCACATCTCACAAAGCTACCTGCCCACATCTCACAAAGCTACCTGCCCACATCTCACCAAGCTACCTGCCCACATCTCACAAAGCTACCTGCCCACATCTCCTACACAGCTACCTGCCCACATCTCACAAAGCTACCTGCCCACATCTCACCCCAAGCTACACCTGCCCACATCTCACCAAGCCACCCCACATCTCCCACATCTGCCCACATCTCACCAAGCTACCTGCCCACATCTCACCAAGCTACCTGCCCACATCTCACCAAGCTACCTGCCCACATCTCACCAAGCTACCTGCCCACATCTCACCAAGCTACCTGCCCACATCTCACCAAAGCTACCTGCCCACATCTCACCAAGCTACCTGCCCACATCTCACCAAGCTACCTGCCCACATCTCACCAAGCTACCTGCCCACATCTCACCTACAAGCTACCTGCCCACATCTCACCAAGCTACCTGCCCACATCTCACCAAGCTACCTGCCCACATCTCACCAAGCTACCTGCCCACATCTCACCAAGCTACCTGCCCACATCTCACAAAGCTACCTGCCCACATCTCACCAAGCTACCTGCCCACATCTCACCAAGCTACCTGCCCACATCTCACCAAGCTACCTGCCCACATCTCACCAAGCACCTGCCCACATCTCACAAAGCTACCTGCCCACATCTCACACAAGCTACCTGCCCACATCTCACAAAGCTACCTGCCCACATCTCACACCTGAAGCAACCAGCCCACATCTCACTAAGCTACCTGCCCACATCTCACCAAGCTACCTGCCCACATCTCACAAAGCTACCTGCCCACATCTCACTTAAGCTACCTGCCCACATCTCACAAAGCTACCTGCCCACATCTCACCTAAGCCCACATCTCACCTGCCCACATCTCACCAAGCTACCTGCCCACATCTCACCAAGCTACCTGCCCACATCTCACAAAGCTACCTGCCCACATCTCACCAAGCTACCTGCCCACATCTCACCAAGCTACCTGCCCACATCTCACCAAGCTACCTGCCCACATCTCACAAAGCTACCTGCCCACATCTCACAAAGCTACCTGCCCACATCTCACCAAGCTACCTGCCCACATCTCACTAAAGCTACCTGCCCACATCTCACCAAGCTACCTGCCCACATCTCACAAAGCTACCTGCCCACATCTCACAAAGCTACCTGCCCACATCTCACCTAAGCTACCTGCCCACATCTCACAAAGCTACCTGCCCACATCTCACAAAGCTACCTGCCCACATCTCACAAAGCTACCTGCCCACATCTCACCAAGCTACCTGCCCACATCTCACCAAGCTACCTGCCCACATCTCACCAAGCTACCTGCCCACATCTCACCAAGCTACCTGCCCACATCTCACAAAGCTACCTGCCCACATCTCACAAAGCTACCTGCCCACATCTCACCAAGCTACCTGCCCACATCTCACCAAGCTACCTGCCCACATCTCACAAAGCTACCTGCCCACATCTCACAAAGCTACCTGCCCACATCTCACAAAGCTACCTGCCCACATCTCACCAAGCTACCTGCCCACATCTCACCAAGCTACCTGCCCACATCTCACCAAGCTACCTGCCCACATCTCACCAAGCTACCTGCCCACATCTCACCAAGCTACCTGCCCACATCTCACAAAGCTACCTGCCCACATCTCACAAAGCTACCTGCCCACATCTCACCAAGCTACCTGCCCACATCTCACCAAGCTACCTGCCCACATCTCACCAAGCTACCTGCCCACATCTCACGAAGATAACAAGCTGATAAACAAGATAGACATACTCTAGATTTCTTGTTGGTGTTGTAGGACTTTGAATTGATGAAGATGAGTCTGACATCCCGACACAACTCAATTGGGTTTGTATACTGGTCAGTGTCCACCTTCTCCTGCACTTGGCCAAAGTCTATGGGGTTCTCAACAAACTTGTAGTAGTCCTGCATTGCAACAAAGTTTAACTTAGTACACATTTTTATGTAGTCTTACATCACAACAAATTACACTTAGCACCTGTACCTGTCTTTACCTGGTATTCTCACATTGCAACAAATAACATGGAACAATCAGACTTACACAAATAAATATTCCCAACTCAACAAAAAGCATCCTCGATAGTCTCTAGAGTATACATTCCAATAAATCTCCACTATTCCCCTGCATCTATGGCCCGGCCCAATAATTGTATTACCTCCATTTGCTGGCTTTTTATCCAAGCAGGTGTCTACCTTGGGAAGTTGAGCTTACAAATCACAAGGCTTCTATCATAACTCACTTCCGCTTCTTTTATCTAACCGATTAAACTTGGCAACACAATTGTTGCAGAGGTACCTTGAAAGAGGTAGGAGTTCTTGCACATACATGTATATTTTTTAAGGTTTCAGACATGTCAATTTGTCTGTATGATTTTTTCCCTAAATCTGAGTAGCACAGCCAGCAAACCTTCGTGGCTGTGCCTGCCATCTTTGATGACACTGGGAAGCTCGGTTGTAACAGCTTATTTGATTGAATAAGTACTGTAAGAAGGCGGCGCCAGCAAAGGGAGGTAATACAATTGTTCATGCATCCAGGGTACTGGAAGAGATTTATCGGAATGTATACCCTGGAGATTATCAAGGATGACAAAAGGTAGCACATGAATTATGTGAGGTTTAATTATTCCTAATGTTCTCACTGGATATTCTTCAGGGTCAACAGCAGTCCTGAATGGCTTGCTGTCCTCGCACTCTAGGATCCTGGCAATGAGCTGCGAACACTCTGACTTCCACTTGTTGGGGTCCACGGGCTTTTCCAGACGCGACCTCTTGTTGGCCTTCACTTTATCTCCCTGCAGAAACACACAATCAAGAATATCTGTGTCCTGCTGACAGGGAAGATCTACTGCAAAACTTGACGATAACAAATATAAACCCATCAATAAGGCCCATAAGGTGACACTTTCATACACATAGCGGGCCAACGAATACCTTAGAGGCAAAACAGAAAAATGCAAAGTTCACTTTGTCAATTTCTCTTTCTACAAAAAGTGAAGAATAAAATCTAAAAGAATCAATACAAAGTAAGTTTGAAATCAGATTTTAGTATATTACACTCTTTAATCCTACAAGCCTGTATATATGAGTGTCCTCTCAATTGATGTTTAAAAGATAAAGATATACTTGATGGATACACACATAAATACAGCACATGTCAGGCTGAAGCAAAGAGTTGCACAGCTCATGTCAGGAAGACATTTCTTACCCTTTTTCTCTTCCGACTGCTGGTGGCATCGTCAGTGACATCATCGGTATCAGAGGAGGAACTGTTCATCTTTCTCTCCTTCATCTCCTGCGCCAGGAATGGCATAGCATCCACAGCATCACTGTCACTATCCAACAGACAGCAACAGTAATTGTACATAAACTGAACCACTGACACAACAGTATTACATTAACTAAACCACTGACACAACAGTATTACATAAACTGAACCACTGACACAAAAGCATTACATTAACTAAACCACTGACACAACAGTATTACATAAACTGAACCACTGACACAACAGTATTACATAAACTAAACCACTGACACAACAGTATTACATAAACTAAACCACTGACGCAACAGTATTACATTAACTAAACCACTGACACAACAGTATCACATAAACTGAACTACTGACACAACTGTATTACATAAACTGAACCACTGACACAACAGTATTACATAAACTGAACCACTGACACAACAGTATTACATAAACTGAACCACTGACACAAAAGTATTACATAAACTAAACCACTGACACAACAGTATTACATTAAACTAAACCACTGACACAACAGTATTACATTAACTAAACCACTGACACAACAGTATCACATTAACTAAACCACTGACACAACAGTATCACATTAACTAAACCACTGACGCAACAGTATTACATTAACTAAACCACGAACACAACAGTATCACATAAACTGAACTACCAACAAAACTGTATGACATAAACTGAACCACTGACACAAAAGTATTACATAAACTGAACCACTGACACAAAAGTATTACATTAACTGAACCACTGACACAAAAGTATTACATAAACTGAACAACTGACACAAAAGTATTACATAAACTGAACCACTGACACAAAAGTATTACATAAACTGAACCACTGACACAACAGTATCACATAAACTGAACCACTGACACAAAGTATTACATAAACTGAACCACTGACACAAAAGTATTACATAAACTAAACCACTGACACAAAAGTATTACATAAACTGAACCACTGACACAAAAGTATTACATAAACTGAACCACTGACACAACAGTATTACATAAACTGAACCACTGACACAACAGTATTACATAAACTGAACCACTGACACAACAGTATTACATAAACTGAACCACTGACACAAAAGTATTACATAAACTGAACCACTGACACAAAAGTATTACATAAACTGAACCACTGACACAAAAGTATTACATAAACTAAACCACTGACACAACAGCATCACATAAACTGAACCACTGACACAACAGTATTACATAAACTGAACTACCAACACAACAGTATTACATAAACTGAACCACTGACACAACAGTATTACATAAACTGAACCACTGACACAAAGTATTACATAAACTGAACCACTGACACAACAGTATCACATTAACTAAACCACTGACACAACAGTATTACATTAACTAAACCACTGACACAACAGTATCACATAAACTGAACCACTGACACAACAGTATCACATAAACTGAACCACTGACACAACAGTATTACATAAACTGAACCACTGACACAACAGTATTACATAAACTGAACCACTGACACAACAGTATTACATAAACTAAACCACTGACACAACAGTATCACATAAACTGAACCACTGACACAACAGTATTACATAAACTGAACCACTGACACAACTGTATTACATAAACTGAACCACTGACACAACAGTATCACATAAACTAAACCACTGACACAACAGTATTACATTAACTGAACCACTGACACAACAGTATCACATTAACTAAACCACTGACACAACAGCATCACATAAACTGAACCACTGACACAACAGTATTACATAAACTGAACTACCAACAAAACTGTATTACATAAACTGAACCACTGACACAACAGTATTACATAAACTGAACCACTGACACAACAGTATTACATAAACTGAACTACCAACAAAACTGTATTACATAAACTGAACCACTGACACAACAGCATCACATAAACTGAACCACGAACACAAAAGTATTACATAAACTGAACTACCAACAAAACTGTATTACATAAACTGAACCACTGACACAAAAGTATTACATAAACTGAACCACTGACACAAAAGTATTACATAAACTGAACCACTGACACAAAAGTATCACATAAACTGAACCACTGACACAACAGTATTACATTAACTAAACCACCAACACAACAGTATTACATAAACTGAACCACGAACACAACAGTATTACATAAACTGAACTACCAACACAACAGTATTACATAAACTGAACCACTGACACAACAGCATCACATAAACTGAACCACGAACACAACAGTATTACATAAACTGAACTACCAACAAAACTAAAGTATTACATAAACTGAACCACTGACACAAAAGTATTACATAAACTGAACCACTGACACAAAAGTATTACATAAACTGAACCACTGACACAAAAGTATCACATAAACTGAACTACCAACACAACAGTATTACATAAACTGAACCACTGACACAACAGTATTACATAAACTGAACCACTGACACAACAGCATCACATAAACTGAACCACGAACACAACAGTATTACATAAACTGAACTACCAACACAACAGTATTACATAAACTGAACTACCAACAAAACTGTATTACATAAACTGAACCACTGACACAAAAGTATTACATAAACTGAACCACTGACACAACAGCATCACATAAACTGAACCACTGACACAACAGCATCACATTAACTAAACCACGAACACAACAGTATTACATAAACTGAACCACTGACACAAAAGTATTACATAAACTGAACCACTGACACAAAAGTATTACATAAACTGAACCACTGACACAAAAGTATTACATAAACTGAACCACTGACACAAAAGTATTACATAAACTGAACCACTGACACAAAAGTATCACATAAACTGAACCACTGACACAACAGTATTATATTAACTAAACCACTGACACAACATTATTATATTAAGCGGGTAAGTGAGGTTTCCACATACCTGATGAAGCTTAGCATCGTCTCGGTGATGATTCCTGCCTTTTGTACAATGGCACTTCCTGGCTCATTAAATTTTGCCGTATTGGACTCAATATGCCTAATATCAAACTGGACAGCATTCACTCTCCTGCAAAAAACAATACTGTTGGTCAAAACAAATTTCATATGAATACAAAGTGTAAAAAACTTATACAAACCTGTAGAGGTTATGAATTCTTTGAAGAAAGTCCTCCTTGGGGTACATATAAGCATTAAAATGTCCATTTTAAATCCTACGACAGTTGTAACTATATTTTTAATAAAATATTTACAAAACAAAAAACTCGTTTTGTCTTGTGAGACCACCCCTACAGGGCCCCACCGGACCAACACAGCCAAGAGCAGGTAACTCTCGCCGTCTACCTCGTACCTCACTTTTCATGCTGAACGTGTCAGACAGAATGAGCGGTGGTCAGGGCCAATACCCCTAGGAGGACTTTCTTCAAAGAATTCATAACCTCTACAGGTTTGTATAATTCTTTTCAGAAGAAGTCCTCCTTTGGGTACATATAAGCATATGACAGACTCCCAAAGATATTTGAGACGGAGTGGCATTCTGTCTGGCAACAACTGAACCCGGTGGAGTGAAATCTACAACCGATACGGAAATAGAAAACACCGAGCCACCTGACGCTGATGTCAATCAGACGGGCGGAACTAGGAGCCCAAGCTTATATGTCAATTGGCTCAATATCAATGACATAAAAACCCGCCCCCAACCATTACAATGGAAGGAATGTATGGGGACATGCGAAACAACTCCCAACCCTAATATAGCCCCAGCCAGACAATCGTGGCGAGAGGTATAAGGGTAGGGAAGCGGAAAAATTTAAACGCTACAAAGCCAATAACCCAGGAGTCGAGCTAATAAGTACTGCAAACTAATGCTCGAATGCAGCCACTGTTTGGAAGAGGGCTTGCCGGGACCTCGATAAAACCCAGAGAAATTATTAGCCTCGCTAAAACTTTCTGAGGAATCGAACGAAAGTACAAACGCCATGCATTGTAATGCAGTGAAAACACCCCACCAAACACTCTCGGGCGTGAGGAGGGTAAGTGTAGGCCACCATCCCACAAAGCTGATTAACACAGACTCCCAAATACCGAAGGCTCGGGAAGAGGAAAAACTGTAAGCTTATACAAAAATCCCTGAATAGCGAAAAAGCCGTGGCCGAACATGTTGGCTCACCATTACACTAACCTGGTCAATGACATGCGGCCCGAAGAGAGGCATACCAAACAGTGCCCCCGTGGGGGTTCGCACCCAATTCCGTGCAAAGGCGGGTTAATAGCATATGACTGGTTAAAGCGTTCAAAACGGACCCGCCCTCTTGAAGGGGCGTAAAGGGACGATGTACACCCAAACCCGACCCAACCCGAAAAGGATGGTAAGGCTAATATGATGTAGTGATATGAAATATATCGACATTGAACACAGAACCGATACCAATGACCAGTTACTAACTTGGTCAGGGTGGCAGGTCACTCTCCACTGGAGAGAACCGAAGACCGAACCGAGCACGATCCTTAGAATGCGTGTCAAGTTGGTAATGGCGAATGAAGGCGCTCTGCTGGCTCCAAAGAGCGACAGAACCGATCTCTTCATTGAGCAGTGCGGCTGTGTATTGTCAACAAAGCGGCATCTGCCCTACCCAGTCTGCCTTCAACCCTCGGGAGGTAAACCGTATCATTGTAACCATACACCACGGAAACAAGCCAACGAGATAAAGTGCGCTTGCTAGCAGACTCCCCAGTCTTCCGCCACCAAACAGCACACATGGGTACCCGTCACGGATCCCTTTTGTTCGCTCGTTTAGGTGACAGGCACGGGTGAGCAATCGAAAGATTGGTCCCCGTGCAGAAGGCTGGGTAGGGGTGGAAGTGCGATATGAGCAGTCACGTGGAAAGCAATATCGCACTGAGAGTGGTAGGTATCCGAGAGTCGAATCACGGACATGATCAGTATAAAATACTGTCAGTGTCGGGTCAGTGGGAATCGCATGGATGTAAATCTCGACCCTTCTACCAGAGTTCACCACAACAAGTAAAGTCGCCTTCCACGCCAACAAGTGAAGTGAGAGAGACGATATACTTGAAAAATTAGGGCCAGACAGCCAATTGTGAATAAGTGGCAATTTTAAGGTGGACTGGGTCAGCCGACGAGGCGGTCGAACCCTGTTCATGCCAGCTACTGACGCCGATGTGCGAGAGGATGCTGCCTAGGCAGAGCACCATCCCGAACGAGGTGTGAAACGGGAAATAGCCATGGAGTACCCGCAATGGTGGAGGTCATAAGGCTCTCAACCAAAACGAGGTTATAGTAACTCCAATATCCGAACTAACTCCGCCCAGAATAGGGATTATGAAATCCCCTATCTGAACACCAGCTTCCCACCTATCAACACACTGAACGGTGTCAAATCCTAGGCAGAATTGTGTCTGCAGCGGTTGAAGGAATTCGTGTGTTATACCCGACAGAGGCCAAGCCACCCAGTGAATCCGAGGATTGGTGTGGCGCTCGCAGAGTGAGAATGTCTGGCCGAAGAGGTAATTCAATCCCGGCGCATGCGGGATCGAACACCAACCTGACTGCTGTCAATTCCAGCACATTGATGTGCAGGTTGTGACTTCGTCTCAAGAGGCTGCAGGTCACCCAGAACATCACCCTAACTCGGTAGGGATGTATCTGGCTGGACTGAGAGCGACGGTGTCTCCAGGGGTGGGGACCCTCGGAGAGACGCCTGACGTCTGTCCATCTGACTGCGTGAGATTGACAATTCCGCCCAGTTTCGTAACTGATCGTGGAGGTCCCGAGACTCAACAGTTATCTGAAACCACGATGAGTCAGTCGCCTATGTACGGGTGACAACACCGCACTCGCGATCTGGCTATCTGAGCTGTAATAAACCTCAATTTGGTGAACACCCTTGGCACCGTAATGTAGCCTAAGGAAGAGCACACGAAACTGGTAGCACGTCCGTCCAAACAAGAAACCGAAGGTAAATCTTGAAATCAGGGTGCAATGGAACAAGGAGGTACGCGACCTGGTAGGTCGATTGACGTGTGCCAATCCCCTGTCTCGGCAGATGAGATCACCGAGCCGTGTCTCCATCTTGAAGGACAGTACCTCTATAAACTTGTTCAGCTCTCAGATGAGAATGGGTCTGAACATTCCGTTAGTAATGGCAACTATGAAATAAGTGGAGTCAAACCCCACATATTCCTGACCATTGGAAACCACCACACTGGTTGCCTAGCCCAGCAAAGACTGGATCTGGGCACGAGTATTGTTGCCGCCTCTCCGGGAAGCCGACACAGGAGTGTGTCATCCGCGCCGGTGTTTGCGCAGAATATAGTAACCCCAGCAGTCGGCAACTTAACGCTTTGCCGATGCCTGGGCACCTGAGGAAGTAACGAGAGCTCAACAGACTTCCGTGATTCCTCGAAACTGTCCCGGCGATATGCCCATAACCGCCCTCATCATTTGACTGGCACAGCTACAATGCAGTCCCTAGCCAGATGAGAGTTGCCCCCGTCCAGATGCCGCCCAGAGTCGCCCGGCGAAACAAAAATTCCACCGGGCTCTCTCCCTTTCCACCAGCTCCCTCAGCAGCTGAGAGATGCCGAGTGGAGCATACAGCGTTGAGCTGTGAAGGGAAAGAAAGGCAGACTTAAGGGAGAGTGTGAGGCCTTGTCCCGATGCCGTGCTGGAAGCAGGCTTCCCTCGGGAGGCTTAACTCCAACGGTTCGGGTAGTCGACATGGACAACACCTGAGGCAACACAGCCGCGATTCTATCTCGCACTTGCCCTCAGGGATCGAACCTACTTAGTGGTAAGTTCAAAGTAGCGAAATGAGCGAAGCTCAAATCGACTTGTCCACTGTAATGGCCTGAACCCGATTCCGAGGCACATGTGAGAAGCCTGACAATCAAGGTTTCACAAGCACTCAGACAGACCTCGGAGCGCGAGGTGACAGTCACACCCGGCACACTCGATGGCATCTAGGTCAATACGCCGATAGACATCAGGCCGAGACCTGAACTACCGCCGAGACCTAAACTACCGAGTCGGGAATCTGCGCTCTACCAGTGCCGAAGCCTGGGTCGGCAGTACCCACGGGTTCAGAGAATCCGCAGAGCCGAAGCTCAGCTGTTCTAGACCTAACCCGATCCAGAGACACGAGGAGTAGCCTGATAAATCAGGTTTCCCCAAGTACTCTCCAAAAGCGCACTGAGCGATAGTCAAACATAGCCTATAGCTATATAAATACCCATACATACACATGTATGTATGCGTAAGTGCTTTCGGGTCGGCGGTTCGAAGTTCAACCCCGATCCCCAACACAAGGGAGTGGCCTGACAATGCAGGGCTCCCCTGGTGTACACGGTAGACCTCGGCGCCGAGGTGGTGATCGGCAGCTCGTCACACTCAACGCCTCTTGGCCAGGACATCGATAGACATCAGGCGAGACCTGAGCTAACAGCCGGGATCTGCTCCGCATCAGCCGGGGCGAAACCCAGGTCGGTGCTAGTCCGATCTGCAGTCCCGAGACACAAGGGAGTAGCCTGGCAATGCAGGTTGCCCCTGGTGGACACAGGTAGACCTAGGGCGCCGAGGTGATCGGCAGCTCAGTGGAACCCAGACCGGGCCGAGAGAGGAACCTGCCGATATACAGGTTTCCGGCAACCCCGACTGACCACGTGGCGCCGAGGTGTCCCCGAGCTGGTCGGCGCCTAGGCGACCGCCAGTCAGGGCACCAGGGCAAAACCTGCAGGGCGAAACCTGCATCGCCGGCGCCAGGCGCCCGTGACGAACCTGAGCCCGAACCTAGGTCGCCACAAGGTGCCGAAGGCGCCGAGGTGTCCCCGAGCTGGTCTGCGCCTAGGCGACCGCCAGTCAGGGCACCAGGCGAAGACAGATGCGTCCGATCCACCCCCGACGACAGGCGTGCTGAGCTCCTTGCGGAACCCAGACAGCACCGTGTCAATCGGGCCGGGAATTTCACCACAGACGACACCTGGTGAACTTACCTTCGAGATCAACACTTTGCGAGCCGAGCTCCTTACGGAGCCCGGACATCGCGCTATCAATTATCGAATTGACATTATGTTGAAGAATATGTTGCTGCAATAGTGAAGTCATATTTAAGTCAGCAACATTGTTTGCGGGGGAAACGATAAAGGGATTTCCTTAGAAACCTTTTATCAAATATTATCCCCCGCCTGAAGCAGATTAGTGAAAAACATAAAATCTGCGTGTCGGAAAGAATGCGCGTGAGGCGCAGAAACCCAGACAAAAACCACAACCTCGTCCTATGAGCCACGTTACGTGTAAACGTATGAAATATGTATCATAATACAACATAATGTAACAGGAATATTGATGCAAGGGCGTTTATTATGAGCATCCTTGATCGCCGTGGAGCGCCCTCAGCTAAACACCGGAGGCACACTTTATAACCATCCTGTGGCGGTAGTGTGCATGGCACAACGCGACAGGGCTTAAACTGCAACAAACAGAACCACGCCAGTGTTACTAGCAGGAACTGTGAAGCAGCAAACACATAAACACAAGTAATAGCAAGAATAATCCGCGACGGGCGATATATAAATGCTACAAGCTACAGCCATTTAAATACTAAACATACAATGCAAAGCAGAAAAAAAGGCTAGCCACCCCTGCGTGTACTAGTGATAGAGTAAAGTTGAGTGATACGAAACGAACACTATCAAAATTACTCAACGACTTACCACAAATTCGCTGAAAAGAAAGAGAATTTAGGCAAGCCTACCATATAATATGCAAACATAATATATGAACTCCCTACTACAAGCTACCAATAACATATAGCAAGGAAACCGCGGTCCGCCATTTTGCCTGCCACATGGCTAGAAAACAGAGAACCCACGGCAAAGTTACATCAAAAGATGAATGAAAATATCCACATATGACGCCCATCTAACGCCTCGCGTGAGAGAAAGGAACCATACATACAGATTGAGACTCTTTACACTCATCAGACGGGTAGGGAGAGCAAACTCCAAACACCACACGCGACGTCTATTCAACAGAACGACAGCATGAAAAGTGAGGTACGAGGTAGACGGCGAGAGTTACCTGCTCTTGGCTGTGTTGGTCCGGTGGGGCCCTGTAGGGGTGGTCTCACAAGACAAAACAAGTTTTTTGTTTTGTAAATATTTTATTAAAAATATAGTTACAACTGTCGTAGGATTTAAAATGGACATTTTAATGCTTATATGTACCCCAAGGAGGACTTCTTCTGAAAAAGAATCTTAAACTGCCAGTACTGAAGTGACTATGTGACTCACCTGTAGCAATTATACTACCTCTACTGGAATCTCTATGTAACTCACCTGTAGAACCTGTTTTCCAGTCTGATCTTGACTCACCGGTAGCAGTAATACTGATTGGACTCGCATTGACTCACCTGTAGCTATAATCCTGCCTGGACTCCCAATGACTCACCTGTAGCAGTAGTACTACCTGGACTCCCAATGACTCACCTGTACCTGTAATACTACCTGGACTCCCAACGAATCACCTGTAGCAGTAATCCTACCTGGACTCCCAACAACTCACCTGTAGCAATAATCCTACCTGGACTCCCAACGACTCACCTGTAGCAGTAATCCTACATGGGCTCCCAACAACTCACCTGTAGCAATAATCCTACCTGGACTCCCAACAACTCACCTGTAGCAGTAATCCTACCTGGACTCCCAACAACTCACCTGTAGCAGTAATCCTACATGGGCTCCCAATGACTCACCTGTAGCAGTAATCCTACCTGGACACCCAACGACTCACCTGTAGCAGTAATCCCACACCTGGACTCCCAATGACTCACCTGTAGCAGTAATCCTACCTGGACTCCCAACGACTCACCTTTAGCAGTAATCCTACATGGACTCCCAATGACTCACCTGTAGCAGTAATCCTACATGGACTCCCAACGACTCACCTTTAGCAGTAATCCTACCTGGACCCCAAACGACTCACCTGTATCAGTAATACTACATGGACTCCTAATAACTCACCTGTAGCAGTAATCCCACACATGGACTCCCAACGACTCACCTGTAGCAGTAATCCTGTCTGGATTCCCAATGACTCACTTTAGCAGTAATCCTGCCTGAACTGGACTCTCTATGTAACTCACCTATAGAACCTGTTCTCCAGTCTGGCCTTGATGGTGCTCAGGTCTACAGGGTATTCAATTACATGGGCATACAGTGGAAAGGCATTCAGGTCAACTGGTGCATTGAAGGGCTCAGCCATTGAATGCTGCATCACCTCCTCCAGCCCATGAACGATCCTGTCACACTCCTCATCCCGGCCACATGAAGGCCACTCATTGGCCCCGGTGTTATACAGCAGCTTCTTCAACTCCTCCTTCTCAACCATCACTCCCCCACCAACGTCTCCTGGTACACCTACAACACACAAGTGTATGGACTTGTATTTTACAGACCATTATAACTTACCCTCAAATGTTCACTATAATATAATTTTTAAATTATGCAATTTTTCAAGATAAAATCCTTAGCTTTGGCCAGAGACATGGTGGAAATGCTCTGTGCTGTGTCCCAGAAGAACAGTAAAAACAAACAGGGCTGAAACTAATTTTGCACTGTGAGACAAATAGGGCAGTTCACTCAAACACCGTACTTCACCCAATCACCCCCCAAAACTGAGCATGTGCACCAGCTCCCTGTGAGCCAATGACTCTCTTTATTTAGTAAAATCCAAATAGTTAAAAAGTTAGTGCTGAATGGGGAGGGTTGGGATGGTACTTTAGCGTATGAGTCAGGATACGTATAAAATAATAATACCTACTTTTTCTTATCCTGAGGCATACTGTGTTCTTTACTCCGTCTGTAGATGTAAATAATGAAGAGTTTGTGGATTTGTAAGACTTACATGGAATGTGATTATCACTCCGACAGATAGGGTGTGGGTTCTGGTCTGATACTCTAGTCTACATACAACACAGTTTTACATGAAAAGATATAGATTCGGACTTAACTGGACATGAACTTAATTCAACGCCAATTTGAAAAATCATTGGTAGATAAAATACATAAAGGGCGCTAATCCAAGCCTAAATTTATTCAAAAACTTTATAATTCTGATAGGATGGATTAAACACACAGGGACAATTTCCCCAACCATCTCGTTGGGAGACAATAAGGAGTCACAAGGGGGGCCGGAGCCAGAGCCGGAGCCAAGCACAGTGAAGGGGGTCAGATTGGGTGAGTTGGTTTTACTGTTCTTGGGGAACATAACACAGAGAGTTTCCACCACGTCTCGAGCTAAAGTGAGTGAGTAAGTTATGTTTTACGACACTTCTAGCAATGTTCCAGCAATATCATGGCGGGGGACACCAGAAATGGGCTTCAAACATTGTATCCATGTGGGGAATAGAAACTGGGCCCTCGGAGTGACGAGCAAACGCTTTAACCACTAGGCTACCCCACGCCCCTCGAGCTAAAAGAGGTGAGGTGAGGTGAAATTGGGCTTAACGTCGTGCTTGAGAATATTTCGCTCATATGACGACGTGCATGCGTATGTGTATCTGCGGCCGCTTGCACTAGCCCAGACTTAAGCTGGTTTTATAGTGCTAGCCCACTGAGATACCATGCCACAGTGAAGCATGAATACCCCACTCAGACACATTATACTGACTCCGAGCCAACCAGTCCTTGTTGTACCCATGAATGCCGAGCGCAAGGCAGGGACCAACATGTACCATATTTTAACGTCTTTTGGTATGACGCGGTCGGGGATCGAACCTGCGACCTTCCGCTCTCCGGGCGGACGCTATAACCACTACGCCACGGAGGCGGCCTCGAGCTAAAGGAGAGAGAGAGAGAGAGAGAGAGAGATAGAGACATAGTATGAGTCAGGGTAAGTATTTACAAGGATACCATAGCAAGGCCTTGAAACACACATTGATATCAATGATGTGTCTGGTACGAATTGATGTACTTGTTGTTACTTACTTTCCTCATCAATCAGCTCCAGATCCCACGGACTCAGCTTCTCATGTTCTCCATTGTCCCAGCTAGAAGGATGGAACATTGTACTTTATTACTCTGTAACCATGTGCATGAGTCTAAATCGTCCTATAAACTGTTATAATTTTAGTTTCACATGTCAGCTTCCAAAACTGATACGGTTATAATTTTAAGACGATGGTAGAGTCTAAACATGAGTTGACACAATGGCTATCTATGTCATACACTCAGCACAACTAACTGTATGTGAATGATGTGTTCTATTTTCAAGCTCCATACATTGAGGCAATTCCTTCTTTCTCAATAGACAATGGACTAGCATCCCAATATGCTTAGAGTGGGTCTCGCAATGTCCTGTTCTGTTTCTGTGGACAAATATGGCTGAAAATCTTTATAGTTCACTCAAAGACTGTATTTCTAAACCTACTTCACCAAGTGAAAATATGCCTTTACAGTCAATTATCTTAAGAATGAAATCATATGACAAAGGGATTACTACCCTTGTGTATGCTGTATAATACTGTACTTACTGGACGTTGAAGCACTGGTACATGCTGTCTGTGAACTCTGCCTGGAAGGGTTCCTGGGATTGGATTGTGCCCATCCACCAGTGGTCATCTATCATAGCACGGAACCGGTCATCTACACACAACTTTAGACATTGAAACTATGCACTACATGATAAACAAGCAATAACCATTGCAGCAAGTTGTGTAACCAGATGAATATGATGCTGTAACAAATTTTCACAACGTATTAAAGGTTTCCTAAAAATTGTGTGGACATTTTGCTGAACAGATATTAAAGGGAAATTGACCCAATTAAGATATGATTCCATATATAACTGGCCTGTTTCATGGAGCTGACATACAGCACCATGGTCCCACGTCATCTGCTGTGATGAGCGAGTTTAGTTTTACGCCTCACTCAGCAACATTCCAACTATATGGTGGCAATCTGTAAATAATCAAGTCTGGACCAGACAATCCAGTGATCAACATCATGAGCATCGTTCTATCCAATCGGAATACGATGACATGTGTCAACCAAGTCGGAGAGTCTGATCACCCGATCCCGTTAGTCGCCTTTTACAACAAGCATGGGTTGCTCAAGACCAATTCTGACCCGGATCTTCATGGGTAGCATGCTGTGATGAAGACTTACTGGGTTTCCATTTCCTCTGCATGGCAATGTTGTAGGTCTGTTTGAGCACCAGGAAGTCAATGACATCAGGCATGTCGTGGTACCTGCAGGATGGTTTGTACAATCAATGTTGAAGGCTCAATACCAACAAATCATCCCATTTAGGCAATGTTGGCACATGTTCACCATCAAAAGTAAAACATCCTCATTGTTACACTACAGTATTCATCCCATGCTTGTTGACTCATTCAATGCGAGTCGACTGAAGTTGTAACTGAGTAATCAAGATGTGTTACAAGACTGTTGTTTCATACTCTGACTGACTGCTGTTTTACGCCGCTTTTAGCAATATTCCAGCTACATCACGGCGGGGGACACCAGAAATGGGCTTCACACAATGTACCCATGTGGGGATTCGAACCCGGGCCTTCGGCGTGACAAGCCAACGCTTTAACCACTAGGTTACCCCACCGCCCTGTTTCATACTCAGTGCTATTAAGGACCAGATCATTAGACTGTAGATGGGGAGTAGTAGCTACCCCACCACCCCAAGACATTGTGAAGCAAGTTCTTTGTCTCCTGCACTGACCTAGCAGAAAAGAGAGTGAAGCCTCCTCACTGAATGAAGTATAATCTAACATCATGCCACTAGTGTTGACAGAATAGGACTGGACAATAACATCAGCTGCACTCACTTGATGGAGAACGTTCCTCCTGTCAGCTTCCCGCTTCTCATGGTCAATGAACGCAAGCTTGAGGCAGCAGAGTCTCGGAGGGCGGATTTCATACTTGATGCCAACAATCTTCACCAGCTCTTGTTCCTGAGGAGATCATCAGGTCTTAATGTCTCCGAACAAGACTTCTGATACTTGGTAAAGGCGTGTTTTGACTCACAGACTGATTTTGTTGGGTGTATTCACAAAGAGACTAGTTTTTAAAACAGCTTCACTCGATATTACTGGAATCTGTATCAAATTCAATTCGCAATCAGCTATGCAAATACATTCTATACACGACTGTACCACTATCAGGTGAATGTGGAGTCACATGATTAGTGATCCACATGTCAACATGGACACTGTACAAACCATGTTACTATAATGTACAAATGGTCCAGGTAGTTTTAGCATCCTGGTTTGGACAGAAGCAATATGCAAGTATAATTCTGCTATAATATACCCTTTACAGAGAGCAGTTGTTTGAGTGAGTGAGTGAGTTGTTGAGCGAGTGAGTGAGTTTAGTTTTACGCCGCACTCAGTAATATTCCAGCTATATGGTGGCGGTCTGTAAATAATCGAGTCTGGACCAGACAATCCAGTGATCAACAACATGAGCATCGATCAACCAAGTCAGCGAGCCTGACCACCTGATCCCGTTAGTCGCCTCTTACGACAAGCATAGTCGCCTTTTGTGCCAAGCATGAGTTGCTGATGACCTACTCGGATCTTCACGGGTCAGTTGTTTGAGATGTTGTCTAGAGCTGGACATACCCTGAGTTTTGGATTCTTGTGCCAGGGCTGGTTGTTGTTGGGATTCACTTCATACACTTTGTGCTTGACCACTGCATTCAGGTAGAGCTCATGGCCTTGGCGGAAGTACATCACCTCATCTCCCATCTGAGGGACAAATGGTGCCTTGCGTGGAATGGTATCAGTAAGCCATTCTGGTGGTCGGGAATGCTTCAGAGAGTTCTGTAACACCTGGTGGCATCTTGGGTTGTTGGTGCTGGGGACAGATCAAGCAGTCATATGCAGGGTCTGTCAATGTGTTTTATTCTCAACTACTATATTTTATTGTGTTTACAGCATGCTGATACATACATGAAAATGAAGCACAATTATTACACAACAGCAACCCTTGAAATACTGCTGTCGTTGGTGTCCAAGATTCTGACCCTACATTCACAGAAAGACCGCTATACAGACATAAATGTGCCGATGATCCACAGATAACTTAATGATGGCTAATTAGCCCATGTTTGAAGTAACGAGGCCTAATCTTCTCACTGTGACAAGAATGTAATTTTCTGACTAAAATTGATATTTTATACTTATCCTGACTCATGCTAAATGCTTGTCTCCTTCTCCTTGCGAATGATAGTGGAACACTTGAAATCCCTTGAAGTTCCCTTCTAAAAAGCGGATGTGCAATCATCACTCACCCTCGAGTTGCCTCCCATGCCTCATTGGCGCCCTTTTGGTCACATGACCAGCCATGTTTTGTCACTCTCTCCGTATGTATGCCCGACACCCGGATTTACAGGGAAATGCAGAGTGTCATGAGAGGGGGGAGGTTGGAGGGCTAACCTCATAAGTCAGGATAAGTATAAAATATCAATTTTAGTCAGAAAATTACATATTTTTCCTTATCCTGACTCATGCTAAATGCTTGCAGAATCCGTTGGAATCAGTGGTGGGTCAGGCCACTTCTGGATTCACTGGCTGCTGATTTACGTCCTGTATTACCCCCCATGGGAACTTATGACGGCACTGCTGATGATTCTGTTCTTTCAACTTCCTCTGATGAGTCTCGGGGGAACCACAACTTGTCAGATTTCTTCCGAAACTTCTCCTGACATTTTCGTGTGGATTTTAGATATATGTTCCATTCGCTATATCTATTGCAACTCCATTATCGTCAAGTATCTATTGACCCTTCTTCCATCTCTTGTCCTATACAAGTACAGGGTCCATCACTCATGCTAAACTTCTTCCTGACATTTTCGTGTGGATTTTAGATATACATATGTTCCATTCGTTATCTATTGCAACTCCATCTCTTGATCACATCAAGCTAGAGATCCTAGACCCTTCTTCATGGACTTTAACCATATACAAGTACAGGGTCCATCACAGTGCCTCTGGTTTTCACGTGTGCATGGACTTTAACCATTGCTTCTCCAGTGCCTTGGTTTCACAGGTCACGTGAAAAAGGGTGAGATTTTTCTCAGCGCCTTTGTGGAACCGTTAGTTGTTGTGCTACACCAAGTGGCCCAAACTGGTGAATGCCTGAGACGTCTTCGGTGGCAATGTCTCTGAGGTAGTGGTTGGCACCGTATGATCTCCAAAAGCAGCCCTCCATTATCGTTGTAATCGTGCAGTTTCCATGCAGAGCAAGTGTAGAAGCCAGGGCTCTGATTTCGTGGGGATTGGAGGCTCGTGGAGGCTCAAGTCCTGCTGCTATGTAGGCGGCTTAGTATAACGGCTCTCATCTATATCGATATCGTTGTCCGTGAGACTTTCGTGGGCATCTCAGTGGATAAGGGGAAGAATAGGAGCTTGAATTTTCGTCTCCTTGTTTTTGTCCTTTGTAGGTAGACTTTCAATGCTCTGACAGGGCATAAGGATAATTCCTGTGTATCCTGTGGCCCAAGGACTGTAGATAGTGCAGGGATGTGGAACTGTCTGTCAGGCTGGCGGGCAGTTGGTTCTTGGCAATAAAGTCCCATCTCAGTCCTAGATGTGCGATGTCACGATGTCTTGCTTCAAATCGTGTTCGTTCAAAGTCCAGAGCATGTATTTCTGACATCCGTGCTGCTGTTGCTATGGTGATCAGGAACAGCGTTTTCTGTGTCAGTAGTTCAAAGGATGTCCGTTCTAGAGGCTCGTAGGCGTCACTGGTGAGATGTTATAGAACTATGTTGAGATCCCAGGCAGGAGCCTTGAATTTCTTTTGTTGGTCTTCCAATTTGAATGAGCGTAGAAGTGCCAGTATCTCTGGTACTTTGGTCAGCTTGACACCCGTCTTCATGGTGATAACTGTGCTAAGAGCAGCCAGGTACATTGAGAGTGTTGAACCTTTTAAGTGTCTCGTCTGTCGCAAATGACACAGGTATTCCGCCACTTGAGGATGGGTTGCCTTTACCGCTGTAAAGCCTTTCCTTGTTGCATACTGTTAAAATCTCTGCAACTTGTGGATCTGCGTAGAGCTAGTGTCACTGCTTTTGCTGCTCAGGCGGAGAACCCTCTAGTCCTCAGGCAAACTTTGATACGTTCCACATGTGTAGTTGGAACAATGCCAGATTCCCGTGAGCTTGCTTGGTGTGTGGATGGACGCGCAGGTTCAACCACTCTGGTAGTTTCAGGGTTGGACTTCCGAGTTCTTGTATGAGGACGGGAAACCATACCCTCGCTGGTCAATAGGGCACGACCCAAATCAGTTGCAACGTTGTCGTCTGCTTGATTTTCTGTATTACTTGTTGTAATAGTGCTGGAGGTGGAAACACGTAAGCGTTTAGTCCTTCCCATGAGATACTTAAAGCATCTGTTGCCCATGCCTCAGGATCCGGAATCGGTGAGACGAATGTTGGTAGTTGTTCGTTGAACTTTGTTGCAAACAGGTCTATCAGCGGAGATCCTACTGTCTGTATGATGAACTGGAACACTTCTGGATGTAACATCCATTCCGTCAGGGATGGTTGTAGTGGACGAGATAGGGCATCTGCTATGACATTCTTTGCTCCTGGAATGTGACATGCCTTCATGTAGATGTTCAAGTAAAGTCGGCGATGCCGAACAGGAGAAAGCTGAGTTTTAGCAGACTTGTTGACCTTGTTGATCCTTGTTTGTTGATGTAGAACGCTACTGTGGAGTTGTCCGTGTGGACCGTGAGCCTTGCATTCCTTAGTATGCTGGAACAGTGTTGTAAAGCGTTGATCACTGCTTTCATCTCCAACAATGTGCAGAATTTGATCCTGACTCGACCACTTTCCTGCTGCCACTTCGTTGATGAGGTGAGCACCCCATCCTTGTAGTGATGCATCCACGTGAGAGCTGAGTGTTGGAAACCAGCTCTGACAAAAGGTTCCTCCGCAAACATTCAATTCTGAGTCCACCATAGGAGTTATGGTTTCAGGCTGTCCTGTAGTATCAGTGGATCCAAACTGTCGAGATGGGCGCCACAAATATTGTAGTGGGCGCAGCTCTAATCTCCCTCTGCGAGTCATGTCTTGAGCTGAGGTGAGTAGACCAAGCATGCTTTGCCAAGCACGTAGTGTCAACGGAGAGAGCATTGCTTGAGATACCATGTTGTATCTTGACCCAACGAGCCTCTGGGACGACCGTGTGATTATGTGGTGTGATGAGCCATATTCCCAGGAACTGAAGATCCTGTTTTGGTTCCAACTCCGATTAGGAGATTACTAGCCATCTACTGCAATCATGTCCTATGTAGTAGGTAAGTGGATCTACAATAGATTCTGGAATCATGGCTTGAAGCTTTTCTCATCAATCTTCCGGTAATATGTAATGAAGATGTTGTCACCAGAATCCGAACAATGTGCAGCGAGGATGCATAATACGTCGTCTGTAGATCAGCAAAAATCTATGACGTACTGGGACTGCCATCGATGTGAGGTCTATTTATAGTCGACCGGCTGCCGCGAGCAGAAACCGCTGCAAGTCCCCAGATAACCAATATTAAATCTGCTGACAGGGGAAGTCCTCTATGACCCGTGAAGATAGTGGAACCACGCGGTAACCTGCTAACTGGACTGTAAATGGAGCCTTCCCCACATTGAAAGAGTTGTTTACAACTGTAGACGACTTCCTGGCACGTGACTATGACCGAGTACTGCGGAGGGCGTTGTCTCTCATGGACCAATCAGATTACAGATGTGACGTCACCGGTGTTGCAGGTAAATGATCCTCGTAGAATCTTGTGCAGTCGTTGATTTCTTCATCAACACTCGGCCTTGTCCGTAACTCTCTGTTCGGCTTGTGCCGGTGTTACACGAGTGAACACGTGTCTAGATGACTGAGTGGAAGCGCACGAAAACTTCGCCGCATAGTACCGATGTAAGCAGACTGTTCCCTGTCTGTTGTGACTGTATTCTTCAACTTTATAATCTTTACTGCAGTCGTCATCTCATACAGATGTTCTGTAAAGTTTACCGTAACCGATGTCTCGCTGAGGAACTGCGACAATGCTGTTAACTGTCCCCTTGATATCTTGTAAGCCCATGTGATGAAAATTCATCTTCAGTGTTTCATCGGCTGTTATCTGACATCGTTACTTCAGGTGTGCGTCTCTTCTTTCAGCCACACGTTGATCCAACATAGCCAACATCTAGTTGTAGTGTCCAGTTGTGTTATCTTCTTATCTTCCATCTTGAAGATCTATTACGGGATTCACTGATGATCTTGTAATCTCAAACCCTGATGTTATCATGAAGGGCTCAGTATGATGAAGGGTAAATCTGCTATCGTTGAATGGCGGGACATGCTGACTCTGATTATAATCCTCCCCGTGAGTGCCTGTGCGCAGGTTGAAGAAGGTCTAAGTTGGAAGATCCGTATGTGCGCAGTCTGTAGAAACCTGGAGAACGACTGGATCTACTTCTGTGTTAGAATCCTTCCTGCTGAGACGCTGAAACTGCTTGGAGGCTCCATCGTGGACTGCTAATGCTAAGCTGGCGTTTGTTGAATCCTCCAGGCTTCTAACTGCTGATACTTCTGACGGTTAAGATCTTCGCGATCGTAACCGTTCGTGCAGGCCTTCATCCGAGAGAGATTGCATAGCTAATATTCCTTCGCGCAGGGAGATTGTCATCGGAGGGTTCTGCTATGCTGAGCTGACGTTAGTACAGTTCTCCAGACTTCTAACTTCAGACGGTGAAGTTGGACATTTCTCTATCTGAAGATCATAATGACGTGAGTCTCTGTATGTAGATCTGTATGTAGAGCTGCATGCAGGTGAACGGTCCCGGTGTGACCGTGTATTCCTCCTGGAGTCTTGAGATATCTCTCTAAGCCTTCATGAAGACTGATTGATGTAATGTCCCCTCTGTAAGATGTGGAGTGCCGGCGCGCAGGTTCCGGATGTGAGTCTAAGTCCGACGGTGATGACGATCCATATCTGCGGCGTCTGTAGGCGTCTGGAGAGTGCTTCAATCTGCTTCTGTGTGGAGAATCTTACAGGCTCCTTCAGGGACGTCTAAGGCTGAGCTGATGTTGGTAGCATTGTCCAGACTTCTAGCTCCAGACGTTGAAGATCGTCAGGTGTGTGGGCCTTCGCGCAGGCTTTCCTCTTCATCCAGGTGCGTTGGAGAGGCTGCTGAACCTTCGCGCAGCCTTGTAGTCGTAGTAGTGGTCTCCGTAGCTGATTCCTCCTGCGCGAAGTGACGTTCCATCATCGACATCATCTGGTCTGTAAACTGTTGCATAAACAGCCCCGGGTTGAAGTTCTGCGATGTCTGAAGAGACTGCTGCAGAGTTGATGATGCTTCTAACAACGACGAGGCGTCTTCTAAAGCACGCTGCACTTGTGAAGAGTTGACGCTGCTGCTATCTCTGGTACCCGATGTCTGCATTGATTGAAGGTCTTCTGTCCTGTGCCGTATAGGGACCCAGGTGCTCTCACAACCGTCCTCAAGGGCGAAAAAGGAGAGAGTGACAAAACATGGCTGGTCATGTGACCAAAAGAGCGCCAATGAGGCAAGGGAGGCAACTCGTGGGTGAGTGATGATTGTACGTCTGCTTTTTAGAAGGGAACTTCAAGGGATTTCATTCGCAAGGAGAAGGAGACAAGCATTTAGCATGAGTCAGGATAAGGAAAAATAATGTAATATGTAAAGCATATGTTCCAGTATTGTGCATTGTAAAAGATATAATCAACATTTTTCAGGTACAGTCCAACATTGTGCTGTTTTACTAAACAAGGTATTAGACAGATAACACACAATTCTCCCACCATACAATCATCATTGGTTCCCACGGGAACTTGTGATGCTGAAGACCACAAGTATCTCTCAAAGGAATTCACCTTGACAACTTTCTTCTTCTTTTTCTTTGGTGGAGGTTTTGTTTTCTTTGGCTTCCTCTCCACATTACTGCCGCTGTCCTGGTCATTGTCTTTATCATTGTCATCATCATCGTCATCTTCATCATCATCATCTGGATCATCTTCTGTGGATGTGAAGCGTTTCCGTTTTCTCTGCCGCTGTGACGTACGCTTTGGAGGTTGCAGATTACTGCCTGTATCCCCCATCCAATCGGAATACTCATCAGAGTCACTGTAAGCAACCAACATCATTGTTAATGTTCCTTTAATCACATAGATACGCTCAATGCACATCTACCATATTGGTGCTGCACTGAATACTTCCATAAAAATGACACAAGTGTATCAGAGATTCCATATTGTTTCACTTCACATAAACATTTAAATAACACAGGTGACACCAAGATGTCATTTTCCGGTTAGAACAAGGGGAGATAACTCTTCTAACCTCCACTGACACACATCTGTACAATGAATGTCAGCATGACTGTAATAAACCTATTAAAACATATTTCCATCTGACTTGCAAACCAAAGTGAAATATTACTACTACCTTTCATGCATGAAGTCAGATCCTGAGCTGTTACCTTCTTCATCCTGAAACAAAGTATCAATCCTTTATCCATCACTTAAAACAATATTCCATCCTTTGGCAAGATAACAGCCATTATGCAAAAGATTCGATAAAAATGATGGAGAGAGACAAGTTCAAGGGGGCAGTGTCCTAATCTCACCTCTTCCTCTTCAGTGTCGTACAGTGCTCGGGTAAACAATCTATTTCTGGCTGTTTCCTCATTCTCCGCGGTATTGGCACCTGTAGCTTGAGCCTGCTTGCGTTTATCCTTCGATGCAGCAGAGTGGGTCTAAAGAAACATGTAATGTCAAAGTTTAACACAAGATCATGGCTCCTATATCATAATGCCAAGTCACTGAAAACACAAGTTCAAATGCTGATGCTTAGGTAGTGGCAAAATTTATACAAACCTGTAGAGGTTATGAATTCTTTGAAGAAAGTCCTCCTTGGGGTACATATAAGCATTAAAATGTCCATTTTAAATCCTACGACAGTTGTAACTATATTTTTAATAAAATATTTACAAAACAAAAACTCGTTTTGTCTTGTGAGACCACCCCTACAGGGCCCCACGGACCAACACAGCCAAGAGCAGGTAACTCTAGCCGTCTACCTCGTGACCTCACTTTTCATGCTGAGCGTGTCAGACAGAATGAGGGGAGGCGGGAGGTACCCCAAGGAGGACTTTCTTCAAAGAATTCATAACCTCTACAGGTTTGTATAATTCTTTCAGAAGAAGTCCTCCTTGGGGTACATATAAGCATATGACAGACTCCCAAAGATATTTGAGACGGGAGTGGCATTCTGTCTGGCAACAACTAAACCTCGTAGTGGAGTGAAATCTACAACCCGATACGAAATAGAAAACACCGAGCCACCTGACCGCTGATGTCAATCAGGCGGTAGTGGAACTAGAGAGCCCAAGCTTATATGTCAATTGGCTCAATATCAATGACATAAAACCCCGCCCCCAACCATTACAATGGAAGGAATGTATGGGGACATGCGAAACAACTCCCAACCCTACTATAGCCCCAGCCAGACAATGCGTGGCGAGAGGTATAAGGGTAGGGAAAGCGTAAAAATTTTAAAGCGCTACAAAGCCAATAACCCAGGAGTCGAGCTAATAAATACTGCAAACTAATGCTCTAATGCAGCCCCTGTTTGGAAGAGGGCTAGCTCGGGACCTCGATAAAACCCAGAGAAATTATTAGCCTCGCTAAAACTTTCTGAGGAAATCGAACAGTACAAACGCCATGCATTGTATGAAAGTGAAAACACCCCACCAAACACTCTCGCGCGAGGAGGGTGAAGGCGTAGGCCACCATCCCACAAAGCTGATTAACACAGACTCCCAAATGCGAAGGCTCGGAAGAGGGAAAACTGTAAGCGTACAAAAATCCCCTGAATAGCTGCGAAAGCCGAGTCAACATGTGTTGGCTCACCATTACACTAACCTGGTCACGTGACATGCGGCTCGAAGAGGCATACCAAACAGTGCCCGTGGGGGTTCGCACCCAATTCCGTCGCAAGGCGGGTTAATAGCATATGACTGGTTAAAGCGTTCCAAAACGGACCCGCCCTCTTGAAGGGGACGTGAAGGGACGATGTACACCAAACCCACTAACCCGAAAGGATGGTAAGGCTAATCACGATGTAGTGATATGAAATATATGGACATTGAACACAGAACCCGATACCAATGACCAGTTACTAACTTGGTCAGGGTGGCAGAATCACTCTCCACTGGAGAGAACCGAAGACCGAACCGAGCCACGATCCTTAGAATGCGTGTCAAGTTGGTAATGGCGAATGAAGGCGTTCTGCTGGCTCCAAAGAGCGACAGAACCGATCTCTTCATTGAGCAGTGCCGCTGTGTATTGTCAACAAAGCGGCATCTGCCCTACCCAGTCTGCCTTCAACCCCTCGGGGGGAGGTAAACCGTATCATTGTAACCATACAATTACGGAAACAAGCCAACGAGATAAAGTGCGCTTTGCTAGCAGACTCCCCAGTCTTCCCGCCACCAAACAGCACACATGGGTACCCGTGACGGATCCCTTTTGTTCGCTCGTTTCAGTGACAGGCACGGGTGAGCAATCGAAAGATTGGTCCCGGTCGCGGAAGGCTGGGTAAGGGGTGGAAGTCGCGATATGAGCAGTCACGCGTGGAAAGCAATATCGCGACTGAGAGTGGTAGGTATCCGAGGAGTCGAATCACGGACATGATCAGTATAAAATACTGTCAGTGTCGGGTCAGTGGGAATCGCATGGATGTACCCGACCCTTCTACCAGAGTTCACCACAACAAGTAAAGTCGTCTTCCACGTCAACAAGTGAAGTGAGAGAGCGATATACTTGAAAAATTAGGGCCAGACAGCCAATTGTGAATAGAGTGGCAATTTTAAGGTGGGCTGGGTTAAGCCGGGCCGAAGGCTGATCGAACCCTGTTCATGCCAGCTACGGCCGCCGATGTGCGATGAGGATGCTGCCTAGGCAGAGCACCATCGAGCGAGGTGTGAAGCGTGGAAATAGCCATGGAGTACCCGGCAATGGTGGAGGTCATAAGGCTCTCAACCAAAAGCGAGGTTATAGTAACTCCAATATCCGAACTAAGTCCGCCAGAATAGGGATTGCGAAATCCCCCTATCTGCACACCAGCCAGCTTCCACCTATCAACACACTGAGCGGGTGTCAGATCCCAGGCAGCAGAATTGTGTCTGCAACGGTTGCAGGAATTCCGTGTGTTATACCCGACAGAGGCCAAGCCACCCAGTGAATCCGAGGATTGGCGTGTAGGCGCCCGATGCAGAGTGAGAATGTCTGGCGAAGAGGTAATCGGGCGTCGCGGGATCGAACACCAACCTGACTGCTGTCAATTCCAGCACATTGATGTGCAGGTTGTGACTTCGTCTCAAGAGGCTGCAGGTCACCCAGAACATCGCCCTAACCGGTAGGGATGTATCTGGCTGGACTGAGAGCGGCGGTGTCTCCAGGGGTGGGACCCTCGGAGAGACGCTGGCGTCTGTCCATCTGACTGCGTGAGGTTGACAATTCCGCCCAGTTTAAGTAACTGATCGTGAGGTCCCCAGACTCAACAGTTATCTGAAACCACGATGAGTCAGTCGCCTATGCGGGTGACAACACGGCACTGCGATCTGGCTATCTGAGCTTTAATAAACCTCAATTTGGTGAACACCCTTGGCACCGTGCAGAATGTAGCCTAAGGAGAGCACCGCGAAACTGGTAGCACGTCCCGTCAAACAAGAAACCGAAGGTAAATCTTGAAATCAGGGTGCAATGGAACAAGGAGGTGCAGCGACCTCGAGTCGATTGATCGTCGCCAATCCCTATCTCGGCAGATGAGATCACCGGCCCCGTGTCTCCATCTTGAAGGACAGTACCTCTCTCAGATGAGAATGGGTCTGAACATTCCGTTAAGTAATGGCAACTATGAAATAAGTGGAGGTCAAACCCCACATATTCCTGACCATTGGAAACCACCACACTGGTTGCCTAGCCCAGCAAAGACTGGATCTGGGCACGCGGGTATTGTCGCCGTCTCCGGGAAGCCGACACAGGGAGTGTGTCGCTCCGCCCGTGTTTGCAGCAGAATATAGTAACCCCAGCGGTGCGGCAACTTAGCGTTTGCCCGATGCCTGGAGGCACCTGAAAGTAGCGAAAGCTCAACAGACTTCCGTATTCCTCGAAACTGTCGGTATATGCCCATAACGCCCTCATCATTTGACTGGCACAGCTACAATGCAGTCCCTAGCCAGATGAGAGTTGCCCCGTCAGATGCAGCCCAGAGTCGCCCGGCGAAAAATTCCACCGGCGGCTCTCTCCCCTTTCCACCAGCTCCCTCAGCGGCGCTGAGAGATGCGCCAGTGGAGCATACAGCGTTGAGCTGTGAAGGGGAAAGAGCGGCAGACTTAAGGGAGAGAGTGTGAGGCCTTGTCCCGATGCGTGCTGGAAGCAGGCTTCCCTCCGGAGAGCCCGAACTCCAGCGGTTCGGGTAGTCGACATGGACAACACCTGAGGCAACACAGCCAGCGATTCTATCTGCGCACTTGCCCTCGGGGGCGAACCTACTTAGTGGTAAGTTCAAAGTAGCGAAATGAGCGAAGCTCAAATCGACTTGTCCACTGTCTGAGCCTGAACCCCGATTCGAGGCACATGTGAGAAGCCTGACAATCAAGGTTTCACAAGCACTCAGACAGACCTGCGACCTGCCGAGGGTGACAGTCACACCCGGCACACTTTCGATGGCATCTAGGTCAATGCGTCCGATAGACATCAGGCGAGACCTGAACTACACGATTCGGGAATCTGCGCCCTACCAGTGCGAAGCCTGGGTCGAGCGCTACCCGCGGAGTTCAGAGAATCCGCCAGAGCGAAGCTCAGCTGTTCTGGAGCCGAACCCGATCGAGACCACGTGTGGAGTAGCCTGATAAATCAGGTTTCCCCAAGTACTCTCAAAGCTGCTGCGTATAGTCAAACATAGCCTATGGCGCTATATAAATACCCATACATACACATGTATGCATATGCGTCGGTGCTTCGGTCGTGATTCGAGTTCGAGAACCCGATCCCCAACATGGGAGTGGCCTGACAATGCAGGGCTCCCCTGGTGTAAGTGCAGGTATTGAACCTCGGCGTCGAGGTGATCGGCAGCTTCGTCACACTCAACGGCGCTTAGCCCAGGGCATCGATAGACATCAGGCGAGACCTGAGGCTAACAGCGCCCGAGGGGATCTGCTCGATACCGGGGCGAAGCCCAGTCGGTGCTAGTCGATCTGCAGTCGAGACACAAGGGGAGTAGCCTGGCAATACAGGTTGCCCCTGGTGGACACAGGTAGACCTAGGGAGGCGCCCGAGGTGATGCGGCAGCTCAGTGGAACAGACGAGCCGCCCGAGAGGAACCTGCCGCTATACAGGTTTCCGGGCAACCCGACTGACCATGGCCGAGGTGTCCCCGGCTGGTGCAGGCCTGGGCGACCGCCAGTCAGGGCACCTGGGCAAAACCTGCAGGTGAAACCTGCATCGCCCGGCGCCAGGCTTCGTGGCCGAACCTGAGCCCGAAGCTAGGTAAATACAAAGGTGCGAAGTGTCCCGAGCTGGTCTGTCGCCTGGCGACCGCCAGTCAGGGCACCAGGCGAACAGGGCCAAAACCTGCATCGCCCGGCCATGAAGCCCGTGTGAGCGAACCTGAGCCCGAAGCTAGGTTAGCCACAAGGTGCCCGAAGGCACACCATCACCTGAGCGAAGCCAGGATCAAGCTGCCTGGGAGGCGTTCTCCGAGCCCAGAGCTTGGGCGCAGCCAACCCCCAGATCGTCCGATCCACCCGGCGACAAGTGCTTTGAGCTCCTTGCGGAACCCAGACAGCACCGTGTCAATCGGTGAGGAATTTCACCACAGGCGACACCTGGTGAACTTACGCCCGAGATCAACGCTTTTGCGAGCGAGCTCCTTCACGGAGCCCGGACATCGGCGCTATCAATCATCGAATTGACATTATGTTGAAGAATATGTTGCTGCAATAGTGAAGCAAATTGAGTCATATTTAAGTCAGCAACATTGTTTGCGGGGAAAGCGATAAAGGGATTTCCTTAGAAACCTTTTATCAAATATTATCCCCGCCTGAAGCAGATTAGTGAAAACATAAAATCTGCATGTCCGGAAAGAATCTTGGCGTGGTAGCAGAAACCCAGACAAAAAAACACAACCTCGGCCTATGAGCCCGCGTTGTGTGTGTAAGCATTATGAAATATGTATCATAATACAACATAATGTAACAGGAATATTGGCGCAAAGGCGTTTATTATGAGCATCCTTGATCGTCGTGGCGTCCGCGGCTAAACACGGAGGCACACTTTATAACCATCCTGTGGCGGTAGTGTGCATGGCACAACGCGCACAGGGTTTAAACTGCAACAAACAGAACCACGCCAGTGTTACTAGCAGGAACTGTGAAGCAGCAAACACATAAACACAAGTAATAGCAAGAATAATCCGCACGAGGCGATATATAAATGCTACAAGCTACAGCCATTTAAATACTAAACATACAATGCAAAGCAGAAAAAGGCTAGCCACCCCTCGTGTACTAGTGATAGAGTAAAGTTGGTGATACTGAAGCGAACACTATCAAAATTACTCAACAACGACTTACCACAAATTCGCTGAAAGAAAGAGAATTTAGGCAAACCTACCATATAATATGCAAACATAATATATGAACTCCCTACTACAAGCTACCAAGAACATATAGCAAGGAAACCCATCGATCGGCGGTCCGGCCATTTTGCCTGCCACATGGCTGGAAAACAGAGAACCCACGGCAAAGTTACAACAAAAGATGAATGAAAATATCCACATATGGCGTCCATCTAACGCCCGCATGCGTGAGAAAGGAACCATACATACAGATTGAGACTCTTTTTACACTCATCATTATCGGTGGGAGAGCAAACTCGAAGCGAACACCACGCCGTCTATTCAACAGAACGACAGCATGAAAAGAGTGAGGTCTACGAGGTAGACGGCGAGGGGAGTTACCTGCTCTTGGCTGTGTTGGTCCGTGGGGCCCTGTAGGGGTGGTCTCACAAGACAAAAGCGAGTTTTTGTTTTGTAAATATTTTATTAAAAATATAGTTACAACTGTCGAGGGATTTAAAATGGACATTTTAATGCTTATATGTACCCCAAGGAGGACTTCTTCTGAAAAAGAATAGAAGTGTTGCATCAAGATGAGTGCACCTTCAATTATGAAGAGGATTGTTTGGAAGATTGTACAGCTCTTACCCCATGTGGAGAATTGGGTTTCTTTTTCCTCTCAAAGACAAATTTCTTAAACTCTTCATCAGCAAATGCTAGTCTCTTCTCCTCGTGTTGCCTATAAATAATAACACTTTTATTATCTTACTTGAACAATACAGACTTGCCTCAACACCTAGGAACACCCCTGATACACACAAAGCCTGAACACCCAGCATCACCAACACATACTTGTCTGAACACCTGGTATCACAACACATACTTGACTGAACACCTGGTATCACCAACACATACTTGACTGAACACCCAGCATCACCAACACATACTTGTCTCAACACCTGGTATCACCAACACATACTTGTCTGAACACCTGGTATCACCAACACATACTTGTCTGAACACCTGGTATCACCAACACATACTTGTCTCAACACCCAGGAACACCAACACATACTTGACTGAACACCTGGTATCACCAACACATACTTGACTGAACACCTGGTATCACCAACACATACTTGACTGAACACCTGGTATCACCAACACATACTTGACTGAACACCTGGTATCACCAACACATACTTGTCTGAACACCCAGCATCACCAACACATACTTGTCTGAACACCTGGTATCACCAACACATACTTGTCTCAACACCTGGTATCACCAACACATACTTGACTGAACACCTGGTATCACCAACACATACTTGTCTCAACACCTGGTATCACCAACACATACTTGTCTCAACACCTGGTATCACCAACACATACTTGTCTCAACACCCAGGAACACCAACACAAACTGGACTGAACACCTGGTATCACCAACATACTTGTCTCAACACCCAGGAACACCAACACATACTTGACTGAACACCTGGTATCACCAACACATACTTGTCTCAACACCCAAGAACACCAACACATACTTGACTGAACACCTGGTATCACCAACACATACTTGTCTGAACACCTGGTATCACCAACACATACTTGTCTGAACACCTGGTATCACCAACACATACTTGTCTCAACACCCAGGAACACCAACACATACTTGACTGAACACCTGGTATCACCAACACATACTTGACTGAACACCTGGTATCACCAACACATACTTGACTGAACACCTGGTATCACCAACACATACTTGACTGAACACCTGGTATCACCAACACATACTTGTCTGAACACCCAGCATCACCAACACATACTTGACTGAACACCTGGTATCACCAACACATACTTGTCTCAACACCTGGTATTACCAACACATACTTGTCTGAACACCTAATAATACCAACAAAACATGCCTGTTTGAACATGAAGCAATACCCTCTATAAAACAGGAATGCCATTTAGTTAATACTTGACTGAATGCTAAAAGGACTAGAATGATAGGACAACATGGAAAGTTCAACATGTGCAAGTCCTTACCACATGACTTCTGGATCTAGTGGCTTGACGACAACTCTTCTCTTCAAGGCTGCTATATCACTCTTTGTGGCTCTGAGTGTGACATTGCCAAGTGACTGCCTCACTCCCTCCGTCTCCCCACTTTCATCGATTCCAACACGCGACCGCCGTAACCAACACATAACCAATAACATCATGGCATTTCAAACACATTTCTATCAGTAATCATGTCACGCCATATTAACTAACTGACCCTGTCTTATATCAGCTCTGATAAGAAACAAGTGATACTCTCACATCTGACATACATACTGCTCCATGCCAATGTGACTCACCCTGATTGTTCCTGGTGGACCTAGGGGACACGAAGGGGTGGGGAGTGAGCCTACAGGTGGGGGTGAGGCCAGGGTTCCCTCCCTCCAGGGCAATCCGATGATCCTGCTCCAGCTGCAGTCTCTGTATCATGGCATCGAGGGCTTGGACGGACTCTCTCTATAACAGCTGGCTCGGGCATGGGTCCTACTAATGGTTCACCATCACCAATAACCTCAGATGATCCTGATCACAACAAAGCAAAGCAACATTAAGTTGCCATCATTTAGTCACAAATTGAACATATAAATATACTGAAAAGAGAACACAGGATGTTATGACAGCATATTCTGCCACGACGGATGATCCGCTCGCGGTAAGTTTGAAGATAATGTATTCCATCATGTCATCAACAGTGTATCAACATCATCACACCTCATCCCACCAAACACTCTAATAGTTTGTTTCTTTGCTGTCTTATGCTGAACTCAGCAATATTCCTGCCGTATGACTGCAGTCTGTAAATAATCAAATCTGGACCAGACAATCAACAGATTGAAACCAGGAAGTTTGATCTACACTGCCCGAGATATGATGACATACATGTCCAGCTAGTCTGACCACCTGATCCAGTTAGCCACCTCTTAAGACAAGCATGGGCTGCTGACCATCCCGATCCAGTTAGCCACCTCTTAAGACAAGCATGGGCTGCTGACCATCCAATCCAGTCAGCCACCTCTTAAGACAAGCATGGGCTGCTGACCATCCGATCCAGTTAGCCACCTCTTAAGACAAGCATGGGCTGCTGACCATCCGATCCAGTCAGCCACCTCTTAAGACAAGCATGGGCTGCTGACCATCCGATCCAGTTAGCCACCTCTTAAGACAAGCATGGGGCTGCTGAATACCAATGCTACACCATGTTCAGCTGCTATGAGAATTTACAGGAGGGTGCGACTGCAATTAGCTGGCGCTTCCAATGTGAAAGACCATAAATTTCAGTTGAATAATCCTGTGTGTTTGCAAATTCAAACTGTTAAACACCCATCACTCCAGGGTTTAAATTAGGACATTAAGGCTGTTTTCAGGGAGTCCTCACCGTCCCACTCAAACACTCAGATGTATGACAAGCACAAGTGTAGGCCACATACAGTGAGCAAAGTTGGTTCCACCTAACAAACAGAGAAATACAGCCATCTACACACTGTACAAGGCAGATACAGTGTAATGTTAGATATAATCATTAAAATGTAGGTAGGACTCTTTTTGCCAATAAAGTTATTCCACTGCTGTTGTAAATGTATAATATTTGAAACAGTTATAAACATGAATCAATAGTG